ATCACCTTCAGTTTTCACGTGCCTCAAATTGAAGAAAATCTTGCAGCACAAAAAGAGAAAATCTCTCTTCTTCATAGCCACGTCCTCCATTGCCGCACAGAAAGAGAGATATTTTTCATAGTCGAGTTTTCCTCGAATTATTTGGGCACTTGATGTAATCTGAAATCTTTTCAAAAGTAAGATTAAAACCTAAACCACATCCAAAAAAAAAAAAAAAAAAAAAAAAAAAAAAAAAAAAAAAAAAAAAAAAACTAATTACATACAAAAATCCCTAATTACACAGGGTTGTCCATTGGACTCGCTGTCATCTCCCTCCTCCCTTTCATCCTATGTAGTTAATCGCCATAAACAAAATCAAACCACATAGATGGGGAAGCTTAGGCCAAAAGGGTGTGAAGAAGGATCTTGGAATATTTACTTCAACACCTGTTCTGGTATCTAAATTTCTAGGACTAAGTATGTATATAATCTCATTGCTTTTCAAATCCCATAAATTCAAGCCATGTCAGCTTAAAAAGATTGGGTTCAATTAGGAGTGACAATTTATGTCTAAACTAATTAAACCGCTCAAATTTGTTCACAAAAATTAAATTATTTGGACACTTAAATTTAAGCGAGTGGTTCAGTAACGGGTAAAAAGTGGGTACTCATACAATTCAATGGTCAATGATGGGTTAAGAGTGATACCCATCTTAACCCGCTCAAACAAAACCCTTTTTCTATTTCTGTTTTTTTCTTTTGGTTGTAATGACTCTTTCTTTCCCTCACTCTTCAACTTCTTATATATATAATTTTATAAAAAAAGACAATGATACGGTAATAAAATAATAATATAATTTTATTATATATATAAATATAACTCATGACCTTATAAATATAATTTTATATAATTTCTTTTCTAGTTAGGTAAGTATTCACATACACATTTCATAAATTGTTTATTATGAAATTTAAACTCTTCCTTTTTTAAAGAAGAGATATTATATTTTAAGTCACACAATTCTTTCCAAACTAACACTGTTTTTCGCACTGCTTGCACTCTCGCTCTCACACTCCTGCAACTCAAATTTTGGCGCACGCTCTTTTATGTGAGTTAGTTTATATCAGTAAATTTAATGACTTAATTGGTAATATATCGAAGGTTGTTATAACAATGGGACTTAAATTTATGAAGGTCCTAGTGTCTAGATTTTAACTTTTGTCTCAGACTGGATCTCCCCAATTCTTTCCTCGCGGTATCAAGAGAGAGGTCTTCCAAACTAACCGTAAAAAGTAACAGTCAAATGTTTGAGTTGTAGTGGGTCTCTTCCATTGGGCCAGTCTTGCCTTTGGGCTTGCATTTGTTTGTCTGGAGCTATATTTAGTTTCTTGGTTTGGTTTTCTTTCTTTTGGGCCTTGTCACACACTCTGTACATATTTTCTCTATTTATAGAATTTGCTAAAAACATTGTGTTATTATTATCCTATATATGTATACAACTATATAAATCTCAGTAAGTATTTTTTTTTCCATACATTTTTGTAATTAATAATTAAATACTTACATTAATTATTTTTTAAGACTAAATTATTGATTTCACATTTTTGTCATTTAGACATGTCACTTTTTATTTTATTTTTTTTTTATTATTTTTTTTTAAAATGAAGGGTTATGCATAAATCAATTTTTAGCGTTATTTTATTATTTAATTGCATTCTCTTCATACTAGAACTCTAAATATATAATTAATAAAAACATTGCATGTCAACTTTTACCGTGCTAATATCTATAATATAATTGTTTTATTTATACATTTTTTCTAAATATTTTATTAATGTAGAAATGCTTAATTTTGAGTTCAATAAATTAAGAGTTAATTTTTTATACAATTAGTCATATTGATTATTAGAATTCTCTTTATAACCGGGAAATACATTAATTAATCCAATTCACAAGTTTTCTCTCAATAATATAATTCACTCATTCTCTTCACTTTTAGGTTTCTAAAAGAAAATAAATGAGCCCGCGTCTCTATCGGTTTTCCAATTTTTCCATGCCCCATGAAAGGCTCGGAAGAAAATATTACATGGCTCTAAAAAAGAAATACATTAATTAACTAAACATATATATATATATATATACATATATATATATATATATATATATATATATATATATATATTTCTAAATAAAAAATAAAAAATCAAACTCCCAAAAAAATTCTATGCTCTAAGTCTAAAAACCACTATATTGAAATTTAATTTTTTAGAAATAATAAAATTTGATATTTAATGCAATTAAGGACGAGGTATCAAAAAGTGTCTTTTACGTGGGTTCATATAATATTATTGTGTCATTAATTTTTATAGAATCCCGTTACGCATTTAAAGTCTGACAATATTTAATAGAAATAAAAATTACTATAAGGTGAATCTGATTAATCACAATTCAACAACTAAACAAATAAATTATTGTGCATAATTTGGAGGTCATTTATTATTTTGAATGATGATTTTTTTTTTTTCATTGGCAAAAAAATGCGCATACATCATTTACACACACTTTTTTTTTTCTTTTTTTTTTTTGCATTGGCAAAATAAACGCGCATACACCATTTACACACTTTTTTTTTTTTTTTTTCAAAATTTACTACCTATCCAAAAGATTCTCCGAGAGGAGACACCCCATTTATGATTCCAGCCGAGAAGACTAGTCAAAGGAAGGATCAAGAATGTCATATATTTCAGGAGCTAGATCAGTTGCCGATGAACAAGTAAGAATTGCCTCAACAAAAATGGATGGAATTGGACCTCAAAAAGCCATTCAGATTCGTTATCAATTAGGTATAAGTGGGAACATAAAGATCAAAGAGTTAACTAAGTATCAGATCGACCAAATAGAACAAATAATAGGTCAAGATCTTGTTGTTCATTGGGAATTGAAGAGGGGACAAATATCGGACGATTCATTTCTATTAAAAATTCCAATCATTGTCGTCCACTTTATGGCCACAAAACTCCTCATGACAACGGCATAACCTCTTTTATTAATAAATTAGCTTTTTTTACACATAAGCTCTTCCATCAATGAGTTCCTCAAACTGCTTCTACTTCTCAAAATGGAATATAAGTTGACTTTTTGGCTCCAAAGTCACACACGTGACACACACGTATATATAGGACTATAATAGTTACTGTAATTAAAATAAAATATTAAATATAATCATGTATTCATAGTGTAATTAATTAATCGGATGTACTACCTATATATATATATAATTAATCAAAAAACGTAGGCACTCTTTTCCGTTAATTAATTAATTGAACGGGTCTCCATCATTATCCTGGTTATCATGGTATAGATTTATGGTATTTTAAGATTATCTTTGAATGTTTATTGGACTAATTAATTTTGTCTAGATTAACTAGCACCATCTAGCAGAACATATATAAAATAAGCAGGTATATATTTAAATTATGAATAATTAAAATAAATATTAAATAATTATTAGAGTGTTGGTAATTGTGTACAGATTAATTTGATTGTGGTGGTGAAGTGTAAAAAATTCTAGAATACATGAAAACTTTGGAGAGAGGATAACAATGTATGTTTTCATGGACTATTCTAAAGAGTTAATCGTAGTGCTGCATTTGTAATCTATCCAAACCGTTCATGGAGTAGAAATATGTCTATAAAAGGGTGGAGACCTCAACTTCTTTGGCAAGTTGTAAAGGGCAACATATATAACTTTGTTAAATCTTTTCATTCCATAACTAGTGTAAGGGACTTGTCTTTGAGGGAATGAAAGACTCGGTCTTTTTGTGGGTAACAATTACCAAAAGTATGCAGGTCAGGGATTCTAAAGGGGATATTTTTTTAAACAAAAAGTATAAAATAATCGTTGGAGCTAAAAATAGGTAGTACAAATTTTTTGTATAAATCTATTCTGACACATCATATTTACACAAAAATATATACGCAACGGTTGGAGATGCTCTTAAATTCTCCAAACATGTATAGATACATTCTTTGGAGCATTTAAACCAACAAATTATTTATAAAGAGAAATAGTATATTATATTGATCAAATTTGACTGAAATATTAGTGTATTATGCAACCATCACATCCTCAAAATCGACAACATTTCTATCCTTAAAAAACTTTAAGACCCAAAATTCACATGATATGGATAACAAGAAGAACTAGTGATGAAGGAGCAAATGTATGTTAAAGATTCAATATTTCAGAATCCCAATACAATGTTTCATCAACTACTTTTAATTTGCAGTTGTAAAGAATTTCCTATAACTCTGGACCTGTCTGAATGAGTCTGTGTGTAGGAGTAAATTTGTTGAGCAGGGATATCATATCTAAATACTTTTTAAATTACAATGTGTAAAAATAATATTTACACGGAGATTTGGCATCAGATTAGGAGCCCATTTATCTTTTAAAAAAAATAATAATAGGGATGCAAATTAAAATTCATGATGTAATTGTCATCAATTAGTGCGAAAATAAGAATATAGTTGGGAAGAAATTTAACAAAAACAGTACAATAATAAAAATTGCCTTTAAAAGAAATTATAAGGAGCCATTCTTTTCCTTCAATAAAATCATCAATTACTCAATACCATTGGATTAAAACAAGTCTTAAATGATTCATTCTACTTTTCACAAATCTTACAAAAATTGTCGCAATATAAGTGTTTTAGTCAATTTTAGAAATATTGAAACTTTCTTTAATTTTCTTAAAAATTTGAGAGAGAAAAAAATAATACTCCATAAATCAACAATTTCTAATTTTGGCATCATTATTTTTAAATTTACAAATTAAGACATAGATTAAGTTCATGTTTCCTCGTGAACTTAAATTTTAAAAAAGATACATATTTTGAAACGTGTGACTAAGGCTAACCAACTGATATCACACACAATCCTGAGGATTTCAACATCTATTTATCAATATATATATATATATATATACAAAGTGATTAATTTCATTGATCATAGACAATAGATCAAAGTAGCAACTGCATAAGGTTGCAAATCAATTATGTTAGAAGAAAAACAAGAACAAGATCATCATTCCAAAGAAAAGATTGCTACACCAACTTGCTGAAAAGCGTGCCCACACAAGCCTCCAAACATTCCAAATTCCACCCAAAAAAAACGAAAACAAAAAAACTCTTGCTAAAAATCAACGAATCCGTAATAGAAAATTTTCAGGTGGTTCCTCCTAATAAATCCAACCAGTAGCAAAGTCAACACCTACGAAAGTCACGGTCAAACATTCGGACAGAAGGGCAATGGAAGTCTTGGTGGCCCCTCCCACCACAGTTGTTGCAGATGACAATGGCGACACAGTCACGAGTTGAATGGCCTTGAAAGCCACAATTGCGGCAAGGCGTGTCACGGAAAGGGCCACCTACTATATCCGGTGGTGGCAGGCTTGACTTTGGACATTGACGGGCCACATGCCCTGATATATTGCAGATGTTGCAGACAGGATCATTGGGACAGTCACGGGCAAGGTGACCGGTCTTACGGCAGTTGTTGCAGGCCTTCTCATTGGTGCAGTCAACAGCAATATGGCCTGGCTTGTAGCAGTTGTTGCAGAGCCTTGCATCGTGAGCGGGTAGACTCGGGTTGAAGCAATCACGAGCCAGGTGACCCATCCTACCACACATATGACAGACTGGATCATTTTTACATTGGTTCGCAAGGTGTCCTGGCTCCTTACAGTTCCAACACATGGTTGTTGATGTGCACTCAGCAGCAATGTGACTGAAAACAAAACATAAAAGACTAATCAAAAGATCAGATCATTAAAGCATCAGGTACATCTGAGCCCAAGGCCACTCTTTGCTCTTTGGGAGCCAGGAAATTATCTTATATTTGCAATTTTCCATGACGAGTGAAGCTGTTTACAACAACATAAAGAACTGCTAATCAGGCCAACTACCAAAGCAGTTCAATGCAAGACAAGTCAAAATGGATCAAATAGACTAATTGATGATTGAATCTTAAAGTTCAGTTTCATTTCAATTCCATCGTTGTGGATATGCGTTCTGGAGTATTGTCACATTATTTCTTAGACGCTTTAATTCAGTAATAAATGCGAGATGATTCCAGAATGAAATTATATTCATCTTACCCAGGAAGTCCGCAGTTGTTGCACACGGTCACATTTGGACAATCTCTGGCAAAGTGCCCTGGTCGTTTGCATTTATTGCAAAGATAATCTTGCCTGGAGTTGAAAAGTATGGATAAACCCAAAGATAAATGTTAAGAGATACTAAATGTAAAGGAAAAAACCAACTATTGACAAAAAAATAAAAAAATCAAATATAAGGAATCAACAAATCAAATGAAATTAGATAGTTTAAAACTATATGTTAGCTGAAAAAGGCAAAGGTGGAAGTAGAAGACAAGAATCAATAAAATTGATGACCCGAAATGACATCAACAAAGGCAAGCTAGCCTGAATAATGCTTCAGATTGGGACTACCATAGAGAGGCAATTCTTGGTACACAATAAAAGCTCACACTGTCGGGTGTAATAAAGTGAGTTCAACTATATAGTTATTCAATTTTAATATCGAGGTCCATTAATATTGGACCGAGAATAATAGCTTACCAATGGCAATACAATAAAGATATCATGATTTATGCTGCCTAGATGTAATTCCATATAGTCTTTGGAAGTATCCTAAAGCCTTCCTTTTTTATTCATAACTCTTGTGCTCAATGAAGTTTGTATAAACTGGTTCAATTTAAGCGAGAGAAAAAAAAAAAAAAAAAAAAAAAAGAAGAAGATCGCCGCATTTTCTGTAATCAGTAGCTTCCGGTATGTACTCCCAACAGAAGGAGAATTCTTTTCTTTCTTTTCCCTCCAAAATACTCATCCGATATCCACAGCTTCAAAATCTGGTCAAAACCCCAGTTTGAAAGTCAAACTAATGAATTTAGACAGATTTCAATTTAAGCAGCCAAGTAAGGATATTTGAGTGCTGTTACCCCCCTTTCACAATTATTAGGAGTCTGTGTAATGCCTTCATATAAAAAATACAAAACCTAAGAACCTTACAACAACCCGGGCATATGCCTAAGCATTTAAGATTGTCAATTACAAGTTTGACACATACGTTCCACTACTACACTAGCAGCAATGGCAGACAATCAAACTTAAAATTTATCGATAGTAACTCTTATAATCACAATTCACAAGGAAATGAAGGTTGCTGGCATATTTTTAGTTTAGAAAAAACTTAGCACTGACAGAAAATGCGAGAGGCCTTGACCTAAAACACAAAGCAGGAGTGTGAGAGTATTGTCCATTTACATACTCATCTCACATGGTACATGATCATAAACATATATATTATATATCATTTTCTGTCTATGTTTGATTATGGAGTGTCTATGTAAATATATGTACAAATATATTTATTTATTATTGACTTGATGTATTCAAATATTATAAAAATTAAATAAATAAATTCAAAAAAGTTTATCACAAACAAAAGGTGGCCCAGGAGTTTATACTCACACTTCCTTACAACAGGTCAGAAGTTGAATCCTTAAGTAACTCACTTTTCTGGTCACTTTTTTGTATGATATAATATGTCAAGTAGCACAGTAGAACGCACAAATGGCCACTCCAGCGCAGCTGGAAAGCTCACAAAAAATGAATTTGCAAATTACGAGCACATTCACTCTCAACCAGAAATAAAACTGATATGACGAGAAAGAAAATGTTATCTGGTCTGTTATGTCCTTTGTTGCCACTATAAATATTGCCATGAACCCATCTAATGCATTATAATTGCAATTCTCATTTTGTAAACTGAAATCAATTAAATCACCAGTCTCACTTTGTAAACCAAAAACAATTAAACAGAAGTTGTACTACAAAAGTACAAAGCAAGCAAAAAGAATAACTTAGGAAAAAGAAGGAAACCGGGTAGCTAATAAATATAAAGAGAATGGTGTTGTTGCAAATAACCAGAGTATATTTTACAGAACTCTATAAACAAGAATCATGCTGCAACTAATATGATTATCACACTATTAGATAAATTTATGTACAAGTAGACAAAAAAAATTATTTTTCCTGAAAAGAGCAACAAAACACACCTGTACATGCGTCGATCTCTCTGATAAGGTGCATCACGGTAAGATGCACGTTCATTACTACGGAATCTCTTGGCTCGTGGAGGGCTTCTGCTTCTATCGGGAGTCATATCGATCGCTGCGTCGTAAATTTCTCAGAAGTATGAGAAAAACAACGATTCGAGACCACCACCGAGGGCTCTGGAAGTCAGCAACGAAACATCATTAAAAGCTCCCCTGTCCATGTCACCACAAAATCCGAATCACTGAAAAATGAACATGTATTCATCTTTAATCACTTGAATATCCAGAATTTACCAACTCTGAATCAACACAACCTTAAACTCATCTAGAAAATCACACACACTAATAAGAAGAAAATAATAATAAAAAAAACAATTTAATAATAACAGAACAAACATCAAGCAATCATGCTTGTATCATTTGCAGCTGACAGTAAAATAAATTTAAACAAAACTACAAACCCGAACACCAATTGTGTAGAACACCACCAAATATGAATTGACTGTTGGAAAGCTCAGAAACAGTAACAAACGGATGAAAATGCCCCGTTATGGTCGACAAATAACCCTAATCTCAAACATACTGTAAACCAATGATTCAAACCTTAAACTACAGATGATTGTTGAAAAACGACAATTTCAAACAACCCACATCTTCCAATTACGTAGAAATCAATCCTACACAATCAACTCTTAAACATTTCTCAACTGACACCTTATAATACCAGAAAATCAAGATTCCAATCAAACCAAGAACATCAAACACTATAAATGTAAAACCATCCAATAAATTACAACGCAATTTAGATAATGAATATGAGATTCTTCAACTGTTACATGAATTACAATGATGGCATTCAATTTCTTGGGACAACCAAACATGCATCAACAAAATGGAATTTAAAAAGGCAACGCCTTGAATCTGATGAACCCATCATAATAAGCCAATCAGTATGGAATAAAAAAAAGTTCAAAATCAAACTATAATACAAGATTCGAATGGTACCTGATCGTGTGATGGTATGGACAATGTAAAGTGTATTCTCGCTTGTTCAAATTTTGGCTGGACAAGAAGTGAACGCATGAAGAATGAAACCCTAGATTATGTGTGGGGGGGGGTTGGGTTCGGAAGAGAGAGATTTTTTTTTTTTTTTTTTTTTCCCGGGAGGAGAGAGAGATTAGAGATCCTAAATGGGTTCTTCTCAAATTTGACAAAATCAAGGAGAGCAATTTTGGGCATACGACGCCGTGTTTGCGGCCTAGCCATTGAATGAGTTCATGTGATTCCATTTATGATGATGGCAAAACATGAAAAATATTCTCTCCATTTATGAGAAATAATTCACTAATTCTATCTTTATTTCTTTTAAAGTGGACGTGGATTAAAAATTCTTTAATTCAAAGTATGATTAAGGTATTATCATGACACAAAGCATAATGTGCTTTATGTGATTTTTATTTTTATTTTTATTTTTTTATATACTTTTTTTGTGGGATCTATTATTTAAAATTATGCCTTATGTGTAAAACAAAAAGTGACCAATTGGAAAGAAAGTTTTACAAAAAATTGGTAATGCTGAGTAACATAAAGAATCTGAGAATTTTTTTTTTTAATCTTGTACTATTTGGATAATATTTAAGTCTTTCGCATAGGGATGTACTCAATTCCATGGGAATTGTAAATAAATGGAGACATCATATTTAATTATAAATTTAGAAAAAATTGAAAAATAATAATTAAGTTCTCCAGTACGTACTCTAATTTTTTTAAAAAAATAAATATGATTTTATAATTAAAGATAATATATATATTTGTTATTGAGCCACATCAACAAGCAGAATCGGGACAGGTTACATTCACACCAAGAGAAAAAGAATTGCCTTGTCTAGAAAGACAGCAAATTTAATTAGCATGATAATTTCTTACCCAAAAAAAATTTAGTCCTCCTTCCTCATTTAGAAAGGAAGACAAAGTAAAACTAATTACTTCAAAAGTTGGTTTTAACAAAAAAAAAAAAAGAAAAAAAAAATATATTGAAATTAGGAGACATTAGTAGTAGTAGTAGTAATAATAATAATATAGACAAAACTCAGAATATCTGGAAATTGAAATTTTGAATTAAAAACCAACTCGAATGATAAAAGGAGTTAAAGCTGTGAGTTGAATTATGATTGGCCACCACAAAAGATGCACCCTCATTTTTTTCAGCCGTTAAACCGTTTCCTACTAAGAATTTTTTTCCCTCCAAAATCTCTCCCGTTAAGTTCCTTACTCTCTTCAAGTACTACATTTCATATTTTATATAGTCTTTTGGCAACTTAGACACAAGAACAATGCACACTTGTCACCGTAAACGTGCTCAAAGAAGACCGCTAGCTAGCAAACTTGGATTGTAGGAAGACCTTGCAGCTTTAGGACAGCAGATTACGTGCCTCTCCACCATCCATGTCGGTCTTTTCAACCTAGCAGGTAAAATGTTTTGATTGTCAACGGTGAGAACGTGAGTTACAGTCACTTGTGCAATGCCACCCTAGATGTTTTGACAATGGAAATAACCAATATTAACCAACAAAGGAGAACACTAGCTAGCGAACTTGGATTGTAGGAAGGCCTTGCAGCTTTAGGACAGCAACTTGTGCAACTCTCCACTATCCAATCCGATCTTTTCAACCTCGCAGGTAAAATGCTTGTATTGTTAAATGTGAGAACATGAGTTCGAATCCCGAGAACAGTCACTTGTGCAATGCTACCCTAGATATTTGACAAAGGAAATAACCAATATCAACCAACAAAGGAGAACATACAGTGCACAAGGCGGACAAGGAATTGAAGAAAATATTTTCCATGCTACTACTTCAGTAGCGCTGCAAAGCTAGAACTACAACAAAAAGTAGTAAGCATGTGACTGAAAAAAACAAGGAAATACAAAATGTTTCATATATAGATCTTAGAAACCAAAAATCTTGAAAGGTTGATGGTTTCCTTTGCCAAGCGCTGCGGTTTATAGCCGCCGATCCGCTTTGCCACTGTGACGCTGATTTGTTTTCACAGCAAGCTGGAATGGATGTACTTGAATGCAAATACAGTCGATTTGCACAACCATAGTTGAAAGCTCGCGGAGACATTTCTGAGACAAAATCTCTCTTCGTGGATGTCCAAATTCAGTAATGGAGCAGCCTACCAGCCCATCAGAGTTCGCCTTACTCTGTCCACAATCTCACTTCTAGCTCTACTGCTTGCCAATGGGAATTGTGGGCTTTCATCCAAAAGAAATTTATATACTTCCCATTGACGATCACATGTTGATTGTCTTCCAATCTCAGCCTGTAGACCAGTGGAAGACCGAGTTTAATCACACACCAATACATATATATGTGTGTGTGTGTGTGTCTGTGTGTATAAGAAAAACGACAGGCCTGGAAGAAAATATATGAAATTTCAATGTCTAATTCTGGCAATGTGATGGGGGAGCCAAGTGGTAGTATCTCGAGCAAGCCCTTATCTTATAAGTACACAGAATATCATATTTCAAAATAATGATGATGATAGAATGTGCTGAGTATTTCTTACCGAAAAGACGCATATCCCAAGCATCTTTAAAGCGGATGTAACATCATAAAAAACACGAGGTCTTCCCTGTCCACATAACTCAACTGGATTGGCAACCAAGAGTTCGGTGTCGGGGCCACGGTTGGTAATAGTAATTCGCAATGGATGAAGAATTTCCTCCTTCAGACGAGAACATAGAGCATCCTGCTTCTCGGGATCTACAATCTTTTTCCCATCCGTTTGCTGAACGAGTAAGTCGATATTCCGGTAGCCTTTCACACTTGGAGAAAATCTTCCATAAGCAATCTATATGAGAAACAAGAACAGAACCATGCATTGGCAAACTAACAGTTGCAAGCATAGATTGATGTGGCCTATTATATAATGTTAGAATAAAGGCAGAGATGTAGTAGAAATGAGGATTTTAAGGTGGATGATAGGAGTGATTAGAAGAGATAGGGTTGCAAACCAAAATGTAGGGGAAAACTTAGGTGTGGCGCCTATGAGTGACAAGATTAGAGAGGACTGACTTAGAGATGCACCGATACGAAGAGAAAGTTTAATTTGCATAGACAGTAAAAGACAGAGTGTGTGACTGATGTTAAAATGAAATGATTAGAAATTTAAAAAATTAAATATTATAGGAGAGCTGGCTTGTAATAGAAAAGAATGAAAAAAAGATAATTCTTGTGGCCGACTCCATTCATGTGGGATTTAAGGCAAGGATGATGATGATGACACGCAAAAGAGGTGGTCCTAAACACAAGAATTCGTAGGATAAAATTTACCCAATCAGGTGATCAAAGCCACCCAATAAACTTAATTCTAACTGCCAGTCCAAATTAATAATGACAAATTGAGCAAGATTAACAAAATGAAAAGTGAAGTGCTTTGGATCAGGCAAATAGTAACTTTAGATCCATATAGTTCAGACACTTGCGAAAAGGGGAAGACGTGTGCAGTCGATTCTATTTCAATATGGATTCAGCTTTAAGAATATGGAAACTCCTATACCCCGCTAGAGTTGAATTACAAATAACTCTTAATGAGATACCTGAATATTGCAGTCCTTTGAAGTCCTCATAACATCGTAAAAGAGGCACTTTTGATCAGCACACTGAATTTGAAGCAAGGTATGTGCTTGGCTCAAAATATTATCTACTTTAATAGTAGTCTTCTTAACATTAGACTTAGCGGGGCTGATGGCTTGTGGATGAGCTTCCTTGTTTGACATCTCACAGCTGAATAATTCTTCAGCAACTGCAGGTGAAAGAGAAGAGAATTCCTGCTGACTTCCGTATTCAGGCCCCGCCAACTGAATTTCACAGCTGATACAACACTCGCCCAATACAACACTTAGATGTTCGCATGTGTCATCTCGTCTCTTCTGTGTGTGTAATAGGTCCCTGAAAGATTCAATACCAAATAATAAAGATTAAGACTCAATTACTAAAATTCACTCCCCCATATGATTCTGTATTGTGTAAATTTTGTTTTCCACCAGCCAACCAAAAAGCATATCCATAAAAACAATGACATGGGAAAACAAGTTTTATTTTTAAAACTACTACATGAGCAAACATGGACAAAGTTCAGAAGAAAAGAGCAGAAGCATGTCAATTGGACAACATATCAGGGATTCGCTCTTAAAGTCAATATAAGAATCTCATCAACTAAGTCAGTGAAGGTCAAATTATGTTCTTATGCAGAGCTTATTGTAACCCCCTGCCAAAAGAGGTAGCACGGAGGCGACACGCGAGCGCTGAGGAGGACTTGGCATCTGCTTGGCAAGGGTAGAGAATTAGGTTCTGGAGCTTTCAAAGTTGTGTGGACCGTTGGAGGATTCTAGAATGTTGTAGGATTTTGTAGAGTTGGAAAGAATTTAGAGAAGAGTAGAGACTATGTAAAGAAAGTAAATCCTAACTGTTGACTCTAATGCATCCTACCCGTCCATCAAAGAGGATGATGGTAGTGGTTCCATTTGTACTCAACAAGTTGTAGAGTGAGTGCTACTCCTATGATTTCCTCACACTCTCACACTCACAAAACACGAGGAGAAAACAAAAATCTCGAAATATACATAAATTACATTCAAGTTTAAAACTCAAACCATACAAGAGTCTAGACACTAAACCACTCTTAATGGTTGTGAGAGTACATGGTTTATTAGATATGAATTATATATTAACTAATGATAATTGAACACAAAAATTATACCTATTTTTTATAAGTTTAGTGACACAGCATAGAAATAAATTTTGATATAACGTAAAAACGATAATATTGAATTTTTTTTTAAAGACGAACTACCGATGCTAGTGATGCTACTTATACGTCACAATAACGCAACAAAGCAGTTTGAAGAACGGAAACAGCATAATATGCATACTTTTTTTTGAGTGGAAGCTTAGTTCGTTGGATGCCGATGCCTATTGATGTTAATTTTACAAATTATCCAATAGAAAGACTCACATGCCATCTGTAATGAAGAAGAGGTCCAATACTCTGCCATCTGGTGTTGTCATCACTTTTACTCTTTGAATTGTAAGGTCAAGCTCACTAAGGACTTTAGTAACATCTAAAAAAAAGGCACAACAACATCAGACATTTTAGGAGAAAATTATATTAACATAGAACAAGAAGTAATGATTTCAAATCACCATGTAATAATCCTTTCCGGTCCACGCAAAACACTGTGAACATGTATATTGGGGAAGGTGGGGGAACATTTGACTGCTGATTCAAGTAGTATGAAACCAAACATGAAGGACATGAAGACTGAAGCCGGTTTTTAAATCTATCCCAATCAACTCTCAGTGAGCTTGGATGTGGAACAACCCACAATACTATGTAACACCATTTTCCATCCGTAGAAAAATCTGCATTAAAAAATTATTAAGAAAATATATATATACTTCCTATGAAAAGGGAAAAACATAATAAATCACAAAATTGATCAAAGGTGCTCCACCAGAATAAACAGATGAGAATGTAAAGTTGCTCGTACTTGGTAGCATCGGAGGAATTAATGATGATCAAAGAGGCAGTTGAGTTTCTTATAATTGTGCATTAACATTTCTAGTGATGATGGTGGACTGACATTGTTGGCATTGTTGCCGAGTTCGGATAATGGAAAGTACAGGTGGTATGTTGGTTTGTTGATTTCATTGCAAGTGAAAGCAAGAAATTTTTTTTAAAAAAATAAATAAATTTAAAAAGCACTTCAAATATTCTACAGAAGCAATACCCTGCAAATTTCAAGCTAGCTTAGAGAGAAAAAAAAAAGGGAAGAGGATTGGGAATGTCATGACCCGCCCCTTGTGTAGATATTATCCGCTTTACACACTCTCCTTACTCCGGAGAGATCTGGGACGTCACAAGGAAAGCCATATACAAACCCGAAACATTAAACAGCTCAAACCTTGTACCTGTTTAGCCTCATTAACAGCATTAAGAATCTGTCAATATGCTTAATATTTAGTCAATAACTCCATCATCTAAGAACCTAAAATTGTTGAATTTATCATTCAACACAAATGATTATCCAATACATAAATAAGATTCAAAATCCCAATTCCTCTTTAGCATTAGAAAATTAACACCAATCAACCAAATTTATTGAATCCCATCATAATTGTCCATAAATTCCATATTTTCTTCCTTTTCATACTCCTAATATATATAAAACAAATGAAAAAAATGAAGATCCCACATTCAATAATTTCTTGAAATCTCATTTAATTCCATTAACAAAACGATAAGATGTTAAAATCTATCTAATAACAAACCAGACACTGAAACCAAACGAATCTGAGATTAGAACCCAAAATTGCTTACCTCCTCGGGTAATGCAGAGTCCGAATTCGAGCACGACTCGGCAGACATCGCACCCGAGCCCAGCCTTGTCGAGGCAGTTCACCGTCACGACGCAAGGGTCGCCGGAATTCTTGCCAGACTGGATCATGACGACGTCGTCCCAAGGGATACCCATGTTCGAAACCGAAACCATATAATGACTGAAAGAAGAACTCAATTAGGATCTTTCGGTTTCAAAAGACCCGGCTGAATATCGCCGGAGGGTTTCGATTTCCCGGCAATGTCCAGGCTAGCTTTTAGCTGGACCTCTCTCTCTTATAGGTATAATACAATATCAGGGGTTGGTTCTGGGGAGGTTGTCGGCTTTTGCGTGGGGTCCACAGCCACGTCATTACACGTCAGCGTCTCCAGTGGCGTAGAAATAAGCACGTGTAAAAACAAACCTAAGTTGGTTCAGACTTCAGAGCCTTTTGGAGTTTAAATCTGGTGTTTTGCGGAACACTGGAACAAGAGTGCCAGATAAATGACTCAGCGCCTAATAATTGTGTCGTGACTTTTCGAAAAATGATTTATTGTGACGTGACGTGTTGAAAATGATGTGGGAACTTTTTTGGCTGCTCTCTAAATCAAATTTTGTAGTCCATCAGTCAAGTTGATGTGGAATTACAGTGTTTTTTTATTTTTTTAATGGTTTTATTAAAAAGAGTTTGAAAAAAAATATATGGGTTAATTTTACTAACGTGGCTTTAAGTTTGGCAATACCACTTTCAAATAATTTTTGAAAATTATTATTTTTTAATATTTATTTTATTTTTCACTAACACTTTAACGATTATTTTTAGACATTTGACGTTATATAAGATGACTTAAATATTTTTTTGACTTTGTCAAAAAAAATTAATTTTTTAATTTAAAAGAAACATACTAAAAACCTAAACTATCCCTAAATATTTTACAAATTTACAATCATATATATATATATATATATGAGTATGTATATAATATGTGTGTATATAATATGTGTGTGTATATATATATATATATATATATGTATTTGAGGTGTGTCGTTAATTCAGCAACCACCTCTTACATCACCACCACTGCAACTGGTAGCCGCCCAGCACCACCACGGTGGCAATATCCCATAACCGCCACTGCCACCTCACCCCAAAATCACCTGTAGTAACCACCACCACACCCAACAACTAACAGAGGCACCACCACCATGATCTCCACCTATCCACCACCAAATCTCCGATGGATGCACACACATTAACGACGTCGATTTACTAAGAACAAGTGGTGTGATTTGTTTCTGATGGATTGTTGTGTCTGGAGGTGGAATAATTGTAGTTAGGGAATAGTTGAAAAGGGAAACAGAGCATCTCATTCTCTTTCTGATTGTTCTTGTTGGATTTTTGGGAGGTCGAAGTCTGGCGTGTGCTGATGTTGTAAAGAATAGAACATTCTGAATGAAAAATTAGGGCTTGTGAATTCAATTGATGAAGAGAGAAGATTAGGGTTTGAACAAATTTGGGTTTGGTTAATAAAGTTGGTGGTAATTTGATGCTGTGTTCTTCATTAGGTGAAGTAATCCAAAAGCAATGACCAAAGCTGCGATGACGAATTAAAATTTCTAGGAATTTCCATCGACAAGCCAGAAAAACACCATACGCATATGTATATGTGTGTATATATACACGAATATATTTATGTATAGGACTCTATTTTTCTCACTAATTACGTGTTTTACATTCAACAAACAAGGAAACTTTATGTGTAACCTTCCAAGTTTTCTCCATTTTTCCTTTTCTTTCCAAATCCTTCAAAGGAAAGGAAAAGGAACCAAAAGAACCGTTTATTGAAATAATAATAATTATAATTATAAAAAAAAAAAAAAAAAATCATTGGCGATGAAGGGTAACACAAGTGAATTTGGCAGTGGAGAAGAAAGAAGAGGTAGATTAGTTAAAAGGTCGACTCTAGCAATGATGGTGTGGTGATGGGGGTGGCCGTGCCGGCTTGGAAGAGAGAATGTGTGATTGAAACTGAGGGTGAGGATGGGGTAATTTTGTCTTTTTACAATTATAAGGTTTTAAATTAAAAGACATAAAATAAAATAAAATAAAAAAGGGTAAAAATGTCATTGCACACCAATTTTGACAGTGTTTGTGATGGAAAAGTGATTTGAGGTATGGATGATAATATTTTTTAAAAGAAATTTTAAAATAATATTTAACAAAACTTAAAATCGTGTCGGTCAAATTAATCCAATAAATATATATATTAAAACAAGTACTATAAAAAATCACTTGTGGATGAAAATGACACCATACTTCTAGGGCTGCACGGAGTGCATTCTACTATTTAGTCAAGTCTATCTTCAAAAATATTTATATAATTTTATTTTATTAGGAGTTTATTTCTAAAATATATTATAGTATTTTAATTATTTCGCTAGAAGTACTTTCATTAGAGTTATTTACCACAGTGTAACCGTTTTTTTTTTTTTTTTTTTGAATGGTCAAGCAATGTATAGGATAAACTGTACATCACCGTTAAATGTGATGAAATTCACGTGAAATGCATTGAAATCACCAACAAAAAAATGAAAATTATGACTGTCAATGACACGACTAATTAAGTTTAATTGTTAGTATTGTTATAATTATTCACAAAATTATGGTTACTGTTTCTGAACCGTTTAATGTGATTGATTTCACGTAACATTCATTGGAATCACCGTAAAGAAAATGACAATCATGATTGTTACCTGTTACTTTGCTACTTTGTCAAAGTTTTTTAGGTAAATACTTTCTCAAAGTTATTCACGAAATTGTAACCCTAGTTTTTGACCATTGAATGTGTTAATTATTAATATTTTAATTATTTTGCTAGAGTTATTCACGAAATTATAATAGTTGTCTTGAACATGACCTTTCGTGTGAAATATACTGGGACTAAGCAGGGATACATATCATGAATTTTAATTCATGACCCGGGTCAGGAAAGGAAATATGGCACCGTTTTTCTTAATTTTGATTTCATATTTCTCAAATTTTACCTGAGCCACTTATTTTCCGTTTTGAACTTGCTATTTTTTATTTTTTGTTACCTTCTTTGCTATTTGAGTTAATTGAGTGTCCAAACGTATTACTTAAATTATCTCTCTAGTTAACAAAAATTAAAACTTTTAGTGAAGATTTATAAGACTTTGTTTTATTTTTCTTGATTTTTTGTTTGATATCCTTTTTAGAATTTATTGGGATTATGATAGTTTTGTAACAAATTATCATCTACCTAGTAGATAAATTCCCGATCAATGCTTTGAAAATTTTTGAGTTATGGCCACTATTAGTGTATGTGACTATGATATCATTTTTTGTTTAAAGTCTTACAACATCAATGCAAAGAGAAAAATAAAATTTTAATTTTAATTATATCTTTTGTGTTTACTTTCTTTACCTTCATCCATGCAAAGATGAAAATAAAACCCTAATTTTGATTATAGTTTTTTCTTCAACGGTGTGTTTTACAGTTATAAAACCTTAATTTTGGTTTTTTTTATTCTTTTATGTGTTTTACAGTCTTATCTTCATTGATACAAAGATGAATAAAAACCTAATTTTAATTATAATTTTGTTCTTCTTTTGCAAATCGTGAATACACATTAAAACGTACTTTTATTAGAACTCTTTTCTTTTAAAATTAAGCCACGTCCATTCAAAATTCATTTCATAAAAATAAATTCATGATATTTATCATTTTTCATACTGAAATCACCAACTGATAAATGACATTCATGGAAATCATGACTGGCACTGGCACTGGCACAACTAATTTATAAAGCTTCATCTAGTCATTTATTCATTGTGGGATCCTACAATAATTACTGAAATTAGAATTATTTATCGGGAAAAAAATTGTGTGTGTTACATTAAAAAAAAAAATTGTTTGTGTTATATTTTAAAAAAATTGTTCCTTATTAATTGATTTGTACCAATGAGATCTTAAGATCAGAACAAAAAGCGAAAACAAAAATCACCATTAGATTCATTTGAGGCATGTTTGATACCGGTTTTGTTTTTTGGTATTTTTGTTTTTGTCAGGTACTAATATATTTGGTAAAACTATTTTGTTTTGCACATTATTAAAACATTTAGTGAATGGTAGCAATCCAAATACCATTTTAGGATCAACCCTAAAATTTATTTTTATGAAAAACTCAATAACTTTTTTAAACTAACCATTATACTTTTCAAATTTACAATACTTTTTATTAGATATGTTTTCATATTTTTATTTAAAAAAATATTACAACAAATGATTGTGACCAAATATATTTCCAAATACCATTCAAAATACTACACAACAAAATATTTATTTTGTTTACAGTTATAACAAAAAAGTTACCAAACATGCCCTTATTCTTTGTCATAGGCACAACATTCTTACGTCCGCCACTAATTTTCTTTAAATTGTCTGATGCTTCTTCTTGTCTCATATAAACTCTATGGGCCCCTCAATTTGTGTTTAATGTCTTTTTCTTTGTCATTATTTGACAAAGTACCCTCTAATGCTTAAATAAGATTTTAGACAACCATAGTCCCAATTCAAAATTAATAATGATAAAGTACCCTCTAATGCTTAAATAAGACATTAAACAACAATAGTCACTACTCAAAATTGAGTGATATTTTGAGTGATTAGGTGTTCGTGAATACATTGAACATGCATCCAAGATACATTGAACTTGTACCCAAGGAACATGATAAGGTAATTTCAACAGCATATTTATACCCATTTCATTTTAAAATTTATCTCATTTGATGAATAGAATTAAACAATTAGAACCCTGCAACCATAATTCACAATCGTGGTATCGTCGCGGTGCAACGAATTAAAATGAATATTAGTATAAATCGACCAAATCAACTGATTTACGAAAATATATAATGATATCGAATCCTTAAAAAATAAATAAATAAATAAAAAACCGACGGCCACTAGCAGCTCTCGTAAAGTTTATCCTTTTTCTTACCGATAATTATTTCGTCCTTCCTTGGCAGCCTCAATCAAATGCTTGGTGGTCGACTAACGATGGTGACTGAAGTGGACATAACGTACAAGAACCATTGGATGCTACTGCAACTTGCCCTCACATGGCATGAGAACCATTAAATACTACACAATATTGGAGGGATGACTAGATGACACAACCATAGCAATTCATTTCCTTTCTAGATATTTGATCTCAAACAAAACCAAAACAATGTAAAACAAGAAACCTTTTTTTTTTACTTTTTCCCAATGATTAGGTAATAAAAAATTGTGATCAACTTGTCTTTGTTTAGGGATGAGATTGTTTATATAGTGTGTATATATATATATATATAATTCATGCCTGAGTGATGGAATCTTCTCTAAATTATTTGAGGGAAGGATTTGTTATGAAAGAAACAAATACATTGCAATCAGCCACAAAAAGGAGGAAAGAAGAAAAGATTCACAAGGTCCCAAGAAAACTCTACCCTTAACCTTTAGGCTCTAAAGAAACTAGGGATGAGCAAATATTCAATGTGTCAAATCATTCAACCAATAGCGAAATTGGTTATTGAAATGGTGAAATTTCACCTGTAACTCTGTATGTAAATTCGAAAAAGTGAAATTTTACCCATACTACATCATTGATAGTTGTGAAATTCACCAACCAGCAAAACTGCAGGAAAAAAACAGTGACTGGAATTTATTCCCTTCGTACTCGACCTTGCAGTAACCTACTTAATTGAGGGAATTTCAAGCATTCGGCATCATTTGATGCAAAAAGAAGCCATCAAGCATATAACAAATGAATCCAACTAATCTTGTGTTTTAAACAAAATTTTTATTTAAAGCAGTCGCAGCTGAATCGAAATTCCAGAATAGCAGATATCAAACATTATCCTCCTTTTAGTACTTGGGAAAAAGGAAAACTAGGCAAGAAGAAACAAGAAAAATAATTCAGCAGTGCTTTCCATCGAATCAAGTGTCAATCCAACAGAGCGCCTTTGGAATTTAAAAGTTCACCTGCAAAAAACATATGTGAAATTAAAATGAAGTTGTAACAAGTTTGTCTTTAGGTGTCCCAAAAAATTTAAACACTATTCATTTATCGACTGTTTAGTTCAGTAAGAAGAAAAATAAGGAAGGATTGTCCACCAGGTGATTTCAACATTATTGCCTTGCATATTATGGAAGGGCGTACTAGGGGATGAAAGCCTGCATATTAAAAAAGGAAGGGGAGCTCCGGCCCTCATCTTGTCCCCCTCTTCTAGGAGAAAGAATTTGGTGGGCCCAAAGGAAAGGCCCTCCCTCACTTCCCTCTCCCCTACTACCTTCCCACCCCATTTTCTTCCTTTTACTCTCCATCCTACCAAAGACCATAAAGAACGTACGCCCAACTTGGGCCTTTATTGCAATATATCCAATTAAAGACAACATGAGATACCCAATGTTAGGAAGAAAACGACATGCATCTTCATGGCAATTCATCCAAAGAAAGCGCACCATGAAATTAAAGAAAGAGGGATAAAAAAGTGAACATGCACAAGATCAGTTGGCACATTTGTTCACACACAGAGAAGGCCAATTCTAAAAGTACAAGATACCTCAATGCAATAGTTGATATCAAATGCACAAAATAGTCCAGTACATGATTACTCGGGATTAAATACTTTATTTAATGGTTATAGTAAAGGATTGCCATAGAATAGATTAGTATAGGTATAGCTTGATAGAAGAGGATTCTCACATATAATATAGGTTCTTTGAGGTTTTTCAGTGATTTAAGTAAAAGAAAGAAGTAAAGCAATCGCACTTTATCAACAACAACAACCAAAAAAAAAATGAAGAAAGCAAGCCAGAACTTCTAAGATATTCAGCAACTTGAAAAAAAGAATATAAAAACCATTTCAACAGACTAAAAACCATAAACCTGCCCATTTTAACAAAATGGTAAAACAATGTAAGTAAAAAAAAAAAAAAACTCATCGGTTCACTGATAAAACAGCATGAAGCTTGATAGTTAAAATGTGAACAGTGAATAGTGAATAATAATCATCATCAGTCTTGCTTTTATCCCATGTGAATGGGGTTGGCAACATAAATTATTTCTTTCTATTTTAAGTCATGTCTCCAATAATATTTAATTTTTAAGTCATTTCTAACTAGTTCATTCCATGTTAGTCTTTGGTCAGCCTCTTTATCTTACCTTCTGTGCAAATTAATCTTTTTTTTTTTTTTTCCTTACTGTGCGTTTACAAGTCTACATTATATATGTCCAAACCACCTAATAAGCATGGTTTCTCTTATTTTATCACTAACATTCGTCACTCCTAATTTATTCCTCACAAATTGATTATTCACCCTATCACCCTATCATTTCTAGTCAATCCTATTATCCATCCCAGTTATGTTACATGAACTTTTCAAAAGCAAGTGAAGTACTTGTGTCCGACACACAATACTCAGACATAGGTATGGGATGTGTCTGATCCGTCTGATACTTTGGTTGCACATGAACATAAAAAACACATCCAATAATTCAATTGTGTTATATTATTGCTTCAAAACACCGTGTTACATAAAAACATTACTTTATTCTAGAAAATAAAATAGAAATATTATATAATATGAATACTTAGCAGGATCCATGTGTCCTATTTAGAGATTTTGACACATCCGATGCGTAAATAAAGTACCTGTACCCGATACATGTACCCGAGTCCAGGTAACATTACTTTGTTTTAGTTTTTACTACTTCTCAAGTCTTTCGCTTCTAACAAATTTCTCCATGTTTCCAATTCTATTGCTAGACTCCTTTGAAAGTATCCAATACTACTATGTCATCAGAAACTACATGCACCATGAAATATCTCGTTATGTGTCCTTTGTTATTTCAACTAAACTATGCTAAATATATATGGTCTCAACACTTATCCTTGATGAAAAATCATGAATCACCCCACACATAATACAAACTTTAGTCATTATTCTACTGTACAGATCCTGAAAATATTTATAAGTTTTGTATGGAGGAACAGTGAACAATACCTACTACAGTATCTAGCCACACTATCAACAAAAAAACTTGAAGTTTTCTCTAATTTTCGATATCACATTTATTAATATTAATTTTCATTGAACAATATTAAGGGAAAGAATACCATGAATCCCAATGAAAGAGAAAAAAACAAAATACAGCATGCATCTTCATGGCACTGTATACGGTAAACACAATGAGATTCTAGGAATAGGGAAAAGGGAAAAAGGAAACAAGGACAATATCAAGGAGTTATTTTGATGTAATAATCGATATCAAATGCAAAAAATATTATGATGCATGACTTCTCAAGGTTTAACACTTTTCTTAATGGTTCTGGTAAGGATTGTTACAGAATAGTTTAGGTATAGGTGTATCTTGGGAGAAGAGGGTTGTCCAGAATAATTAGAGTCAAAGGACTGTTTAAGTGTAAGTAAAATATAGAAACAAAGCAATCACATTTCTGAAATAAGTAAGTAGGTGACAACTTCTATATTAAGATATTTATCAATTTCAGAGGAGATTACAAAAACTGTTTCAATGGACAAAAAACCATAATGACCATAGCGAATGTGCTAGTGTAGTGTGTTGGGTGGGGGGGGTTTGCTTGAACTTTCGGGAAAAAAATAAAGATGAAACAACAAATTGACTAGAAAGAGACAAAGACCCAGTTACTTCACTAATACAGTAGCACAATCATACCGCTCTACAATATTGAGAATGATATCACTAATCACAATAACGTGAACAGTGAAAGTACCTATTGCAATAACCAGTCACACCAAAACAACTTGAAGTTTTCACTACTTCTTTTTGGATGCGAAATTCATTAATAAAAAAAGTCCAACAAATATGATTTATTACAATACATGTAAAAATCCAAGACTACCCATTGGGATTAAGGAGTATTATCTTTTTAGACTTTTTATATATCCTTATTTTTAGTTTTTTTTTATTTTAGTGTTTTGATTAAGATTTAATTCAGTATAATATAAATAAGGTTTGATACATTGAGATTATTACGTTTTGATAATTTATATTCAGAGTTCTTCCCTTATTTCTTCTTGTTTTCCTCTATTATTCTTCTATTTTTTCCCTCCTATTATTGCTCTTTTTCTCCTTTTATTTCTCCTATTATTGCATAGGTTTACAAGTTGTTAATATTATCATCCATATAACATTAACCACAACCCAATATATGATACAAAAAAATTGAAGACGCATTAAAAATAGGGACTAGGATCCTCTATGTTGAAAGTTGTCTACGTTATCGTAAGTTGAATTTATTTCAGAATGACACATTTATTTTCTTCCTCTCTACGGCTTAGAGCATTGCAAGGTCATCATTTAAGAAAGAAATAAAGAAAATTTTGACTTATGATAAACAATGACATCGGCGAACTACCACCAACTACTCTCTCTCTCTCTCTAAGCATCAATAATTTAAAAAGTCCAAAACAAATTTGGAACACCAACGAAATCTTTCATCTGTCGTTGTACCACCTCAACAATAGCCTAATAATATCTTCCTCTGCTTCTTTTTTATCGAATCCCCGCCCAGAAGATTGAATTGCAAATTCTCATCACACTAAACTCTTCAATTTATTTGAGGGCTAATCACCAACCATCACCAAATCTAAAAACTTCCTTCAACGCCTTATCAAACCCTTCAAAGTCATCACTAACAAAGCAATGTTGTGTGTGTGTGTATGTGTATATATGCAATTTATACACGCATATATATTCATATAGAAGATTGTTGCATTCATGCAGAAGTTCATAATAAGAAGCAGTAGCTATATTGGAGCATTTACTGATGATGATGATGACGACTGTGGCATCGACCAGAAGCAGCGATGGTGGTTTAGTGAAGGTATGAGTTAACCGTGGAGGCGTTCCCTATTCCTTTATGTCGCCTTTGGTTAAACGACACTGTTTATATTAATGTTTTATCGTGAGTGATGTGGAACTCTCTAAACCTTAGATCTGGAAAAAAGGCTATGCGTCCCTCTCATATAAATTCAACTTAAGATAGTGTAGACAACTTTTAACTTAGGAATCGTGCTATACTTGAACTGAAATGGTTTCAAACATCAGATGGTAATATGAAGACATGGGACCCACCATGTCAAGCCATCTCATAATTGAAAACATTTCGGTGCATCAAATAGGCCAGACACTTTGGTTTATATATCATTTCTTTTAACGTAGAGGATCATGGTCCAAAATTACATAATTAACCAGTTCTAAAGGAATGGAACAGCAAAACAAATCAGTCCACTACCCACAATTAACAAAACGTATAGCATCTTCGTTATTCAATTGAATTATATTTTATAAACGAAAATGTAATTACATGCATACATAAATATATATGTCTCTGTGAATCATTTCAATTACATTGTTATGTGTTTTCCGACATGAGCTAAATCAAACCTAATAATATTTCTATACTTATGCAAACATAAAGTGCCGATTAATCATCTATATTCCATATGAGCATAAAACAAAATAGATTGGGATATATCATCACTTTAATGCAACTTTTGAAACAAATTGAAAACAGAATAAAATTCTAATCAGACAGAAAAATCAAATCTAGGGTTTGATGTTAATTGTGAAATTAGGGTAGATCGGATACATACTTCTTGTGCCTCTGCACAAATGGAGAGTTCTTCGCATCCTCCTCTGCATAACGTATGAATATAGAAACGATCAGATTCAATTACAGATTGTGACGATGTCTACGTGCAAAGTAAAAATGGAGTACTAAAAATGGAGAGAAGGGTACGAACCAGTGAGGCCAAGAGACATTTTGGTGACGATAGCACCGGTGACGGCGAAACCGACCAGGAATGGCCAGTTACGGCTCCACTCTCGCCTGAAGAAAACGGGCCATGGATCGAATTTCCTCATTTCTCTCTCAGTTGCAAATTACAACGACGCGTTTCAGCTCTCGACTCGTCAAATGAATCTGCTTTTGCCGGTAGAAAGACCAAAGTGTAACCCTATCATGCTATATATTGGGGTGGCAATTGGGTGAGTTTGGACGGGTTTTGGATTGGGTATAAATGGGCCTGTAGTTCATTCTCAACCTGTCAATAGTGGGTTATAAATGAATAATGGTTCAAATGAGCGAATCAAAACGGGTTAATCTTTTTTTTTTATTTTGCAGTGATATCGAAAAAGCAAATTCAGAATGACAAACAAGGCTTCATTTTTTTTCCCCCTAAAATAAGATTTCATTCACTACCGTATTAAATTGAAAAACTGATATCAAAACCTTGTACTTAAAATAAAAAAAGCAACTACTAATAATAATAATAATAATTTTGTTATTTTAAAAACAGTTCTTATAAATAGAAATACATATTATATTTTTTTTTCTTTACATTCTTTGAAGGGGCAAATTTTATTTTTTTTTGATAAGTAAGTGAGTAAAATAAATAGAAATAAGAGAATTGTACATGCACACCTAGGGTCAAAACAAAATAAAATCAAGCCTAATGGATAGGGCAACAAAAGCAATGCCACAGAGTTGCAAAGTTAAACCCAGGTACAAAAATAGTAGGCCCAGCAAAATAGAAAACCTAACAAAACAGGCACCAATTAACCAAAGACTAGGGATGGCAACGAGGCGGATGTGGAGCGGGTTTCCCTAAATCCCGCACTGCCCCATTTAATTTTTGTCAAGTCTATGCCCGTCCCGCGACCCGTGATAGGTTAAATTTTCATGTCGAGCCCTGTCTCGTTAGGAAATATTGTGCCCCGTGCCCGCTCCACTAACAAATTTTTTTCTCCTACTTTTTGGGACTTAAGCTGCTGCTATTTAAATGTGGAAAGATTGGGAATGGCACAACATAAATAAAATTATGAATCCCAACAAAAATAAAAATAAAAATAACATGCACATAACATAGAGAACATAATCAACAAAAACAATGATTTAATACAACCAAATCACAAGAAGTTCTAAACTTCAACTTCCACCATAACCAAAACAAAAGTAAATTTAATACCAAGTTTACATCCCAAATAAGTTATTAATATCATATATATATATTAAATCTAGTTATATGCTTAGCGGGGCGGGCCGGGGCCCCGCGGATATGTATATTGAACCTTTACCCGCCTCATGACCCTCAATGAGTACAAAATTTGTATCCATATCCGTCCCAACGGTATAAAAGGTGTTCCTATATCCGTTATTAACGGGCCGGGATGGACTGGGGCCCCGACGGGGCAGTAAAAATTGACACCCCTACCAAAGACCAGTCCACATACGTCAACTATACATAGATCTTATATTGATATATTCATTATTGATTGTTTATATATATATATCCCAATTGCCACCCCTGGGAGATAAAAAATGGTAGGAAAAATAAAAGAGGAGAGATAAACGAAAGGAGACAGAAAGCGAGAGGAGAGAGAGAGAGACAAGAAAACGAGATAAATGAGGAGAGAAAGACGAGAAAACGAGATAAATGAGGAGAGGGAGACGAGGAGGGAGAGATGAGAGAGATAAATAGTCGAGAGAGAAAACAAGAGGAGCAAGAGAGACAGGAGAGATAAAATGAAATAAAGTAATTTAATTTTGAAAAATATTATGTGTGGTGGGTTAAGTGGGTACCCTCTCTTAACCAACTACCAACCCATTAAATATATTACCCATTAATGATTTACCCATTAATAACTCATTTAACTAGACTAGTCACCCAATACCCAATAATTGTTGGGCGGGTTTTTGGGTTTGGGTATATTTTGCCACCCCTATATATATATATATATATATATATATATATTAAAAAATGGAATTATCATTATCTCAAATTAAATGTGTTGTGATTATTTGTGAAATAACATAAATTTGCTGGGTGATTGTTGCATTAACGAAGTAATAAAATATGTATATTGCATATATGGTTGTAAATAAATCGAGTCAAGTCGAGCTTGAGTCTCTTTAGAGAACTCAGTTCGAGTTCAACTTAGGATTGTGGCAAGTTCAGCTTAAGATTTACTCAGTATTATTTTAGAAAGCTTAAACTCAACCAGTTTCATAACAAAAGTTTTTTTGACTCAATTTAAGCTCGTTTTTAATATTGTTTTTGACTTGTTCATGAACTTGAATGAGCCTGCACAGGTCTATATTCATGAATTATACAAGTTTATATTTATGAACGTGTTTATGATCCTATAAGGCTTATGTACAAACATGTGTGAGATTACACAAGTTCATGTTCATGAACGTATATGAGCCGAATCCAATACTGTTTATGATTGACTCATTTACTATGTAAGCCTAAAATTCAAACCCAAATTTAACTCGTTTACCGTCCTAGTTACATATGCACTTTAAGCACTTGTATTAGAGAGGATCCTCTTCCATGTTCCCTTCACGAGACTTGTATACAAATGACGCGACAAACAGACAAATGGTAAAATAACATCATTTGTTAGATAAATATTAATGAAAATGATATATAATATATATTAATCTTTCTCCTTTTTTATTGATAACTTTTGAATTTTTTTGAAATGATGATGCTTATACTTTTTCATAGTTGGGAACAAATGGTAAAGTGAAAATAAATGAAATACAATACTTTTTAATTTGGTAAATTACACGGACTTCCCATAGATTTGTCACAATTACAAGGACCTCTTTTATGGTTTGAGAAATAGCACGAACCTTCCATAAGAATGAAATGTTATTATATAGACCTCCCTTTTTAATCGTCAATGCTAGTCAATGACGGATTTTATTGATGTTATGCATTAAATAAATTAAAATTATCATATTACCCTTAGCCGCAGTGAAAAACATTTCAAACCTTAAAAAGCAAGATTGAATTGTCAAAATACCCTCATCCCTTCCAATATGAATTATTTTATGAGCTGAAATGCTTATTTGAGATATTTAGCACGTCCAAGCGTATCAACCATGCAAAAATGATGCTCCACTCCTGGTTTTAAACCCAAATCTGGCCACATAATTGTATATGCCCAGCGCTTCTCGCCTAGTAATCCCGCATAAGCACGAGAAACACAAGATAGCAAGAAATGTGACGTCGTTGGGAGGTGGCCCATGAGTTCTGATTAGATGAAATAGGTAAAGTGCTTCGCTACCATAACTATGCATTCCATATCTAAAAATCATAGTTGTCTAAGTCGTAACCTTTCGTTCACTCGTTTGATAAAAAACTTACTATCGTTTCCTTACATTTCCACACATTGCATACGTATTAATCAATGTAGTACCAAGATTCACATTCAATTTCAAACCATTATTAGTTATATACTCGTGCACCCAACAGTCGAGACCAAGAGCCCCCAACTAAGAACACGCTGACAACACACTCATAAATGTCGCTGAATCAAACTTAACACCATAATTCCATATATTGAGGAACAACCCCAATAGCTTTGTAAGCAAACCCATTATGCTCGTACTGAAAAATCATTTAATTATAAGCAAAAATTGTCCACTACGACATTGTATCAAACACGTTCTTAGCAGCACCCAAATTGCCACGTTTTTCATAGAAACTAACAAGAGCAACCTGACCAAAAAAATCCATACCGTACCCACAAACCAAAGCATGAGAATGTACAACCCTACCGAATCCCAAGGCAAATAAATTAGCGTACGTTTTTTATCACGACCATGAAAATGTAATTGGCTGATGACATATGGGCAATTAGCACACGATGATGATAGATAACGACATGTAGAGGGAAATGAAACTTAGTCAAGGCTTTGATGATGAAATTGAAGAGGAATGAGTTAGTGTTAAATATTAAAAATAAAAGTTTGCGAGTGTATAGGTATGAGCCGGCGGTGCATGCTAAGGTGAGGAGTTTGGTGATGAGTGGAAGGTTACGGTGTGAGCGGAAGACAATAAGGTAAGCGTAGACTTGCTGGAGGGGTTTGAGAAGCGGACCGACTTAAAGGAAAACTTTATAAGGTGGTGAGTGTGATGGATAGTACTATACTATAAGTAGGGGTGGCCACGGATCGAATTAGGTATTAATCCTAATTCGATCTCCTCTCAATGGATTAGACAAATTTTATTCGGCCACCGATGTAATACCCCTAGTTTTTAAAAGGATATAATTGAAATTTAAAATTTTATTTCATGTGCATTTTTAGTTGTTTACGTGGTTATATGTTTATATGGTTTCATGTTATATGTTTAAATGAATTACTTGTTTAATTATAAGCGTGTGCTTAAGTTTTAAAATAATTGTTGTTTGAGTTTATTTGTTAATTGTTGTTGTGTTAATTTAAATGTAATTTTTAGTTGATGTTTAAATATGTGTTTTATTTTATTTTTAGTTTAAAATGGAGGGATTTGGATAGTGGTAATGGACTAACAGTTAGGTCTCATGGACTTTTAGAATAGATGTTGCTTATGGGTACGGATAATTACCCATACAAGATTGGTTGTATATATATTTGAGTATATATGTTTAAGAGGATAGAATATTATTATTATTAATTATTTATTTGTATGATAATAATAGTAATATTATGTTAATAGGTTATATATATATAGATAATTATAAATTATATGTATATATTAGGTTAGCACGTTAAGGCTGCATATGTATATGTATATGTATTTATATTTATATTTTCTTTTCTTTTCTTTTAAGATTATCCGACTTATTAGACGTAGGTTATGAATAGGATTATGGTTTTGATAAGCCTATATAAATATAACCTTATGTATCTATCAAGGGTTTAGAACCCTATTCACGGGACAATGGAGGCAGAGAGAGTTACAGAAAGGTTTGAGAGAAAACTGAGAAGAAGAATTAGGATTTGGCTGGAAACAAGGGGCTGAACCAATGAGAAGCTATTGAGGCTTACTCGTGGGTTGAACCTAGGGCAACAAAGGAGTTGACGACAATCAGAGGTCGCCGGAAAGTCTAGACAAAGGACGGTTAAAAGTTTCAATTTGAAACCTAGAGGCAAGTTCTATTTCTTACTCTCTCTCTTTGACTTGTGTTCTGTGCATGCCTAAATAGTCTCCGGGAACTTAACAGACATTAAAAATTGATTATGTATGCATGTAATTCAGATGTTAAAGCATATTTATGTGTTGATTAATTGAAATTTAATTGTTGAACAAATTGTTTCATATTCTGCTTTAAAATTTGGTAATGATGCATACTTTGATTTAAAAGTTTCTGAGAGAGTTTTGGGACATAGACGGACTTTCGGAAACCTAAATAAGACATTACAGAGTGTTTTTAGTATCGTCGGAGGCGAAGACGACGACAGGAAGTAAGGACAAAGCCTGCTCCCAAGGGAATGGAACCGGTTTTATAAGATTTTTGATCACGGCTCTCTGTGAGAGAGAGAGCCGGCTCCATGGATTAAGGGAGCCGGCTCCCTAAGTCATAAAGCCGGCTCCCAAGGTAGGGGAGCTGGCTCCCATTGCTTGAGAGTTGACTCTTAACTTTTGAGAGCTTGCTCTCATGCCTAAACGTGAACTGGATGTTGTTTGGAGCACTGTTTGGATACTTTTGGGGTTCCCGGACTGTCCTGGGTTAATATTAAGGACTTTAAACATTATTTCATGTTATATTAAACCTCATATTGTATAATTAATATCTATATACTAATGGATTTAACAGTATGAAAGTTTAAACAATTATGCATGCTTTTAACGGATGTACAAGATATAATTGCTTAATTTTATTTTAGCAATTTAACGGACTGTGACATGATTTCTAAATCTGTATTGAATGCATAATAGGTTCATATACTTATTAGATTTTATTATGCTTGTTCTGGATTTTAATTGATGAACTATTAAATTATGTTCTGTCAATTACATGGATGTTATTCTGGATTTTAATTGATGAACTATTAAATTATGTTCTGTCAATTACATAGATGTTATTCTAGATTTTAAATTGATGAACTGCATATTTCACGGATCAGATCGAAATGGACTCGCGGAACGGATCGGATTTTAACAACCCAATCCATGAGCTACGAATTCGGTTTTTTTGAATTCGCCACCGATTCGTGGGTCTAGCTAGCAATCCGGTCTGGATCGGATCGGATTAGATTCGCAGATTATTTGCCCACCCCTAACTATAAGTTGTTGGTTGCTATCCATTGAAGATTGCCATTCATATTAGCACATGAGAATGGTCAACGAGAATAATCATGGGTAGTTTTCATAATATATGTCACGTTGAATAAAAACTATATGGGTACTTCAATCATTTACCATTGCAACGTGAGGGCACTTAAGTAAATTAGGTAGGTCCGTTAGTACATTTGACGATCCGTTACTATGAAGTAAGAAGGGAGACGTGTGTAAGTTAGTTTCATTCTTTATGGGAGGTTCACATAATTTCTCAAACCAAAAGGAAAGTCTTTATAATTGTAGGGTAATTTACACAAACTTCCCATATGATTTGTCATAATTACAGGGACCTCCCTCCTGTTTGGGAAATTACTTGGACCTCCCATACTTTTAAAAATATCCTACACTGACTTCTCTTATGTGTGACGGACCGTCAAATATACTAACAGAGCTGTCAAAATTACTGAAATACCCTCCAATTATTACAATAAATTACTAAACTACCCTTATATATATTATTGATTAAACTTTAATTATACATTTTCTCTTTCTATACCTTTCCTTCTCTCTCCATGTCAACCATTCTAATTCCTAGCCCTAAGACTATATTATATATATATATATATATAATTTTTCTCTTTATTTCCCCATATTTCTCTCACCCTTTAATGCGCTTCACCGTATCCAAATTGCGGACCTTGAATTAGGGTTCAAATAAGGGTTGTTTAGAGAGGAGAGCCGCTGTTGGTATTCTTGATATTCTTGTTTTTCATCGGTCTATTTTTTTTTTCTCTCTCTCTCTCCAACCATGGTTTCAGTTCTGGTTCACTCCCTCTTCCTATTCATCATCGGTTCTTGGTTCTCTTTTCTCTCTTATTCTAGCCTTCTGTCTTAATTTTGATTGTTGTTGTTGCTGTTGTTGATTGTCATCTACATAGGTATGTTTATGCAATTTTTATTGGTTTGACTACCTAGCTTAAAGCCTTTTTATCTCTTTATATATAATGATTTACTCATCAAAAAAAAAAAAAAAAATTATAATTAAAAATTCTGGCTCTTGGTTAATTAATTGATGCATCCATCATTTGGTACATATATAAAAAATCTAAACACAAACAAGAAAAAAAACTAGGCTAGAGATTTAGTAACCAATCTCAATTTAAATATTAAACCGAGATGACCACTACCCACAAATATATTCGAGAATTGGAGAAAGAAAAGGAACACCAATGAATTGGAACCAGGAGAGAGGAAAAACAAATTAAGATAGTGGGAGAGAGAAGGGAAAACGACGAAGAAGAAGAGACGGTGTGGGAAAATCAATCCAGATCTTTTTTGGGTCAAGGCAATTACGTACCCTAGCTTGAAACACAGTGATAGAAAGGTGGAATTTGAAGTTTGATGATATAAAAGGCATACAAATTCTTTATGGGTCGAACCCTAATTTAAAGTTTTCTTCTTCATTAGAATCTGATCATTACCTTCGTCGGAACTCATGGCTGGAAGCTTTCTCTGTCGCCGGTTGAAAAATTTAGAGAGAGAAATTGAGGAAAGATATATATTCTGGTTTATATATATATATATATATATATATATATATCTTTTAAATGTAATATGAAATAATATAGGCAATGGTATTTTCTGCATTTCATGAAAAATAGTAGCCGATGTCATCATTTTTTGTCGTTGACTCTAACAGAAGGGATGTCCATGTAGGATATTTTCAAAAGCAGGGGAGGTTCGCATAATTTCCGAAATAGGAAGGGTACTCCCTATAATTAGGGCAAACCATAGGGGAGGTCTGTGTAAATTACTCAATTATGACAAACCATAAGAAAGCTACATGTAATCTACCTTTTTTTATTTTAGGAGGGGAAGTGTAGAATGAGATTTCGTTATATGTATATATATAAAGACAAAAAACGCATGCTTGTTTGTCACTCATAAAATAATTATAAAAAATTTAACAAATATAAAACTATTTTCATAAAACTATCAAAGACATTAATCTAAAAGCTTAATTGGTTTATTACTCTGAAAATAAAAAAATGTATAAAAACTTTGCATGGTTCAGTTTTTTAAATACTCAGTTATTAAAATCACTATTTTAAATTGATTTCTGTACAATTTTTTAATTTTTAGTTATCAAAAAACAAAAAACAAAAAACATAGCCAAACAATTGAAAAAAATTCACTATTTAAAGGATTGGTAGTTTTCATAATTATCATCTCAAATCTTTTTTCATTTCCTTAATTTTTTAAAACCAAAGATATGGTCTTTACCAAAACACCTATTGTCCAATTATATGATCTCTTCTAAAAGAAATATATAACTATGGTCCTAGGTTATGAACAAGTGATTAGACTTGTCTTTTACTTTACTTTCTTTTCATTTTCATTAATCAAAACAATGAGTGAATTGCCATTATGACTTGTTTTTTTTAGATAAAAAGAAAATCTCACGGTAAGAAGTGAAAAAAATAAAATAAAATAAAATAAAATAATTTTCAAGTGCAACAGGCTATGAAAAATGTTATTTCTTCAAATACTTTTATAATTTTATTTTATATAAATAAAAAGTAAGGTCTTCGGGATTTCTTCAATTAGACAAGATGTGCTAGTTAAAATAAATAACAATGTAATGGGAGAATTGAAACAAATTAGATCTAATGGAGACAAGTTAGTAACATTTTCGTGATTAGTGTATATCAAATATGTTTATTATTAAACATGTCAGGAAAAAAATATTATGTATATCGCTTATTAGTGTGAAATAATATAAATCAAGCTTAGATAGTACTCTCTTCGTTCCATAATAGTTGGGATTTTGGGAATTGTGACTCACAAAATAGTCCTACGACTCATACATATAAAAAGGGCTAAAATGCATTATTAAATGACTGGATTTTTTTAATATACTAGTTATAAATAAATTTTTTTTTCAGCATTTGTCCAATTTCAAGTGTTTAGGGGTTTAATGATAATTGAAGTATTCTTAATTAATTAATTTTAAAATTTAGTTATAAAGTAACTTGTTTCTAATTATTGTACTACTACTAGTCTTCAACAAAATGGGAAGTGTTTGGGGGTTTAATGATAATAATTCAAATGTTGGATTGTTTGGATAAAGATTAAAGCCCACCAAACAAAAGAAATCCACGTCACTATTCCGCCTCCCAACAAACGACTACTACCGTCGATCCCAACCTTATCAACGGCCTAAAATCAACAAAATCACAGCACACGGATCGACCCCCCAAACACCGAAACTCAAACGTCCCGCCTATGATAACCCCGCCCAAATTCAAACCTCCCAAACCCATCTTATATAAACCCCCACTCATCTACATCTCTCACATCACCACAAGTTCAATCGCTTTCTCTCTCTAAAACGTCCCCACAAATCTCAGTCTTTCTCTCTAACTCTCATCAAAATGTCAGGCCGCGGCAAGGGTGGCAAGGGGCTAGGCAAGGGCGGAGCAAAGCGGCACCGCAAGGTCCTCCGCGACAACATTCAGGGCATCACCAAGCCGGCGATTCGGAGGCTGGCCAGAAGAGGAGGAGTCAAGAGGATCAGTGGGCTGATCTACGAGGAGACCAGAGGTGTGCTCAAGATCTTCTTGGAGAATGTGATCAGAGATGCAGTGACCTACACCGAGCACGCCAGGAGGAAGACGGTGACCGCCATGGATGTGGTGTATGCCCTGAAGAGGCAGGGCAGGACTCTGTACGGGTTTGGGGGTTGATTCTTTAGGGTTTGTAGCAGCTGGGCTTTGTCACTTTGTTGGTTTATTAGGTGTTTAATGATGTAACTGAATGATCCTGTTTTAAATAGAAACATATTTCTCGTTTCTGCTCAGATCCTTCTCTTCTCTATATGTGTCTATGCATGCGTGTCTATTTTCTGGTGTTTCAATTTGAGTGGTTTTGAGGTTGAAAATAATGACTTTTATGAAGTCTGAAGGAAGATGGTGAGAGAGAGCAGAGATTGATGGATGCAGATTCACATGTAAGAGTCAGAGAAAAGTCAGACAATATGAGTAGTGGCAAATAAATTGATAAGCTTGGCCTAATTCTTAGCCATCTTAGCATGCATAAACCTTTTATCTCAATCTCTTTTGCACTTAACCATAACTTTAGCTGTAACTTGAGTCTTAGATCGGATTCTTACCTGTCCCATTGTTGTAATCTGTAAAACGAATCAAGCCATCAGACTTTGACACCATTTTAGGCTAGGTTTGTCGCTTTAGTTTGTACTGCATTCACATAATAACTCAGGTAAATAAAAGGACCTAAATATATTTTGTTCCTGTCAAGAGCTCCATTGACATTGTCCCAACAACTTCGTTCTACTCCATTCTCCATGCTGATCTATTAACACTTTCTTCGCTTTCTTCTCCATACTTCATACTCGCCGAAAGGAACAGAAATTTCATGGACTACTCATCATAAATAATGGGTAGATATATTTGTTGTTGAGATTTATGACAGCAATGCATTAAGTTAAGCAGCCTATAGCGTTTGTGCCGTCGATGCCAACCACAAGTGCAAAATTGACGAGCAATAGAAAAAGTGTACAACTGAAATTATACTGGACAAAACTGGACATCCCATTCAAAGTTGAAGAAAGTTCTCAATGCAGAAATGGAGGAAGATGGTATTATGTGGATTGAATCATGAATAGAACCAACAAATGTTACACTTGCATAGAGAGAACAATGTTATATAATCTCATTCATTAATGATCTAAGCGAAAGAGGAAGATAACAGTTGCTGGGAAAAAAAGTACAACACTGAGTTAGATGTTTGCATCATTACAACTGAAAATCAAAATCATTAATTTACCAAATTGAACTAGTTCCAAGCTTGTGAACAAAACCAAGATCACCTAGACTGCTCTCTCAGATACACAGACAATGGCATATGGCACCAAGCCTTAACCTCTACAAAAGTACCAGAGAATTCAATGCACCATGTTGTCGAGCTTCAAGTTTCAATTGCCCGCCGGAACTAAAACAGAGAACTCAAATTTGCTCAAGATTAATGAATGTGAATTGATTGCCATGTTGTATTTCAAATTTTCAAACAAAAGCAAATTCACTACCATAGGAGAAACCAATGTATAGTTGTAATAGGAGATGAATGACCATAAAAAGTCCACTATGTTCCTCATTTTCCCATATCATAGTAACTTTGAAAGATTCAACTTCTCCTCATATAACTTCAAAAGCTCAGGAGCTTCTTCCTCATATTTTTTCACATACATCTTTAGGAAGTAACTTTCAGGAGACCCCGACATCTGATTCAAGCAAACCTTTCGACAACAGAATTTCATAAACCAAATACCTTGGAATGATCCTCCTCTCCAAGCTAAAGGAAATAAGCACTGGCCTCCTCGCAACAAACGAAGACTCCCAACCCACTTTATTGACAAAAAAATCCATTATCTCCATAATCTTATCCTCCAACACCGTCATACACCACGGACGCTTCTCAAAAGCCACCAAAATCTCCTCTTGAGACAAACCCCACCTCTTATAAACCTGGCTCCACCTTCTTTTCCCAAGTTGATTTTCTTTGTATCACTGCTTGAACTGCTGAAGCAAACTTCATTCTCTTAGGGTTAAAATCCATTTTCTTTACTTCCTCCACAACCTCCTTAAACCTACGAGTAGTAGTCCTGAAAGCTCTAGATTGATACGCCAAGAGAGAGACAATATTTGATTCGGGCATACCTATTTCTCTCAGAGCTTCAATTTTGGGTGCTGCAAATATGTCACAACAAAACCCCAGCAAAAACGTTTAATAGCTACAATTGTTTTTTCTTCCGACTTGAACAATTTCTTGAAGAAATTCTATGATGGGATGATTTGGCTTTCCAAACTTCTTCTGAGAATGTCTGGTGTTGCAGCCAGTATTTTGGCAAAGTCTTGGGCAGAAACGCCTTTAGAGTGGTAAAATCGATTTTGGACAAAAGGATTTTCTCGGGATCGGACAAGAGTACCGGAGGGGATGTTCTGATGAGACTTGAGATCTGGGTTTCGGTGAATCCATGGTTACCGAAGAATGCGAGAACAGAATCTGGTTTGTCTGAAGTTCATGTACTTGGAGGCCGAGAGAGCATTTTTCGGAGGAAACCCACATGATTTTACGAGGTACTCGACCGTGAATGAGTGTTGATTTGAAGTGTTAGTTGTGGATTTGATTGTTGACGATGATGATAATGAGTGGTTTTGAAGGAAATGCAGTTTCTGGGTTTGTGAAGTTGATGCAACACACCTCAGACAAGACAAAGTTTTGAATATAAAATTAAACATGGACATGATGGAAGGACTCACCTGTTCTGTTCTTGTTCTACAGAGGAAATCTTCTCGCAAATTTGGATCTGCTGCCCTAAACTCTTTTCCCATAAACTCATAAACGACTAGTAAGGGCGCTAGGTTTTTTTTTTTTTGGGTAATGGGCACTAGGTTGCGAGTTCGGCTGGGGGTGGTTTTTTTCAATTCTGATTTTGGGTATATAAAATAATTTGGATCAAATAGAATTTCGGGTTTTTGGTACATAATATTCAGGGGGGTTCCAAAATTATAATAAAGTAACAAATTTGCAATAAAGTAGGATTTGAGGTGGATTGAGAGAGAGGTGTATGCGCGGATAAATTCGAGAGACATAGAAAGAGGATGTCAGTATACAAGAATATCAATGACTCCCTTGATGAAGGTGTGAAACGTGGACAAATAAAATATGGCGATATACTCTCCATGTGGGAGGTCATTTCCTCCTTTTTGTCCCCATTCTCTTGGCCCTACAACACATCTTTTAATAACCCAAGTGAGAGTGGGTAATGTTATCAAATCACACGTGAGTCCATTAACCAAATAATTAGAAGGGATTAATTTTTTAAATAATTATAAAATAATGTTAAATAAGATAGGATTAAATGTTAGGGAGTCAAAATAGTATTTCTCTCTCTATCAGGCGGGCAGAGTGGCTCGACCAATCTTGAATTTCATCCACTAAACAAAAACCTCCTCAGATCCCAGGTAATTTAGAGTCCAGCTTTCAACTAATTTCTTTGTTCTTAATTTTTCAAATAATTATAAAGTAATGTTAAATAAGATGGGGTTAAATGTTAGGGAGTCAAAATAGTATTTCTCTCTCTATCAGGCGGGCCGAGTGGCTCGATCAACCTTGAATTTCATCCATCAAACAAAAACCTCTTCGGATCCCAAATAATTTAGAGTTATGTTTTCAACTAATGTCTTTGTTCTTTAATTTAAAATATGCTACTGCCAGGGTAACTTTGACCGTTGATTAGGTTACGTGGGCCATCACTATTAATGTAGGTAGCTTGTTTACCCTGAACTGGGCCATTATTGATGACATGGCATTTGCCATGTGGATTCGAGGGTTTGACACCCATACGGGTCAACCCATTTTATTTTGTGCTTTTGAAGCTACTGATAAGAAGAATAGAAGATGAATGAATACTGTGTGTGTCTGTGAAAAGAGACGCAAAGAGTCGATAGAGAGGAGGGGAGAGAGAGAGGGTTCCGCCGTTAAAAATGGCGGGGAGAGTACAGTTCTCTGTACAAAACAGCCTTTCGTTGTTCTCATCATCAACCTTATACTATTCCAGAGGGGCACATAATCTGAAGAATCAACTCCATTTTCGTCAAAACCTGTTCGCGTCTTCCTCCAAACGAGCTCTGTACTGCACTTGCAGAACAACCAGTAATAATCTCCCAAACGACGCAACTCAGCAGCTCGGAAAAAGCTCTGAACCATTTGTCCTCACAACTCCGCTTTATTACGTAAATGCCCCTCCTCACATGGGCAGTGCCTACACCACCATCGCCGCCGACGCCATTGCCAGATTTCAGGTACCCTTCCTCGACCTCCAATCAAACCCTATCTCCACTTTCATTGGATTTTCCTCCATTTTTTTTTTTTTTTTGGGATTAAATTACTAGTAATTGTAAAGTTCTTTATCTATTGTTTGGTTGATGGGAAAGTGAAAGGAAAAGAGAATTACCGAGTATGGTATGTTTTATTGTTTTGATTGTCATACCTCAATTAAGACAACTAGTAGAAGATGACAATATAGAATATGAGATTTCAATTTCAGCTTGCTTTTGTTTTTATACATTTTCCAGAAATTGAACTGAATTTTGTTGCTCTGTTGGTAGCTAATAAGCAACATCTACTTTTTTTTCTTTTTTTCTTTTTTTTTAAAAAAAAAAAAAAAAAAAATCATAAGCAAACTTTAATTTTATGCTGGTTTATTCAAATTCTTCATAAATGGACAACAATGTGATGCTAACGTTACAGTGAAATGTCTCATATGGTGGCGGTGTTGCATTGTTGGTGGCACTGATTCTGGGCGAAAAGTTCTGCTACTTGAAGTAGAATTTGAAACTGAAACAAGCTTTGCCTTTAACACCATATCTTTTTTATCTTTATTCATGAACTTTGTAAAGTAAGCTTTTTGTCTATATGAATAGTTTTGTATATATGAAAACAGGATTAGATGAGTGCAAATGGAGGTTTTAGCAGTAACATTTGAATCATTTCTAGGGTTGCACTATGATTTTTCGGGTGTACTGCTTATTTCTATTTCTTGCGACAGAGACTTTTAGGAAAGAAAGTTATATTCATTACTGGCACAGATGAGCATGGGGAGAAGATTGCCACTGCTGCTGCTACCCGTGATTCCAGCCCAAGTGAACATTGTGATGTCATCTCCCAAAGTTACAAGACGCTTTGGAAAGAGGTACAATTCTATAGCATAGGGATTCAGCTTCAATACGCATTATATAGTTTTCTATTGAATGTTTGAACTATTGTGCGAATTTCTTCGTTTGAGAATTTCTATTCTTTAATTTGTTGACTGCAGTTAGACATAGCTTATGATAAGTTCATTCGGACTACTGATCCCAAACATGAAGCCATTGTGAAGGAGTTTTACTCTAGGGTTCTTGCCAATGGCGACATTTACCGCGCTGACTATGAGGGGCTTTATTGTGTCAATTGTGAGGAGTACAAGGTACTACTTTGTGTTAAAACTTGCAATTTTGGAGTTGTGGTATTTTATACTCGTACCAGTATTTTTGATGAACCCCAATTATGCCATGAAAATTATTGGTGGCATGTGAGTACATGTGGGAAGATCCCAAATTATATATGTTTACCTTCACTTTGTAATGGAAATAAGAACCACCTTGATCATAATTCCTTTCAGTGTATATATCTTTGAGGAATAACATTGGAATTTTTAGCTGTCAATACATTAATGTATTAATGGATTACAATAATTTAGAATGTATATGATCAAGGAGGTTTCACCGGTGAAGCCAGCCTAATTGTTGGTTCATACCTTAGTGAGTGGTTAGACATTGGTATTTTATACTAATCATGCATTTCCTATCTATGCTTGTAATCTAAGTCGTTTTTAGTTTTACTATCTTTTAGATCATGTGGCTGAAGCTTTAAAGATATTACTTGTAATCATGTATTGATATAGTGGTGAATCTGGTGATTTTCTGGTGCTGGTATACTTCTTGAAAATTGAAGTGAATACTTGGTTTGGTGAAACAAATGTTTTGCTTTTGGTTTCTTTTTTGCTTTCCTTCCTTTTGATCTCTCTCTCCTTTTTATGTTTATGTTTATCATTTGCTTGAGCATAAGTATGTCTTTTATGTTTCTGTGTTTCTTTTCTGTTCTTTGATTAGACTACATCTTTTTACATAGTAATAATTTATTAATGCACTATCTTTGGCTCCAAAAAATTCCACAGGATGAGAAAGAATTGCTTGATAACAACTGTTGCCCCATGCATCTAAAGCCATGTGTCCCAAGGAAAGAGGACAATTACTTTTTTGCCCTTTCAAAATATCAAAAGCGCTTGGAAGAGACTTTGACACAAAATCCAGATTTTGTGCAGCCTTCTTTTCGTTTAAATGAGGTGAGACCTCAAGTCATTGAAACCCAGCATAATTAGCCTTTGTTAAGGTTCTGGTAATGCTGATTTATACTTTGCTGACTGACTTGCATGAGTTGAAAATAGTTTTCTTTTAGTGTAGGGGATCTAATCTGGATCCTCATGAATATAGGATCTGAATACAATCACTTAATTTTGTTTAAGTGCCAAGTTCAAAAGAATTACAACTTATAGAACTTTGACTGCTTTTGCTTTAATTACATTTTGTAGAAACTGTCATAATATATCATATGTATTCTAGAAAAGAAAATTTGATATGAGTTGAAGTTGGTTATACATGCTTTCAAAATATATATATTTGTTTTTAGCTGATTCTGCCACTTCATGAGAGAGAATATATTCATTAAAAAATATGAAGATTGCTCTAGAATTTACGAACTATTCTTTTCAGCATTTATTATAAAATCATATTGACTAATCCTTCATGGTCTTTTGAATTGAATTTAATGCCAAAGGTTAAGCCTTTCTCCAATCTTGTCCTCCCAACACACTGCGTAGTTGGTCATTTACACGGAATTTCTGGCCTTCTGAAATGAACTAAAACTTTGAAAGCATGCTTTAATCCCCATGGCTAGTTTAACTACTTAACTTCCATGTGTATGGTTCAAAAGGGTTTTACAATAGTAATTGAAGGAGAAACTTCCACTTCATATAAGATAACCTTAAACTTTCATTTTGTCAAATTAAAATCGGCTCATCTTTCTATTCTAAATAATTTTTGTTTTTGTTTTGTTCCATCTTCAAGTGCCCAGATATATAGACACTTAGTACCACATATAGTAATGCTCTGTGAATAGCATTATTGCTTCTTTCTTGCATCACTTACGTTGAACCTATGCATTAATGACTTAGCTTGAAGGTTCATTCTATAATTCCACTTTCTTCAATGATACCAATAGAACTTCTTTTAGGTACAAAGTTGGATAAGAAGCGGACTGAGAGATTTCTCTATATCTCGTGCATCAGTGGATTGGGGTATTGCAGTTCCCAGTGACTCCAAGCAGACTATATATGTATGGTTTGATGCTTTACTGGGGTAATGTTGTTTCATCCTTTGGTATTATGGAATAATTTCATGTTGTATGTTTATTAGCCATCAAAGTTAACATAATTATTGGGCTTGTATTTTTAACTTTATCACTTCAAACCTTTATCTGTCTCATACTCCCATGATGACTTTTAGAATCCATGTATTGTTTTGGTTATTGTCCGTGTCTCGAACTTTTTGTTGTAGTTGTTACTGTAAACATGTGGTTTTCTTTTTGTTTGTGTTTCTGTTTAAATTGTGTTTTACTTGAGTCCATTGGATCATTATTGGACTTTATCAAAATTTACGTCCATGGTTTGGAGTTGCTATGTTTCTGCCATGCGACTTTTGTGGTGTAATTCAATGATGGCTCTTGCTATAGAGAATGCAATCTATGAGGCCAGTCTATCCGTCCATGCCACTACTGCGTTATATCATTTTTCTCAGCCAAGACTAAACTGCGATTTTGTTCATTTATCCAGAACATCAGCCAGTACGTGTAACCTTCCCCATCTGTATCTCCAAGTTTGGAGCCAAAATTCAAATCCTTCAAAGCAGAGTTGATGTAACAAAGTGCCTGATGTATTAAGAAAAAAATGAGTTGATATAATAAAGTCGCTGTTCAATTACCAATAACACCTCTTTTTTGAAAATTAATTTATATTTTTTGTTAGATATTATTGATTTGCTATATAAAATAATTGTGTTGACCTTTTTCTGTAAATAAATTTGTTAAGAATTTTTCTTCTCTCTCTCTCTCTCTCTCCCTCCCTTCCTCTCATGTCTTTTAAGCAGTTACATATCTGCACTGTCAGAGGAGAAAGAACAACCTGATTTACAAACTGCAGTTTCTTCAGGTTGGCCAGCCTCAGTACACTTAATTGGCAAGGTATGACATTTTCATTGCATTTCAGAATGCGCGTTCTTTTTCATGTTTTTTGTCTGGTACCTTAAAATGAAACCAACATGGCTCAAACATCATATGATATTCCAACATTAATCCATCAAATTTCTTCTAACTTGGAGCTTTTAGAAACAGACGAATGCCACCTTTATTATATTAAGTTGTGTCTGGTCAAAGGATTTGATAGAACTAATTGACTAAAGTCTATTTGTTAGTTCAAAGGAGCCAAGTTGGGATATTCAGCTCAAATTTCAGATCATGATAACCAAGTAGCGATTTTCCTCTCTAAATTCTTCAAATAAATAAATAAAGAAGAAGAAGAAGAAGAAGAAGAAGAAGAAGAAGAAGAAAATTGGAATTAAGTTATTAGTTTTAGCTTCATGAGATAAATTGTTCCTAAATTGGTAAACGATGGTGTGACCAAGGCGACCATGTATTACAGTTTCTAAATTAAAGGTTTGTGTTTGTTCAATCAAATTCAAAGAAGGATTTTCAATAATCAAGGTTCTTAGACAAATATCTTGGTCCTGCTATCCTGGTGAGGTCCATCTATAAGATTAATCACCCTCCTTCATATTCCTGAAATTTTGTCGGTAATTGGAGATGTTGGAACAGCTACATATTAATTCTTACTTCTTGCCTCTATTATCTGCTACAGTTTTCACTTGTCTCATTCTTTCACTAGCTTTAAGAGACTTGCGGTATATAATCCTTTTTTCTTTCGGAAATTTGACTTGAGATATATAATCCTTACTTTCCATCTTTCATGTTGTTCCTACTGATTCATGGGTGGATCTATTCAACCAATTACACAATTAAGTTTGTAAATTATTATGTTTTATTTATTCATGTTTTTGATTTATTTTTTATTTTTATTTTTTTGCAGGATATATTGCGATTTCATGCAGTTTACTGGCCAGCTATGTTAATGTCAGCCGGACTAAGCCTGCCTAAGATGGTGTTTGGCCATGGATTCTTGACGAAGGTACATAAAACCTGGTATAGAACTTATAGTTTATTTTGTTTTATTTTTTATTTTTCCCTTTCAATGTATAGCAATATCTGGCTTACATTAGGCATTAAGCCTTCTTAAAATAGCATTTAGTTGTAGAACACTAGAACTTGAGGGTGAGCCTTGGTGCAACAGTAAGGTTGCTCCATTGTTATGGGTTCAAATAACGGATACAACCTCTCCTCAAGCGGGGATAAAGCTGTGTACATCTGACTCTCCCCATACCTCACATTTGTAGGGGAGCCTTGTGCATTGGGCCAGGCCCCCACTTTTCCTTTTTCATTTTTTTTTTATTTTTTTATTTTATTTTTTATTTTTTTTACACTAGAACTTGGCGATTTATCCAAGTTCATTTAAATGTTTATTGTTTTCATGTAAAATCTCTATCTAAAGGCATATTAATGGGCTTGGATTTTTTGTGTTGGGTGCACGCATGTGTCTATGCATCAGCCAAATCCAAGGATACCGAGGCATGGCTGAAATATTCATATCATTCATGCTACTTCACATGTATTTTGGTTGCAATAAGATTTCTACTTGTAAAATAAATCTTATTTTCACATTCCGAATGTTAGGTTGAACAAACTTTAAAGAATGGTAATGCAGCAAGTTGTCATACTATATCTTCCTCATGTCTAATTGATGTTGTTCAACATCTATTATTTGGTTTGTTCGGTGACATGCATCAGGTCTACGCGGACCATTATGTTTGGAAGTTGCCTAGGTTTGCCTAAACGATTTAAATTTTTTTTTTTGTTTATTGTTTTCGGAAGCTTGGAGTTGCCTAATACTATAATATATATATTTTTCTTCAAACAAATCAAACTTTTTAAATTTAGCAACTTCGCCTCCTAAAATTTATCTTTATTATTAACGATTAGTGTAGTCAGCATACCGGTGGTAATTAGTTAAGAAGCTTTGGTGGATCTGGTTTTGTCTGAAACTGGTTAACCTCCTTGTTATTGTTTACCGGGTACCATAGTTGGATATGCAGCTAAAAATATCCCGTGTCTTGATTAAATCTCTTTAGATTTTTAGAGTTTTGATAACAATTCTGTGAGTATATTTATAGCAAATTTGGATGAGTACTTAACCAAAGTGCTCTGGTTGTTGTCTTGTCTCCTGGACTTTACTTGGATACTTGGGCAGTTGAGCATATGATATGATACCAAATATACTCTTGCTGTAAGCTACATCTACTCTGTTTATATGTGAACTTTTTTAATAAAAAATGTTTTTTGTCCCCCCACCTCTCCTTGTGATACCGTTTATTACAAAAAGAAATAAGGATATGAGACAGACATGAGGGGCATTAGAAGCTTCTTGTATGCTAGAATGCTTTCGTCCCCTTTGTTTTGTATATTGGACTACAAGGCTACCCCCTCACTATATTTCATGCTCTACCCCATTCTCTCCATCCCTTTATCCCAATTGGAATGAAGAGATGCTACCTATGAAGGTTGGACCACCTTTTTGAGGAGCTTCTAATAGAAATTGAGTTATGTTAGCAGATATGATAGCCACGATTTATGGATTTGACTTTATTTACGCATATGTCTAGGCATAGAATATGCAATGATTTTATTTAGTTTCCTTTATTGTAATATTAACATGTGCTCTTTTTAGTATATAAATATGAAAGTTGTTGGGCAGTGGAAGCACGCGAACAATGAGGATCCAATAAAAGCCAGCAAAGCAATCACACACAAACACAAGATATACATGGTTTAGCCAAAAACAGCCTACGTCCATGGATAAGAAAAGATTCCACTATGATTCGTAGAGATATTACAACAATAGAGTACCAACACCACGTACATGTCTTTTCACCATATACCACTCCACGAGCCTATCTCCTCGCTATTAGCGTCACTGGTGTTTTTCCTACTCTATCAATCCGCATACTACCTCTACCTATCAACTCCCTCGTGAGACTACATCTCTCTCAATTTCATAAGTCTCAACCTACAACATATGTACCTATTTATAGAGTTACAAACATAATTCCTTGTTGGACAAGGATTACAATTTCTTAGAGGCCAAGACTTGCCAAATAAGAAATTACCTAATAGAATACAACTCTAAAATAGAATCCTAATTAGAATAGGAATTTGAGACAATTTCCAACAAAAGTTGTGAATGAGTGTATATAAATCTCTTTCAAACCTTTTACATATCTCTTTTCTTTTCTCTTTTCTTTTATATTGTATTTTTACTTGGTATCAAAGCAAGGGTGGTCCGACTGCAATAAGGGCATTGCGAGTTCGGCGCCACCCATTCGGAAATGGTCTAAAGTGGCATCGCCCATCCAGCAGGTGTCGGGTAGGCAGGGCGATCCGACCTCAATGAGGGCGTTGCGGGTTTGACACCACCATTTCATAAATGGTCTGAGGAGACATAGTTGTTTCTTTTTATGGTCTGAGAAGACATAAAACCAACAATGTGTCTCCTCAGACTGTAAACAACCAACAATGTCTCCTCAGACCATTCCCCTTCATACACATGTTTAAACAATATAGTTGAAAGAATCAACAATGTCTCCTCAGACCATTTCTGAATAGGTGGTACTAAACTCACAACGCCCTTATTGAGGTTGGACCACCCTGCCTACTTGACACCTCCCGGATGAGCGATGTCACCTTAGAGCATTCCCGAATGGGTGGTGCCGAACTAGCAATGACCTCATTGTAGTCGGACCACCCTGGCTCTGATACCAAGTAGAAATACAATATAGAAGAAAGAGAAGAGAAATATTTAAAATGTTTGAATGAGATTTATATACACTCATTCACAACTCTCATATATGAATACTAAAAAGAGCACATGTTAATATTACAATAAAGGAAACTGAATAAAATCATTGCATATTCTATGCCTAGACATACGCATAAATAAAGTCAAATCCATAAATCGTGACTATCATATTTGCTAACAAGTTAAAACTCAACGGATCAGCTACATTGTATAAAAAATCAAGTGGTAAATGGCTGCAAGGATATGAATTGAATTGTTTCTGGATTAGAAGTAAAATACCAGCTGGAGTGAAAGGCAATTATGGGTTCACTGCAGAACCATGGTGACATTTCGTCGTCTGCCTAACTGCCTAAGTATCAAGGACATGTCTAAAGAAGAGCCCCATCCATTTCAGATACCAACACTTCTTCAGTACTCCTAGATATGTATTCGACATTTCTTGGATGTTTCTGTAATTTAGAAATAACTTCCATAATTCTGGACGTTTGATGGGCACTTCTTAGATTCCTAAGCAAATGACCAATATAGTACAAGCACTTCTTTGTCTTGTTAAAGGCCTTGTCGAAGATTTTGGAAATAGGATGAGCATACTGATCTTTGAGTTTTGTACACAGGGCAGAGATTGGCCACGCGTCAAACACACTTTTTGATATAGGAAAGAGAATTTTTTAAAGAAAATAATATAACGAGTAGTAGTAAATGTAATTATAATTACAAATATCAAATTTTATGAATTTTTTCTTACACAATTTTTAGTACATAAACTTGGAAATTTAATTAGAGTCATGTTCATTTTTTATAATATCCGTATAAAGAATTCATTACAAAGTGCGATACCTATTAATTGAAGATACCCTGATGATGGAATGGGTATTGAGTTAATCTTTAACGTTGTTTGCAGAGGCCCTACTTGAGCCTGCTTGTTAGGTTTGACAGACTGATATTTTTCTGTTCAATCAAATATTAGCCCTTTCATATGATATTTGTATATTACAAAAATATATACTTTTTTTTATTGTTGTGTCCAAACTGCCCATGACTTTTTTCTATTCTTGAATTGGCCACGTTGACATATTCGCTTGCACTTTGAACTCCCTTCCCACAATCATATAATTCATCTGAGCCAACTCACATAAAATGCTTAGTTATGACTTCTTCTTCTTTTTTATTTTTATTTTTATTTTTTACCTAAAGTTTGAATTTTTTGCATTCATAATCATGTTTAATCGGGTTTAAAACCTTAGTTGATGTCTCAATTTGTTATTTATGGACTGTGATATTAGACAGATATTACCTTAGACTACTATATTATCAATGTTTGTTCGGACTTGCAACAACAGTAGATGTGCAAGTGACTATAAAGCTTTTAATAATTTATCTCATATTCCTATTTTCATTTCATGCAGCTATACTTTTTATTTTTAAAATTTTAGGATGGCATGAAGATGGGGAAGTCACTGGGCAATACGATTGAACCGAATGATTTGGTGCACAGATTTGGGCCTGATGCTGTTAGGTACTTCTTCATTAGGGAGGTGGAATTTGGTAATGATGGGGACTACTCAGAGGACCGTTTCGTCAATATGGTCAATGCACATCTTGCCAATACAATTGGTATCGCCTTTTTTTTCTCCCGAAAATGGAGTATAAAGATTTGTTTGCTAATTATTTTTGGTTGATTTCTGATATTGAGATAATGATATATAAGTTTAAACCTTAAAATTATTTGTGTAGGGAATCTTTTGAACCGTACACTCGGACTTCTGAAAAAGAATTGCCAATCAACTTTGGCAGTGGATTCGGCCATTGCAGCTGAAGGAAATGCATTCAAGGACACTGTGGAGAAGCTGGTAATGTTTCAACTGAAATTTTCCTTTATTTCATATGCTTGGACTTGAGTAAAATGACTATTTGAATTTGGTTGTGTTTTAGCTTAATCAAAATAATATGTTTGCTCTCTCTTTTTCTTTTCTTTTCTAAATGTACTTGATAGATTTGAACATTTCTTTACCTGCTGAAGCATGATGATGAGGGACCCACCGGGTGGCCTTCCCTACATTTAGATTTGCTCATATGAATAACAAGTTGCGCAGATTTTTCCCTCTACAAGCTGATACTGTGCATACCAAAGTTTTGTATATTCTCATTTCCTCTGTTGGGTAAACCAGATTAATGTGTTGCGGCCTAAGATTGGTAGAGGAAGGGTGTGGACTTTCCTGGATTTGGCAATTTGTAAGATGATAAAAGTGTTGAGTGCCTTCAGAATGCTTCTTCTTGTAATCTGTCAGATGATGACTTACATGTTTATATCCTTTTAGAGTTCAATGTTATCAATGGGTGGTATCATGGTTTGATTGTTAGATGCTGCATTAAGACCCTAAGCATGATGGACTGAGTTGCATGCAGAAAAATGACCTTCAAATTTTCGATCAAATATAGATTCATTGTTGCTAGCACCCCCACGATCCTTGACCCAAATTTGGGTTCATGAATTTTTAATTCGTTTTCAAGTGAATTGGGAATCCTAGGTCATTCCATATGTCATTAGTGTGACGTGCACACCAACACATGTTTTCTTGTCCACATATTGATAGGTTTGACTACTATCTTATTCTTTTCATTCCCATTGGGAATAAACCTTATATGGGTTTTAGATGTCAAGAGGGAACAACATGGAGAGAGTGGCGACTTCATGCTTCCATCAACTAGTTTTACTTCCTATTTAATTGCACTGCTCTGTTTGTGGCATATTCCCTTTGCCACGAGAACTATAACAAACTTCAGTTTTCCATTAGGTAGAATAAAGAGCATTTCAATTTTGGTCCCGCCATGGCAGGGTCCTGGGAGGGAGGATTTGAAACAGATCTAACCTTTGGTATTTTCCAAAGAGGCTGCTTTGAGACTCGAACTCCCATCGGTGGCGCTGATGCTCAAGCGTTTTCCATAAAGTAGAATGTTACTTAAAAAGAAAAAAAGAAATGCTTTTGGTGTATCACGTTTACTGTTGTGCCATCCTCTTGCAGCATATCATCTAGGTTGTTTTAGGTTTTAATTCATGAGCAGTGAGCGAAGGCAAGACGACCTATGCGCAAAATGATTCATCTCTTAGATCCGAGAAGTTGGATTTTGAGTCTTTATAAACTTTAGCTGAATTGAGTTGAAGGTCTTAGGAAATAGGAACTGTACATGTTTTCTGACAACTTATAACCTTTTGCCATAGATTATGACCTCCTTTCCAATTGATCCTAAACTTCACTCTCTTCCATTTTATAGGTTGAGAAGGCTCGGGTTAATTATGAAAATCTCTCACTATCGTCAGCATGTGAGGCTGTGCTAGAGATTGGGAATGCTGGGAATTTATACATGGATGAACGTGCGCCATGGTCTCTTTTTAAGCAAGGGGGTGCTGCTTCTGAAGCTGCAGCAAAGGTTCTCTTGTCTCTCTCCCTATAATTTTTTTGCACAAGATTCTAGAGTTGAACGCTTAAGGTTATCAAATTTTGAAATAAGCTCTCTAGTCCTGAATTTAGCTTGGCTGAGCCAATGAAAACCCATTGTTCAATATATATGTGTTATTGTCATCAGTTGCCAGAATTTGTGTTAGTGTTCTTGCCAATTTTATTGTTTCTAAATTTCTTATTATTGTTTTTATTTTTATTTTTCAATCAGGACCTTGTAATTATATTGGAAGCAATGAGGATTATAGCAATTGCTTTATTCCCAATCACACCAAGCTTATGTCCGAGAATATATTCCCAGCTTGGCTACTCAGAGGAACAATTCAATACCATTACTTGGGTCCCTCTCTCTCTCTTTCTCACACACACACACACACATTTACAACTATATTTGTATGCATATATTATACGAAAATTCTCAATTATGTATCATACTAACGCAACTGACTTTCAATTGCAGAATGATACCAAATGGGGTGGTCTAAAGGGTGGTCAGGTCATGGCTCAACCAAAGCCTGTCTTTGCACGGATTGAGGACCAAACAGAAGCAAAAGATGGGGGTGAAACGAAAAAAGTCAGTAAAAAGAAGGAAAGAATACCCAAGAGTCGAGTGGTAGCAGAAGCCTAGAAATCTGGTCGCAGTCCAACACACATACTTTTTACTTCATATCATTTTATGCAACTGAATTGTTTTGTTAATCTTCTTTGATGGACATTTCATTCAATTATTGTTTTCTATTTAGTTTCATGTTATGGGAATTATGATGGTTCTGTATCGTCAATAATGTTCAAATAAACAGCTCTTTTCAATGCGTGTGTGCAGACTCCGTTCGCCATCTCATCTCTTAGAATTGTTAGTTAACCATGGACACTAAGTCACTAATCAGATTGCATATTCACCAGCAAATTTCTATGGAATGTGTATCTTATCAAATAAAGAACATCTATGTTTCTTAAGCCTCCACACAACCAGTTTAATCACATCATTGTGAATCAGGTGAAAACCTTTTACGGCTTGTTATCTCAGCCCTATAGCAACCGTTCATCAGTCATCACGAACAGTGTAGAAATGAGAAGTCAAAATAAGTAAATACTTTTTAATTGGAAATAAAAATTATTTTTGCAATCACTGGAGTCACTCTAATAATTCTGAAGTAATCATATATGAGCTTATGTTGAGACCTGAGACAAGCGAACTGACTTTTTGTGCAGACTAAAGAAACTTATTACGCCCACTTTTTCAGGTGGAATGTATGGGGTTGGAAGGCCCACTTTTTCAGGTGGAATGTATGGGGTTGGAAGGTGTTATCATAGAGATTTTTTACATAGTTCGGAATTACATGATCTTGTCAATCAAACTTGACCATGTAAAGTGAATGTATGGGGTAGGAAGGTGTTATAATAGAGATTTTTTACATAGCTCGGAATTACATGGTCTTGGTCAATCACAACTTGACCACGTAATAAAATCTAGTAATATTTGACAAGTCTTTCTCCCAAGGATTACATTCACCTGAGCAGATAGGATGGCCTTTCGGAACACTTACTGGTTTTGTTATTGCAGAACAACAGGATTATATCTGATTCCTATTTGGCATTTCACGAAAAGATGATGGATAGAAATAAATTTTTGTTTGGTAGAGAGGAAGAGGGAAGAGAAAGAAATTAATAAATGGAATGAAGCCCTCCCCTCTTGACCAAACTGTCTCTTTGCCCCCCAAAAGTGGGAGGAAGGAGGGAGAATGCATCCACCTTCTTTCTTTTCTTTTCTTCTTCTTTATTTATTTTTGGTCCTTTTTGTAGAAAAACCTTATTTTAGTTATGGAATGGCATAATTATCAAATCATGCAACAATCATATCTCCCATCGCTCCTATCTTCCTTTCCTTTCATTTTCTCATCCAAAGGAAAAAAAAACAAGCGAACAATTCTATTCTATGCGTTCTTTTGATGAACACAAGACAAGTATATTATTGACTTAACCCATAAATCAGCAAATTTCTTTTCTATATACTAAACAAGTACTGGCTCAAGACCCACAATAGAGGGCATATTCTGTGTGTGCTTATATGGTAACTATGTAGTATAATAGGAGTTCTGGTACCAACTTATTCCACATGGTGATATAATAGAAGGAAAGAGGGTGAAAAAGGAAAGGGCACACAATGGAAGCACAGACATAGAAAAGCCAGACTCAAGCATTTCTCAAGAACTTGCTCATCCCCGCCATTTTTACTCCTTTCTTGAGATTCCAAGTCTCGTGCGGAAATCATTCTCCATGAGGGGAAGACCATCACGTAGCTTGACTTTAGGTTCCCAGCTCAGCAACTCCTTTGCCTTCGTGATGTCTGGCTTTCTCTGTCGAGGATCATCTGGAGTGTTATCCACAGTTATGATCTTCACTTCAGGATTGATAAGCTGCAAAACATCGAATGCGTTACATGATTTATATATATCTGTCTAATTTCCATTTCTATTGAAAATGGTGATATTTGGACATTTGACACTAGTGTAGGTATATAAATATTTAATGAGTTCCAATAACCAGGATGGAACATGTTTTAATTACAACAGCAAGAAATTCAAATTCTTGTGACGACTTGGAGAGAGATTTACTCTCTAAGAAAGAAGGGGGGTGTGATTTAAAAGTTAAACAGAAACATGAGAAGATTCAAAACTCACCTCCTTCACAGTCTCAGCAAGTTCAAGCATTGTGAATTCACCTGTGCATAAAAACACGGTGTTAGTAATCGTAATGGGAATTTTTTTATATATATTTTTTTCTGCATGGCTAGAGTTTGAGTCCAGGCACCACATTTCTTGTAAATCAAACAAATCATAACCTGGATTCCCAATGTTGATTGGCCCTGTATTATCTCCTTCCATAAGTCTAATAAGACCATCAACCTTCAAAAATGGAAAACAAGAGCGGAGGCATGTTATTAACACACAATAGAGAATCAATTTTGAATTGTCCAATATTACAATGTTTATGCATACCATGTCAGAGACATAACAAAAACTCCGAGTTTGTGTCCCAGGTAATTGAACAGTCAAGGGTTCATCACTGCATCATCGGACAACAATAAGTAACGGCTAACATTCCAAAGTAAATTAAATACAAATCTCCACTAATTCTGCCTATGGATGAGATGGGAATATAACAAGGAATACGCTGAGACTACGCATGAGGAAAGAAGAATAAAAATGAGCTCAAGTGGTTGAATCTTAAGGTACACAAAAACACTAGTTGTGTGGCATTGGAAGTTACCGGATTGCTTGAGCTATGAAATTGCTGACAACACGCCCATCATCAATATTCATGCGCGGTCCATAAGTGTTGAAGATCCTAGCAATCCTTATTTCTTTTATGGAGTCAACATTTTAAGACAGTTAGAAATTGCATCACAATCTATTGTTCCACATAACAAAATCAACAAATATATATATGTGTGTGTGTGTGTGCGCGTGTGTAGAGAGAGAGAGAGAGACCTATTCCATGTTGCCTATGATAATCAAACATCAAAGTCTCAGCCACACGCTTTCCCTCGTCATAACAACTCCTAACCCCTGTAAAGTACAAAGGATAACATCCCTATGTGATGAATGTATGTCCTAATAAATTTGCTATTGATAGAAATTTTAAGAATTTAGTACATGTAAGTGTAACAATTCTATTGATATCTTGTACCAAAAACAGATACATCATAAAAGAATAATTATACCAAGTTCTCATATAGGTCCTCAAAAAACCATCATAAGCAAATAATCCTCTAGCTACTTATAAAAAAAAAAAGCAAATAATCCTCTAGCTGAATAATGAGAAATAGAAATAGGACAACCTATAGTACTTCTATTCTATCGTTGACTACAAGGAAAAGTGATGTTATTGCTAAAAAAAAAAAGAAAAAAAGAAAAGAGAGAGAGAGAGAGAGAGAGAGAGAGAGATAAGGTTAGGGTTTGAAGAACAATAGATGTTAAGTTTTGGTTTGATATGGGGGGGAAGAATTGCGATAACCAGTTCAATAACAGAAGAAACTAAGAAAACAAGAAAATTTAGAGAGAGAAAGAATAGGAAACCAACTCCTCAAAGACTCGATTGAGATCCACATTCATATCAATAAGGAGTTCCAGACTCATTCTAACCAAGAAAACCATTAGTTCAACTCTAATCTTGTTTTAGAACAAAGGGCCTTATTTTAGTAACCCTAGAGATGTACTCAATATTTTAACCAAATGGGATCCAAATTATATCAAAACAGAGAACTTCCAAGCTACCAATAGGCTGGACTGCAATCCATGAAAAACTGCTAACCCAAGCCAAAGTAGGACTTCTGGAATATATAAACTCTAACCAAATAAAAAATGTTACTTAAATATATATATATATATATATGTAAGTATGTATATTATATATAAAATAAAAACTTTAGAATGTAGCATCTTCTAAATATAAAAAACTTTCCAGCAAATAAAGCCTTCTAAACCTATAATGATTCAACTAAACCTAACAAAAATGAGATACAATAAGACCCATAGCCATACAATTGTCCTAATATATTCTTGCACAATAAATTGTGGTACATGTAATTGTAATTGTTATGGACTTGCTTTCCTATTCTTGTTCCTGCATTAGCTATAATCTCAAATACTAGAATTGCATCCAATAATCAAACTATGAAATTAATCATCAATTATAAAGTCTAGTATCCTAGACATACCTATAGGGTTGACATTACCCCAGTAGCTCTCATTCTGGGGATGCACAAGAGGATCTCCATAAACCTCTGAAGTTGATGTAAGCAAAATCCTGTTGGCCATTATAATAACTTGAGCAACTGGGAGATCTATAAAATCAAGAACAAAAAGACAGAAATGCAGTTTCCAACCTTGCTCCAACTCTCTTGGCAAGTCCAAGCATATTCAATGTCCCAATCACATTTGTCTTGATTGTCTGTCAAGTATCATAAATGATTGAAGTCAAACTTCACAAAAAATCCAAAATGTACACTCATCAAGCACACTTCCATGGCTCATTATAGAAAATGCATCAAAAAGCAGTTTATCCCTAACGGGAGTCTCTTGGTACTCCAATATTAGTTCTCCTTCAGGCTACAGTGTAGCTCTTCCCCTTTGCTGCTAACCAATACAGCCAAACATGTAGCTAGGTCACGCCATCAGGTTGTATTTGATGATATGACACTGCTAGTTGGGGAAGAACTCCAATTTAATCTTGGTGTTAATGAAATTAGTTTTAGAGTGTGGAAATGTATAGTGGCTTTAAGTTTCTGAGCTTTGGCTGAACAGGCACAGACGGAAAAAAAAAAAAAAAAATTTGCCATTTTAAAAACGAGATTTTTCCTGGTTGAAAATTATTCTGTTCATGCAACAGGAGAAATTAAATCCTGACAAAGACATGTTAAACAGCTGATTTTTTTTTTCTCGAGGACACACCTTTACAGGATTGTATTTGTAAAAAATTGGAGATGCAGGACAAGCAAGATGGTATATTTGATCAACTTCAACCAACAATGGCTCTGTGACATCTGCATGAAAATACATTACATCATATCAAACGATGTTACCAAATCAAATTTAGATTCAAGAAACAAATTAAGAAGAAACAGAATCATTCATCAGGAGTATAAAGCTGCAACATCCTGAAGTGAAAGAATTATTGAAGATGATCTCGACAGCACGTCCCTATACAAGAATGACATACCATGACGAATAAGCTCAAATCTTGGATGACCAATCCATTGCTTTAGGTTGTCCTTCGATCCAGTGAAGTAGTTATCCACGACAATCACCTGAAGTAGAATAAAAAATATTTAGCATACAAACATCTTTGATCTGATAAATACCATTACAGGGAACCACATTGTGGCTGTTCTTTTCAGTCTTACAATCACGAATACTAAAATAGCTTCTCCTTACCAACGAAAGGATCCATACAAACACATAACAGAGGATTACATATAAAAGTGTTTACCTCATTCTTCTCATTTTGCATCAATTTGTCCACTAGATGAGAGCCAATAAATCCAGCTCCTCCAGTAACCAAAATTCTCATGTTGGCCTGCCATCAACAGAAAGAGATTTTAAGGGGTAATTCCAAAAGCTATGACATGTATTAGGAAAGAAAATATTTTCACATTCCTAAAATGCCATCACTTCACCACAATGGTGGCTCGCAAATTTTAAGCCGATGTCTAAAACAATGGTAGAATCAGATCTGCATATATATATACATAATATATATATCTTTGCAGCCGATTTGACAAATTCACTTGAATATCGGATCAATTGCAAAAGAATCTTAAAAAAACAAAAACAAAATTACCAAAACATAAACGATTCACAAATACGCAAGGGAAATTTTTTTTTATAATTCCTAGTTAATTGGGAAAACTAAAAATTTGAGCACCCAAAGTGTCTGTCACTCTAATAACTGCAGACAGTTCTGCATGTGCCATTAATCCCCAATTAATGAAAAATATCTTATACGCCAACTCCTTGTGGGCTCAACAGAATTAATAGTAATGAAAGTTACTTAAATATAAGAAAAAATAAATTAATATAAGAGATCATTAGCTATACATACAATGCAGCTACTAAAATCAATCACTATGCATATCACACCTGAAAAAATTTGGCACTTCGCAGAGGAGAGGGATTGGGAGGTGGTTTTGTAGTTGCATGGTTCACTCCGTTTGAAGCTTCCTTATCCATTAGTCAGATCCCTTCTTGAATTTCTGAAACAAAACCAACCAAAACCCTAAATAACCATCAAATCAAACAAAACCCACAACTCAAATCAATTTCACTAAACTTCATGAGACATTCAACAAATGAAACTTTACACTTCTTCAAGTTTCAAACTTAAAACCAAAAAACAACTACTCCAAAAAAAATCAACTCAACACTATTTTTTTTTGTGAAAAAATCACAACAAATCAAGTACTAATCACCTGATCGTTGAAACTAATCGGAAGGCAATTCCAGAAATTGAAGTTCTCTATATGAGGTTATTATAGAGAACTGAAACAATTTTATAGAAGAATTCGCGAAATATGAAATTGAGCTATCAAACGGTACCAACTAGAGAGAGAGACAATAATGAAGCTTCAAAAACACGAAATGTATAGCGTAATCATAGCTTCTCCCTGCTCACATCTAACGATTTCAGATCTAAATCTCACACACACTGACACACACATTCACACACACACACTAGGAATTACCTTTGAGATTGAAGTCAATTAGTAGAGGGTTTTGATCAACACTATATAAAATTAGTGGTACACTATATATATATACCACATCTACGCACCATATTATAGTTAGCAGTTTCTGTCCCGTTTCGTTCAGTTACCAATCAAACAGCACCACATCGTAATTAGGTTATACTTAAGTACGGGTGTATCCACGCATTTCATGTGAGTCTCCGTGATATATGCATGATGGTGGTGGATCAGTATTATTGTGGGACCCAATTTGACTGTTGAGAAGAGAACACCGTAATTTTGGTACACTTGATTGTATGCCCAATAGTGGATGACAAATCATACTGTTGATTTTATCTTTATCCACGTCAGTTACAGCTCGTCCATATGGAAAATTCCGATACGCATGCAGGCGGGTTTTCTGTATTTGTACGTTACCTGAGTTATCTGCCACGTCGGAGACACCTACGCCTGCTTTAATTTCGTTTGACACGATTTGAACATGATTAAAGATTCGGGTTTAGGTGTTAAATTTTAAATTATACGATTACATGTATAATTCACAATTTATATTTGTTTATTAAAAAGAAAAACAACACTTCTCACTTATGATGTTAGGTAATGCTAGCTAAGCGGACCAAAAAAGATACAATTAATATATAAAAAAAGGAAAGCAGAATTTTATTTATTTATCTTTTTTTTTTTGGCACAAAAATTAGGCATAGCACTTATTAGTGACAAAATTAGAAATAGATTGATGGTATATTTGGAAGCATTTACTTAATTTCTTAAAAATTATTTTAAAATTTTAAAATTCATTCTTAAAGAATTGAAATAGGATAATAATTCACGATGGTAAAAGTTAAACAATTGAATCGTAGGTCTTTATATGTGTTTTTTTTTTCTTTCGAATTTTACATTTCTATCTTATGTAGTTATTATATTCTAACTATAGTGTTCAGAGGGCTCAAAGGATAAGTGTAGTTTTCCCATTTTTGGGAACAATTATGATATTTTCTTTCTTTGTTTTTGTCGAAAAGGAAAAACACGTAGAGAGTAAATATGAAGAGTCCTGCTATTTGACCCGACAAATAAAAACTTACTACTTGATCAAGTTTATGTGGCTATGCGTTAAATAAAATGTAATCCATTTTAAAATATAAGGTATTTTTTTTTTCCCCTAAAATATAAGGTAATTGATTATTTAAAAAGTTGTTATCTTTTTTCTAAGTTTATGTAACTTTGTTGGTAATTAAAGCTTCAACCATCATGTATATGTATATTTATTTTATATTTCAAATTACATCTGTTCAAGGACTATTGAGAAACTTCAGATTGTATTTTTTATCATTAATATCAATCTATTACTTTGATAGACATTTGTTAATTGCTATAATGATCAAAAGTAATGATCTATCTAACTCCAAAAAACAAAGAGAAGAAGAGAAATTTGAAAAAAAAAAAAAAAAATTGAAGCATGAAAAAATTATAAAACATTGCAGTTTTTGCTCTAGATTTTGTATAAATCAAATTATTAAATTAGAGTACCATGAAACTTATGTGAAAAAAGAAAAAGAATATGATATGGTTATGGAAAACTAAAAAGATAAGGAAATGGATTATAGAAAACTGAAAATATGAGGAAAGGGAGATGGAGTATTTTATGGAAATAAACAAGAATAGTAATGATATTTACTTAAGTTAAAATTTTGAATAACCACATCATATTTTTATATCTGTCGTTTTAACTCGGGATATTAAAATCATCAAAAATATTATTTTTCAAATATGAAATACGGAGTATCATTTTTCAAAAATAAAATTATTTTGATTTTGAAATGTTTTATTAAAATATAAAAAAAGTATGAGCTTTAATTAAAATATTAACAGAGTCAGTTGGTCAACGTATCGGAATTTAAACCAATGTTTTTATTTGGTTGAAAGGAACCATAAAAGAAGGATGAAGGAGAGCAAATAATAAATATACCCATCATTCCTTGCTGTTATATCCCTCACATTCAACCAAACATAAAGTGCAATCCCGATCCTCTATCTCTTAGATCTATTGTAAAACTGAAATTCGCTTTGAAATTAAGTTTGTAAATAAATAAATTGAGTTCAAATAATTTTGATTATGTTGATTCACTGTCCTAAAGATATTCCATGATTTGCTACACTTTTTTCATCAAAATTGAAACAAAATATGTAGTACCAGACTCAGGTTCTCTGTAGCATAGTTAGTAAAATACAGTGAGAAAAAAATATGAGTATGAAAATATACGAGTATAATTAGATATTTTTTTAAAAATATAAAAGTACGTCTACTGTAATAAGAAGAGTTCTAAGTGACCAATCAATCTTAGAAAGTATAAATAAAAAATACTTTAACGTGGAGAACAACTAGTGGCTGTAGTTTAGTGGTTAGAATTCCACGTTGTGGCCGTGGAGACCTGGGCTCGAATCCCAGCAGCCACAAACTTTGTTTGTTTTTATTTTTTCTTCCCATTATATAACCCATCTATTCTTTTAAATTTACAGAATGCTCCCAAGTCCTTTTCTTAATTACACATATACCCCTAAGGAAAGTCTACCCCGAAGCAGCAAAAGCGAGGAAAGTCTACCCCGAAGCAGCAAAAGCGAGTTTCAAGCTTTTTCTACCAGTCTGAGAAGAAACCACTCTCATCTCATCTCCGTTTCACATCTAATATCCTATTCCACCCAACGAAGGTATGCTAATGTGATCTTCTCTCTCTCTCTCTATATATGCAGTTCGTGTGTGTATAATTATATATTATTTATATATCGCAGTGATTATACTAAGAAATACTTAATTAAACAGGGCATTTGGTTGGAAACTTGTTTGATGTTGAGTTATGAGTGTTGAAACAACACAAAATACCTTGTAATTTAGTTGGCTCTGTATTGGATCTGGTTTAATTTGATCTGTCCCCTACGATATATGTGTGTTGTCAGTAAACTAGGTTAATTTAAAGTGTGTAATCATCTGATTTTGATTGTATATCTTTCTGTTTGTGTCGATATGATCAAGAAAGCGTGTGTTAAATTTGCTTAAGAACAAGAAGAGATTTAGTTTTGTCACAAAAAACTTCTATGATCAAATTCAGATTTGGCTCACTTTGTCTAGAACACGCGCGCGCGCGTGCGCATTAAAAAAAAAAAGAAAAAGGATTTCGATCTGTTATATGTGGTAGTGATGGTTTCAATGTAATTATTATTTATCTGGTGAGCTTCTGTATTTTACTCCATTATTCTTGTTTCTATATATAATGTTATGTTATGTAATTTTGTCTTGAATTAGGGTTTTTTGGATTTTCGAATTAAAGTTGTACACAATTCTATTGATAATTATTCTATCTAGTTTCCCATGTGAATGGGTAGGGTAGTTCACCAATGTTGTACTAATATAATGCACTGCCTAGTCCCTTTTTTTTTTTTTTTTTTTTGTTTTGATAAGTCACTGCCTAGTCCGTTTATCCGTTTAAAATGGACTAAAGAGACTCGCAGACATTTCTAAACTGTAGAGACCCGGATATATATATATATTTTCCTATATGTGTGTTTTGATGTGATTTTGCCCTGAGGGAATTTATTTTGGGTGTCTGGGTTTGTTACTTGGTGTTTGGGATTTTACAGGTTCATTGTTTTCTTGTTTGGGTTCATTTGCAGTCGGGCGAGTGGGTCCGGGTTGAGCCGAGAGTGCTCGGGGGTTGACGAAGGCCAAGTGAAAGTCACTAAAGCCCTAATAAACAAGTGTGTGGTGGAAGGTAGGTAATTTCATTAAGTATCTAGGAGGTAAAGAGTAGTTTCATTTAAAGAGTTGGGTTAATTAGTGTAATTACCCATAAAGTTGGGAGAGTATATAAGTGGAAGAGAGGGCTTGACCAACCATTCATCATCTCTTCATTCTCCCTCTATACATACATATATGTACCTCCATAGATCCATTTTCTCTCTCTACATTTGAGGGCCTGATAAGGATTTTGAAGAAACTCCAAGAGAGAAAGTCGTTCCCCTTGTCTTCCATTTCAAGTTGATCAGTTTAGTTTTCCGATTTGAGGCATTTGGGTTCGATGTAGATTTGGGATTCTTCATCTTATGTGAGATTGGGGGAGAGTTAACTAGGTTGACGGGGTAAGGTCTGCTTCCGCATTGGGAACTCGGGTGTTGGGTCCAATTCCCTTTTATTTTCACTCATGTACCGAGTCTTTGGGATTCGGGGCGTGACATTGTGGTATCAGAACTTAAGGTTCGAAAACCTTAGGGATGAAGGGTAAAGGTCGGGTTACATGTTGACTTTGAGTTTCTTATTTGACTTGTGACTTACGTAGTTTTGAAGAGTCTGATTCGTCTATGTGTACAAAGTGCTTAGAAATGATTAATTGATTCACATCTATCATTAATCGTTGTTCTTTGTTATGTTTTAGAATTATGCTACCACACGGAGGTCGTGGCGGAGCAACCCCTGCTTCACGAGATCTCGTGGAAGGAATTCGATTTTTTAGGGGTTTAAAGGAGTTTTTGAGTTTAGATCCTCCTACGTTTACGGGCGCGCTAAATCCAATAGTAGCAAAGGATTGGCTCGAGCAAACTACGAAAGCACTTGATGTGCTAGGGATTGGGGATGATAACTTGAGGGTTCTCATTGCCTCGTATCAATTCACGGGGGAGGCAGAGGTGTGGTGGGAGTCTGTCACGAGCACCCATATGGTGGAAGGGATGGATTGGGGAATCTTTTTGGGGTTATTTCACGAGAAATACCTTCCGATATCGGTTATGAATGCCTTGAGGGATGAATTTCTAGCCCTAGTCCAAGGGAATATGAATGTTGAAGAGTACGAGGATAGGTTCACTTCTTTGTCCCGTTTTGCACCAGATATAGTGGCGGATGAGAGCACAAAGACTAGGCAATTCGCATAAGGCCTAAGGCTTGACATAAGGCCCAAAAGTGCGATCGTGGACTTGCTTGGTTATTCCGGGGTTTTTAAGAGGGCTAAGATGGCGGAGAAAGAGGAACGAGACTCGCAAAGTGTTAGAGATTCCAAAAGACAGTCAAAGGACACGGAGTCTCATTCAGAGGGTCCTCTGAAAAAGAAGCAAGTAGAGAGTGCTTTTCACTCACAAGACAACGGCCGGCACGGTTAACACCACCTGCTTCCACACCTATGGGATCTCGGGATAGGGTGATATGCTTTCAGTGTCAACAGCCAGGTCACTACATATCTGAGTGCCCACAGGTGCAAAAAACTTGTTTCCGATGTGGTCAGTCCAGTCACCTCAAGAGGGATTGCCCACAGAGGGGAGGAGATGCCCATAAGGTGACAGGGCTACAACAACGCCCTGCACGGACTACTATAGTCCAATCTAAACAGACAGGTCACTCCAAATCCGAGTGTCCACAGGTGCAAAAAACTTGTTTCCGGTGTGGTCAATCTAGTCACCTCAAGAAGGATTGCCCACAACAGGGAGGAGATGCCCACAGGGTGACGGGGATACAACAACGCCCTGCACAGACTACTATAGTCCAATCTAAGCAGACAGGTCACTCCAAATCCGAGTGTCCACAGGTGCAAAAAACTTGTTTCCGGTGTGGTCAGTCTAGTCACTTCAAGAGGGATTGTCCACAGAAGGGAGGAGATGCCCACAGGGTGACGGGGCTACAACAACGCCCTGCAAAGACTAATATAGTCCAATATAGACAGCAGCCTGGGTGTTAGGGGAGTGGTCATCAGGGACATGGGGCGCAGGTCGACGTGTGTGCAGTGACTCCGATAGGGTTTTCGGCAGGTCCATCTGTGACTCGAGGTACATTCCTTGTGTCCATGTCACGGGGTAATGTGTGGGTTGATTTGGGTATATTCCATTCCTTTACCTTATCTCACTTAAATAGATTGGGGGTAGAGTGACCCTGGGCAATAGTTGTCGGTATTGTGAAGTGGAGAGTGTAACAACCCACTCTACCACATGGTATGATATTGTCGGGGGTCCGAGCCCGCACAATTTTGCTTTTAGGTTTTACCTCAAAATGCCTCGTACCAATTGGAGTGTACAAATTTTACATATATATCACTTCCCCTTTTCACACCCAGGCGATGTGGGATCGTGCACCCGTAGCCTGATAGTGTGGTATCAGTGCCTCTTACACCCACCCACGGCACACCCGCCCACAAGGTTGACACAATCCACACCCTTAGGAGGCCCGACGTCCCCATCGGCACACTTCTGGCTCGGTCAGGTTTTGATACCATTTGTAACGACTCACTCCACCACATAGTCTGATAATGTACACTTTGGGCCCGAGCCCACAAGATTTTGCTCTTGGGTTTTACTCCAAAAGGCCTCGTATCAATTGGAGTGTACAAAACCTACATATGTAACACTTTCCCTTTCCACATCCAGACGATGTGGAATCGTGCACCAGTAGTGATGCAACAGCGGGTAGGGGCGATTTGAAAACAAAATTCAAGTAAATAAGAAAGAGGTTAAGAAAGAGATTGAGAGAAAAATAGAATAAGAATAATAGGGAAAGAAATCAGAATTAGAGTGAAGAAAAGAATCATAGAGGGAGAAATCAGAATTGAGGGAGTAGAAACACAATAATTTCTGAATAATAATCAATAATTAATCATTAAAGCTGACTTTCACAATGTTTGAACCAACATATAAATAGGCATCAAAGAAAACCCCTAATCAACCTATTACCATAAATAAAATCATAAATTGTTGAAATATCCCATAATAATAATAAATAAACAAAAATCTCTAATTCTATCTTTTTTTCCCACGTCTCTAATAGTAGGTGTGGGCCATGTGGTCTTTAAGCTCTCGGGTCAGGCCCGATTCTTCATCACGTTGCCTGCCAGTGTCTCTTGCACCCGGCCACGGAACACCCGCCACAGAGAATGTAGGCCACCTGTTGGTGTTGATTCAGGAGCCGTCGTGTCGGGTAGTTAGAGCATCACATTCACATGTATCCCTTTTTGATTGTTTTGCCTTGGGTTAGAAGATGGTGTGTCCTTACTTTGCCATGGACGCGGGATATTCACATTAGGGTAATGTGGGTTTGGAGAGGGTTTGTTAACCCTATGAGTTCGATGTTGTCATTGTTGTGGGGTGTCATTCTGGGTCGACCTTTCTTCTTTATAGCGTGATAGGGTTCGACGTTGTGTTGAGTAGTTTTAGGAATAGGGGTGTGTTGATGCCCTTGACCATAACTCTATTATTGTGCTTATGTGTTCAACTTGTTTGCTAGCATGCGTTATAATGCTATAGAAATGATTTACACGCTTGAATATATATATGCCATGCGCAAGCAAATGTTGAAAGAAAAAGGACTCCTTGTGTACATGAATATATTTACTGAAATGCTAAAAATGTTGAACTGTGCTTTGCATGCTCAAAATGAACTTGATTGGCGTAAAATAGCTATCTATCTGCAAATATTGATGTGATTATCGTGTGTAAACTATATGTTTGACGAAATGTCCGGATGGTACTACTGAAATGGGGACTTCGTATGCATTGGACAAGTTACGAATTGTGTGGTTGTGTACAATCCAGGTGTGGGTTGCTTCTACTTTTAGAAGAGAGGGATGGTTCTTCGGTTTGGTCCTTGTACTGACTTTATGGTAGAGAAGTTAGGTTACCCTATGTAGGGTTGTGGGTGGAAGAGAGAAGGGTGACTCGTGAAAAGTTACCTTCAGTAGTTGTGGGTTGTAGGATGTGTTTCCATAAGCTTGGGTTGACTTGCCTCCATGATGGGAAGTGAAGCCTTCTGTTTTGGTAGCATTTTACTGTGGTCACCGTTAGGATTGGTAAGATTAAGTGTGCGACCACCTGATTTGTTGGGAAGGGTCTTGGGTGCCTTGGTATCTTCCACAGGGAGTTTTGGGCAGTGACTGCTGGAAAAAATGATTTGATCTAGGTATCTTTAGATGGTTGTTAGAGAGTTCAATCGGGACACCATTGAGGAAGAGTGTCCGTGTGTTAAAGGTTTGTTTAATTAGCTTCAGAGATCGGGTTGTTCTCAGAACATGGATATGTTTTAGGAAGAAATTTTGCATGGTAGTATTTAGAATCAAAAGGAACGGGCACCTGAGAAAAATTATAAGAGTTAGTTTTTACCGAATGATTTTTTTTCCTCCTCTTCTTTTCCGACGTTTTGTCTTTTGAAAAAGTGTGTTGACCCAATTATATCTGGATTCATCAGATATGATTTGATATATCTTTGAGGAATACATGTAAAAGTTCTTCTATTCTGGAACTTGGATGTTCAAGAGCAGAATGACATTTTCAGATAGAAATTTTCAAATATATTCACCAGGGGAAATTGAAAATGCCCGGCTACATAGTTTGACTAAGGTCATGGCCTTAGATAGGGCGGAATGAAAAAATTGAATTCATGCAGCTGATCCTAAATAGTTTGGATAAAGTTTTAGTTGTAGTAGTAGTAGTAAAGCTACGTAGAGGCTAGACGCCTGTTGTGCTAGGATGAAAAGGTTGGATGATTAAATTTGTAAGTTTCTTGATTTATATGGGGATTAAGGCAAGGATGACGATGAATTAACTTTGTGAATCTTGATTCATCTACCGGCTTTCGTGTGTCCAAAAAAACTTTAAGACCTAAGGCCAAGATAGTCATTTCTTTGTATTAGCCACAACATGCCAGTGCATGTATCTGCAGTTATCTTGTGTTAATTTTGAATTTTGGAGGGATTAGAAACCTATGCATACCATGTTGCACATTCTAGAAGTAATTGATTAGCATTTTCAGGTAATTGGTTCATTTTGCATATGGCATGCTTCAGATTATTGTGGCAATGTGCAAAATTTTAGGTAAGAGCTGCTACTTGCAAGCTCAGCCCACGTGAGCCCCACATGCTCAACGGCTGAGCTAAGTGCAGTCGCGACTGCACTTAGCATTTTCCTCTTGGGAGATAGAATTATAATAAGATGCAGAGAATTTTCTTTTTGTCTATGATCATGGAAAATGGGAATCACCATGACAGTGCCTTGTAGCCATCAATTTAAAGGGAAGTGAAACTAGAATGCACTTTGCTCATTGATCATCCCATTTAATGAAAATGTCTATGCAAATTTTTCCTACTCTAATGCTCTACTTTTGAATACTGGAATTTGATACTGAAATGTTGGAATTTGTGGTTTTGTTATTGCAGATGATTGATGATCAAGACTTGGGATTCATTGCCAATTTTCTTGGCATGTTCATATTTCTTTTGGTAATTGCTTACCACTATGTGATTGCTGACCCCAAGTATGAAGGCAACTGAAAATCTGTTATTGATGTAATTGCGAAGATTTTTGAAGAGCTTAGATGACTACCATATTTTCTCATTTCTGTTTGCGTAGTTAGGATGGTTATTCCTTCGCTTGGAATTTCACTTCTTTTCCGTTCGGTTTTTTTTTTTTTTTTAGGTCATCATAATGTGGCTGTGAGGCAGAGGTTAAATAGTCTACTTATTAGGCTGAAGGCAACTAGGCTGCAAGTTTCTCCTAATTGCCAGCTTAAAATGGATTGTAGAACTATTTTAATGTAACTTTTTAAAAAATAAAAAAAAAAATATCCCGTGCGTATTATGTGTTTAACTTGTTTGCTAGCATGGATTTATGTCTCAGAATCTTAAGATCATTTGTATGTGTTCTGGGCACTACTGTCCGGAAAACACTCCCACAGCCATCTATAAAGTATAAACATGTTTAAATATCATGTTGTACAAAATATAATCAACGCCGAAATTATCAATTAGCATAGAATATTGGTCTAACCTCTACAGCTTATGTTAACAAAATGTTACGAACCAATCAAATGAAGCCAACCGTCTCTCTCTGTTAACATAGTGGATGCGAGTCTATGGAAAATGTTTTGGAGACAAAAATGCCCTTACTCCTATTATATAGAGCAAAATGCATAAATTCCCATCTGTACTTTAAATTTTTGGCAAGAAACCTCATACAACTCCCTAACTATGTCAACAAACCTCATAAAACTCCCTAACTATCCATTTTGTTGCAAAGTGATATTATAATGACTAAAGTATCCCTTAATATAAATTTAATAAAATGGTTCTCGAATTACAATTTATAAAATTGCCAACAATAAAATTCTAACCATGAAGGAACTTTTCTCTAGTAATCTAAAGAAAACTAAAGAGTTGCAAGAACCTGCAAGTCATACATGTTGAAAAAAGAAAAGCATAATTGAGACTTTGCTCAAATTTATATGAACATACGGCCAAATAAACCCCTATGTTTGCTATAAGGACTGTTATATATAAGTTGAGTTATTTTTGGACAAAGGCATCCCTTGTAAAAAAAATGAATCCAAACAAGCCCTTAAAATTGTGAAAAGTCAATATTGCCTTTCAATAATTTTAATTAATTTAAACTGCAAAATATCAAACTTTTAAATGACATTTTTACCCTTAGTATATCACCCCTCTAACTTCTGTACATACTAGTCCCAAACAACCACCACCATCACAGAAAACCAGCAAATGAACAAACCCACCACCAAACCAACGGTCATCGCCTCTCAATCCCACCACCAAACCCACAGCATCTCATTGGATCCTTCCGCTTAGGAGTGAAAGTTATGGTGGTGTCGGCATTGCCTTTACCGCGACCACCGTCGAAGTCGTGCGTGGACGATTTGGGGGTATATAGATATACACACACAACTCCTTTATCTTTCCTTCACAACCTATTTACAGCCTATTTTATCTCCCCTTTACAACCCATTTACATCCCTTTTCTTTTTCCTTTCTCTTTTTCTCTCTCTTCGTCCTTTTACTACTCCAACACCACCCACCATCGCCACCACCACTGCCCCACCCCTTATCTCTCTCTATCTATTCATCACAGCAATTTCCACGACTCCACCCCCCACCACTTACCATCGCCGCCACCACCCAGCTTCACCTCCACTACCCATGACAGTAATCCTCAATTTGGCCCTTAAATCCACGCTCAGCTAGTGTGATAAGCGCTCGAAAGGCGAGTTCGTGGTGGGTGTTGAGTCCGACAAGAACGTCGAGACCTTTTACAGCTACTTCGCCACTATTATAGTTGATGAGGGCGATGTTGGAGCTGTCATCGCCGAAACGAAAGACGAAATCGACCAAGCCAAATCGAAGGCCTCTAGTTCATCATCATCATCATCTGATTCACCGGTGCAATTCATCCTTGACGACAGCTCGTCGTTACTACCGTCGCCTTAAGTGTGTGTGTGTGTGTGTGTGTGTATATATATATATATATATATAGAAGGATGAAGAGGTGGTGGTTTGGTGGAATTATTGCTCGCGATGTCGTGGGAAAAAAGGGCGACTGGTGTTGGGGCGACAAGAGGAGGAAGAGAGAGAGCGAAGGGAGGAGATAAGGAAACAAATGGGTCTGTACGTACTAAACCTAGATGAGGTTAGAAAGGTAATTTCCACACTCAAATGGGTCAATATAAAAGTTAAAGGGCAACAATGTCAATTCATTACATGTTAGAGATCATTAGGGTGCGTTTGTTAACAATATCAACCGTAGAGGGTGTCTTTGTCCAAAAATGACTTAACTTATATATGGTTGTCCTTGTAGTAATCTATGGGTGTACTTTATCCTAAAAGTTTAAATATTCTAGGGTAAAGTGCATTAAACCCTCCTAAACTATTGGGGTATGTGTAAGAAATCCCCCTGAATTATAAAAGTTGCAAAAAAACCCCCTGAATTATTGGGGTATGTGCAAGAAACCCCTTGAACTATAAAAGTTGCAAAAAACCCCCCTGAACTATTGGGGTATGTGCAAAAAACCCTCTTGAACTATATTTTTTTGCAGTTTACCCCATCCATGCGAATTGATTGACTGAAAGGGACGATGAAGCCGATGAATTTGTGGCTGGGATCGAAGTGGTAGATGTCGTCTGAGGAGTGTTTGGATAAGCCAAGGAATCTGTTGCTAGGATCGGTGGGTCTCCTATCATAGCTCCATCATAGCCGTTGCACCACCTGCTAGATCCGTCGGCCATATATATCGCATTTCTCTGCACCGTTGCGTCAGCCCATTGCTATCACCGTCTTACCCGCCATTCAGCTCACCTTGCTCTCTGGTCCATTCTAAGCTCGTTGGCCCATTCCGCCATCTCCATAGCCGAGCACACCGTCGTCCGTGTTTCGAGCACATAGTCATCCACAGTTCACCGCCGAGCCCCCTTGAGCTCGCCGCCGCCTCCACAGTTCACTGCTCAGTCAACCGAGCTCTCATCACAGCCGAGTCCTTCGGGCACAAGCTGCCATCATCTGAGACCGAGCCATCCCGCCGACCTCGGATTTCTTTAGTCTCTTCTATTTCTCTCTCTAGCTCTCTGTTTTGGGTTGTGTTGGGTGAAAAATATCTTTTGGCAGAAAAAAAAATGTAAGAAGTGTATAAGTTAAAACGACGCAGTGTGTTATAAGGGTAAACTGGTCTTTCAAAATTTTCGATGCCGGGAGCTGATGTCATGGGGGTAAATTGCAACAAAATCATAGTTCAGAAGATTTTTTTGTAGTTCAGGGGGGTTTCTTGCAAATGACCAATAGTTTAAGGGGGTAAATTGCAACAAAATCATAGTTCAGGGGTTTTTTTTGTAATTCAAGAAAATTTTTTACAAATGACTAATAGTTCAAGGGGGTTTAATGCACTTTACCCTATTTTCTATCAACTTCAACTTTCTCCGACACCTAAATATAATTTACAAATTCTAGATTTTAAATGCACCCACCTACTAAAACAACTAACGGAGCATCACAAGTTCACAACCAACACATAATATATGTTGATTAGTTAAAAAAATTCAATCAAAGAAAAGAAAAAGGAAAATCTATAATAAGTTTCTTTATTATAAAGAAGAAAAAAAGAAAAAAAATGAAGAGAACAAAACGACAACAAATAAAATTTAGATAGAAAATGAAATCTGAACCTGTAGATTGTTACTGGCTCCAATATTATGTTTTGATACTTTTGAGATTTGAAATAAAGAATAAAGAAAAAATTAGCAAATGAAGATTATGTAAATACAGTATATAGAAACCACATGTATATATATGAATAGATGGGTCAAAAATAGAGCCTGTTTTAGAGAGACAGAGATAGATGAATTCGAAGGAGTAAGATCTTAAAAAAAGCAAATATAGTCTAAATTTAATTGACATTACTGGACATTTATATATAAAAAAACAAATATAGTAAGATCTTAGGTTAGAAAGATAATTTTCACATTCAAATGGGTTAATATAAAAGTGAAAGAGCAACAATGTCAATTCATTACATGTTAGATACCATTGGTGTGTGTTTGTTAATAATATCAAACTTGAGTATATGATTGTATTTATAACAACCTCCGAAGGTGTCGGAATACTTTATCCTCAAAATTTAAATATTTTCTATCAACTTCAATTTTCTCCCACACCTAAATATAATTTACAAATTCTAGGTTTTAAATGCACCCACCTACTAAAACAACTAACAGAGCATCACAAGTTCACAACAAACACATAATATATATTGATTAGTTAAAAAAATTCAATCAAAGACAAGAAAAAAGAAAATCTATGATAAGTTTCTTTATTATAAAAAAAGAAAAAAGAAAATGAAGAGAACAAAACGACAAGAAGTAAAATTTAGAGAGAGAATGAAATCTGAACCTGTAGATTGTTACTGGCTCCAATATTACGCTTTGATAATTTTGAGATATGAAATAAAGAATAAAGAAAAAATTAGCAAATGAAGATTATGTAAATACAGTATATAGAAACCACATGTATATATACGAATAGATGGGTCAAAAATAGAGCCTGTACTAGGGAGAGATTGAGATGAATTCGAAGGAGTAAGATCTTAAAAAAAGCAAATACAGTCTAAATTTAATAGACAATTACTGGACATTTATATAAATAGATTGGTAAAGAAGATAAGATAAGATCATAAGAGCATATCAAAATAAAAACCCCTAGTCACAATTCATCTATTTCTTGCTATATACTCATTAACTACAATTATTTCTTATAGTTTGTCCATTAAAACCTCTCTTCTTTAACCATTTTTTTTTTTTTTTTTTTTTATTTTTTTTATTTAACAATATTGATTAAGGAACACCAAAAATTCTTCCTACCAATATATACATACATATATATAAATACTGAGCGCATCTGCTAGGCTCATGAAGTCATGTGTTCCTTATAGCCCAACATTGTTTTGAACTACACAAGTCAAAAGAATTAGAATTGTTACATTTTGATTTTTCAGTTTTTCATTGATGTGTTATCATTAGATTTTGACAATACACCACTACATTTTTAAATATACTGTAATTCTTTTTCCCAATGATTAAGAAACTATTATTCTTCTTCGTTTTTTCTGTTCTCCCACTTAAATAACACTGAATTTTATAGGAGGGAATTAAAGCGAGTGAAGAAGCAATGAGTGGAAGATATTTAAATGAATGATTAAGAAATTTTTCTTCTTCTTCGTTTTTTTATTGGGTGAAAGGAAAGAAGTTTGAGCGTGAATGAGACGGGTCACCAACATGACTGATACTTTCATTTTGTTTTTAATACATTGTTTCCTTTTTTCTTGAGTGCAAACAGTTCTTGTTGTCTAAAAATTGGTCTAGTGTACCATCTATTATAATATTATATTATTATTATAGTTATATATATAATAAAATAAAACTTGTTAATCGGTCAGAGAAGAAGAAAGAGAGGAAAAGAAGAATTCAAAAATCCTTCCCAAATTTAGACTATATAAACTCGTTTCATTTTATTTTCAACGTGCGACAATTACTTATCACATTTTGTATACTCTTAAAAATTTCTTACTTTAAAACTAATTGCTTATTCACTCATAAACGAATTTAAGAAAGTAAATACACTATATTCATTTCTTTATAGAAAGGAACACGTTCGACTATAAATCATGTAAGAAATTCTTAACAAGGCTAACTCAAAATTTTGTCCAAAATTTTGGTTTTGTATGCTTCATTTCCAACTGTTATCTGGAGTCACCGCTACGGTTAAAAACCGGAGTTTCACGGGCCTTGTGGAGGGATGTTTTGAAACTTCATCACCGACCCACCGTAGAGGATCCTGCCCCTACCACATCACATTTCCGCTGGGAGGGATAGTTTTGGAAATTTCTCGTGTCCAACCTCTTCTTGTTTTTTTAATGCTCACGTGGCAAGGTATCAGAATCCCATACCTGAATCTCATTTTAGAGACACCGGACGGCGCGCGTGACATACGCGTGCCCTTCCCTCCTATTTTCCTCCCCCCTCTACAAATTTTCAGTCAATAATCTCTCTTCGAGTCGCCTTCAAAGATCGTTCCCGACAAATCACTCAGCCCTAACCTTCTCCTTCGTTCTGGATTTATCCTTTAAACTCTGCGATCAAACAAAACGTCGTGATTATCAAATTCCATCGCAATGAAGGTGTTATTTAAGGTATGCTAATGTAGTTTTTTCAAGTTTTGTTCTAATCATTTATAATTTTCTCCTCTTTTTATTTTTTTCATTCTTCATGTGATGCTTTGATTCTTTCTCTAGTTATGATTAGCTAACATGATCGATTGTTCAGGTATTTACGCTAGTATTCGGATCTGATTGTATCTCTTAATCATAATTAATAATTTAAACTTGCTTTAATTTCCAAAAAATAATATTAATAAAAGAAATTAGGAGTTAAAATTTGAATATAAGGAATAGTTGTGCTAAGCTAAATTAGTTTGTGAATCAGAAAGTATGGGATTCGCTTTGAATTTTGTCTCCGTTGTGATTTTCGGTGGAATCAAGCTTTTGTCTTAGCGTTAATCTTTTTCTTAAAACTTTTTGATAATAATTTGAGGAATTTAGAATTTTCTTTTTGATTGGAAATCAGAAAGAGGAACAATTGAATTTTAACTTATTGTTCGGTTGAATTATCATATGCGGATTACTCAACTGAAATATAAATATACACACACAACACATGATGTTGCTAGTGTTATAATAAATCCGTTGTTGTCATGCTAGGGATTCACCTGTACTAATTGGAGCATGTTCTGATGGTGGTCTTTGCAGGTGCTTATAACACGAAGTTGAAACCTTGCAATTAGAGTTCGAAGCATTTATTATCAAATGCGCCCTAGTGCTTAATTGATAATGGGAAATGAAATATTGAGTTTGGGGTATCATTCGGAACTTGAACAGAAATACTGATTACTGGTTGATTGAGGATGTGATTTGGACCTTGGAGCTTTGTTAATCCAATTCAATGGGAGATTCCTTACGTGTTCGGCATTCCAATAATGACATGGGGCCTAGGCTCATTGCAAGTAACAAGCTGTCCAAAAGATCTGTACTTGCTTCAACATCCAAGGGATTGACACAAACAACTTTAAAACATATTACTTCAATGAGAAAAGGTATTCCGGGGAGTGGAGCTATTGGTGATATTGGACTCTTTCTGCTGAAAACCGTAGCACTAGATATAGTTCGAAGATTTTCGATGGCCAACTGTCCTCTTGTATGGCATGGTCTCCAGGCGCTGCAACTTGTTTGCTATCCACCATTAAAGTGGATCCAAAGATGGGCTCCTTTCAAGGGTTTGGTTAATTTCATGCAGGTTAGTGGTTATAGATGTATGTATAACTCTTATTTGTTCAACTATCATATTGTTGTTGTGTTTCATATCTTCTACGTAGCATCAATGCATATACAAAATATGGACGTGACATGATATAGAGTTACAAAAATGCCAGCATGACAAAACCTGGAAAATGGGATAGGGATTCAGTGGTGTCTATGGAAATTTTGCACACCTCAATGATCACAATCTTAATTGCGCTTCTCTTATTATAAGTTGTCAAAATTATCGGTTGGAGAGAAATAAACTGTGACGGATCTTAGAGTGAGAAGGAGCTCATGAAATGGCAGAGCTTTCTCAAAGTGTCAATTATGGAGAGGGATTCTCAAAATGATCTTTTAATTATTGTTGAGTTCGAACTTCAATTTATATAAAATTGGGATTCATGCCATCATGAATTGAAGTGAATATCCTATATTTCTGAGTCGATTGTCCATCAAGATGATGCCATATGTGCTGCTAATTATAATTATCATAATTGATTCTCATGTATCCTTTTCTATACTATGCTCCTACGTTGCGTGGACTCAGTTATGTATCTCGGGATTGATTATATGTCTAATGTTTGGATTTATTAAATCCTGAAATCTAAGGACATGGTGACACAACTAAATATTTATATTTAAAACATTCTTCTTTCATTTTTAGATTAAAACAGTGCTTTTATGTAACATAGAGTGTACAATATGGGTACTTCACCTGTTTTGAAACGGTAATGGTAGTTTAGACTACAATATGGTTGGCTAAAAATCAGAATGACTATTTAACCATGGCCATGTGTACATATTACACATCCAGTACTGCAGAAAGAAAAGATCGCAAGTAGGAGTTTCTTTTAATAGAAAAAGAAATATGGCATTGCATATATTAAAGTCCAGATTAGTCATTGGTTTATTAACACACACCACATAGGTTCAAACACAGATATTCGATAAATAGTCTGGTGATGGGCACTGATTCTCGTTCATGCACTAGACCATCTGGTCATCCCATTGTGGACTTCTCATATTAGTTCCACCACTTGATATTGGACTTCAAAGAGAAGTGGTACCTAATGGAATAAGTTTCCAGTGCATTTGAGATGATCTTTTTTTCCTTCGCCTAACTAGGCGGAAATCAACACACATGCAGCATTAATACTACATAAAGTCTGTGTTTGTGTATGTTAAAATTATATGAGAGAAGGGTATGCTATTTATTACTGCTTCAAGAATTAAAGGTTATTGGCTTTCTTAAAGCACACAACACTTTTGATCATTTTCTTGCTTGTAACAGTTGTCTGTTTTCTTGTGATCTTTTCCCCTAATGGCTTATGGTTATTCTTTTAATTTTTCTAATCTTATATTTTTTTAATTATTGAATTTCTTAGAAGTGATAATTTGTTTTTGTTTTTTACCAGACGTTGTCAAGGCCGTTATTAGTCCTCACAATTGCAACAGTTTTCTCTGATCAACCGGCATATGCAAAAAAAGCGTTGGACAGTTCTAACGATTCTCAAAAACATGCTGAATCACCATCAGCCGTGTCTGACCAATTGTCAACCTCTGACACAAGGTAATTAATAGTTTCTGCTTTAAGATAATTAATATTACATTTTCTTTTATTTTGTAATATATAGCACTTGTTTTATTATCCTTTTGGTTGCATATTTTTAATGGAACTATTTTTTATTGTATGCATATCTTGCTATTTCTTGCATTTTAAGATTAAGGTATTGATGTTTTATTGGTCATGATGATTTATGATTGTTGAGTCCAGAAACTCAGCCACCAAAGGTTTTTGTATTGCTGTGTGCCTGTGTCTGTTACTTGGTTTAGTGACCATATGTCAGCAGCACTGTCAATTGGGCCACCAAGCCCGAGGCCTGCCTGTTTGACCTGATGTTATTTGGGCTGAGCTGTTATTGACTATGGAGTGGGCTGAGTTGGATGTTTTAAGCCCGAAATTGATTTTGGGACAAGCCTGGGACAAGGTCTCAACCCCAGGCAGGCCCGATACCCACCTTAATGGTGCTTTTTAGTAATTTAGTTATTTGTTTTATTTAGGTTTTTTGGGTCAATTAACTCCAGATGATAAGGCTCACTGAGTCCTCCTTCCTTACTTTCCCCCCCATACACACACGCACGTACATGCCCGCGCGCACAGAGTTAATGACTGTTTGCTCTTTTCTCTTTCATATCGTTATATTCATCAACTCCTAGATGTCTAAAAATGCCAATTACTTTTTGGAATTCTTGCATCTCCCATGCCATCTGCCAAGCCTAATCCTAAATTTGACCATGATATTACAGTTTTCTAGCTTGAGTTCTCTTAAATCTAGTGCTACTATTTTAATGCAGAAGATGTAACATGATCACATTTATGCTAGTTCGATTGTATCTCCAGATGCTATTTCTTTGGCACCTTGTGACTTCTATGTCTCAGAGAATCCGATTTTGTCCTGTCACCAAATTTTATTTTATTTATTTTTTTAACTCAGTTTCCATATGGGCTTGTCAGGTCTTGCAATGAAGTTCCAAAAAACCTACCTTCTGAAAAGTGGATGCTACAACTCCACGAAGAGCTTGAGAAGCAGGGTATTGCTTTACCAGAAAGGTGATATCCCATTGCCATGTTGTGGCATTTACTTTTTTCAATTGTGGATCTTTTCCTGTTAGGATATTCTCATTTTATAAGTTGAACTTGTTAGGTTCCTGGGAGTCCTATTGTGCCAGTTCTGTCTTTGTGTGCATTCAAGCAAAAAAATTCTAGTACTTGGGATAGTCATCGTGATTAATAGTTAGTTATCGTTCAATTAATAATTATGATACCTTCTATTTAGATGTCATGAAGCATGACATGGTAGCATCTCTGCAGGCTTAATGAGGAAGAGCTTCGTAGATTTTATGCAGCTGCCAATGGTGTGTTCAAAAAGTTTCTATCATCAGTCAAAAAGACAATTCGGTGGAGGCAGGCTTACACTATTCTTTCACCACAAGAACTTGAGGTTTGGTCACAATGGGTCTTTTGGCATGGATATGATGTGAAGCAACGACATTGCCTCATTATTCGCCTTGGACTTGCTTGCTCTAACTTCAGATCTAATGAAAGATCTCTCTTTGCTAAAGCAGTTGGTACACATTTGACCCCTGTAAATTATATATTCCTATATTTTTAAATCACTTCTGAAATCCCAAAGATATAATGGCCATTATTGAATTTTGACTTATTATTTCATTTGTTATTATTCGTATGATTTTGATGCATTTATAAATTTCAAGAGGATAATTTATTTCTTCTTCAGTTTCGCAGATAGAACACGGGGTTTTGCACCTGGTTGATGCGGAAAACCCTCAAATCACAGTCTTGATGGATTGTGAAGGAATATCTCCATTTGGATTTCCCATGCAAGTGATGAGGTCTTGTGCTATTCTTTTGCAAGACCATTACCCGAACCGTCTTTGCTGTTTGATTGTTGTACGGCTTCCTCCAGTTGCCCGAGTGATAACACGAACTTTATTTCAAGTAAGCTCTTTCATCTCTTAGGGTATGTTGGTATAGCATAGCAGGATGGAAAAGAAAAGAAAAAATAACATTAATTATGTGAGAAATGAAAGGATATTGCCAACCTCTCATCGTGTTAGTGTGTTAACACTTTATCATGTTTTGGGGAGAGAGGATAGGATTATGTTTTATTAAATTTGTCGCTATACCTTTTTACATTTAAAAGACCAAGTGGTATTTTATTTTTCGTTATTAAGAAATTTAAGGATGAAATCGGCATTATGAAAACGAAACTTCTATCCTTTCCTTCGGTTTCCTCCTGTTTTTGGAAGGATGGCAAAAGCACTGTTGGAGGGATCCCCTCCTCTTCCTTCCATTTCTTTCCATAATTTCATAACACAGACAAGATAAAATTTCCTCTCATTTCGTTTCCTTTTTTCAAATTCTCTGAAATTAAACTGGCCCTTAAAGACTCATAAGATACTTATTCTTGTGTCTTCTCCAGTATCCTGCTGCAGATTGACATCGAATTTTCCTTGCTGAATAAAGAAAATTTTGTTATTTTTGATCATTTGAAGCCTTATTAAATGTATGAATAGCCATCTAATCACAGACAGATTCATAGAAGCTATGGCAAATGCTTATCGTCCTTTTTGCTTCAATTTTTGTGTTCCTAGTTTGTCTACTTTTTATTTTTTAAACAGTTTTGGCACAGCAATATTCTCACTGTTTTATGACAGCTTGTTGGCAATTTAAGCTATTATCTTTCAGACACTAGAATTCAAGTACTTTTTTTACTAAGCCATAGTTCTTGCAGGTCTTGAGACCTGCCACGCAGCAAAAACTGAGGATTGTTGGAGAAAACTACCGAAAGGTTCTCTCTGAGTATCTTCAGGCATTCCCTCCCTTTCTTGGTGGCAAGTGTTCATGCCCAAAATGTTCAGACCCTGTTGATATACAGGATATGAATACGGAGATCATTCGGATGAAACCAACTGCAGATCTCTCAAATTATCCGTCTGTTAGTTCGCCAGATCTCTATTATCATAGTGATCCCAGGGTGAATGAGAACAGGGATGAAGTAGTGAGGACTGCCATTATCGGCTTCCTTATGATTTGGATCTTCATAGCTGTCATTTTGGCGACGCATTATCCTGAAAGTTTCCCTTTTCTTAATTGGCAGGGTGGTTCTTGAGCTCACTTTGTTTCTCTTGTCTTTGTTGTTTATTCGTACGAGACAATTATAGATATGTACACGGTTAAATTGAAGTTTATTGTAGTGGTAACCTTCATGTTCATTCTAGTGCAATTTCAGTACGGTTTACCTTTTACTCGTATGAGAAGAACTTATCAACGTTCTTAAGCATTCATTCTATCTGATTTGAACTAAAATTATCACTCAAATTTTTTTCATCTCTTTCCCATTTGTAAAATAGATAATAGAGAAAACTGTATCTCCATTGCAAAAATTGGATTGAATATAGTTTGATTAAGGCCAAAAGTAATTAATATTAGAATATAATTTATAGGTAAGTTTAGGCCACAAAAATTGAATTAAAAGGGTTGATTTAGTTTTAGTGATTTTATCGTTTCTGTATGATAGAATTGTTGTGGACTTCTGATCAATTTGGTTATAATTTAATCTCTTTGTTGGTTTAGTATGAACAGTTTTATTGGCTCGGTATGGTTCTAACTTTGAATTGTGTTCAACAGCTTGATCAAACAAGGTAAGGCAAGCCTGAGCTCAACTTTTTGATTCTGAGTCCAACACGAACTGGAGCTGAATCACAAACAACCGTTGTGTTACAAACAAACGAGTCCGAATTGAAACAGATTAATGACCATAAACAAACTTAATACCAATTGCCTTGATCAAAGAACATAATTCCTTTAAGTTAACATCAGTAGGCAGGACAAAGCGGTAAGCAATAAAGAATACAGAGCTCTCATATGCACAGTAAGTAACACACCAGCTAAAACATTGTACCTAGAAGAAGCACCCAAACCCAGACCATATCAAATCAGTCCAAATCACAGTACGGTACACGGTAAAAGAGAACACTCTCCACGCACCCAAAATATTCTCTCTCTCACACACACACACACACTCTCACTCTAGACTAGATATGAAAACGAGAGCCGTTGATTACGAAACAGACGACCCTAAATCCCGACAACAGCGACGATAGCCCTAGGAACAGAAATCCGGCGAATCCCAAGGCGATCGATATATCTGTCTGGACGCAGAACCCGCTCTCCGCCGTACACGTGTCCGTCCCCCTCAGCTCCCGAGCCAACGCCGTCCCCGCCGAGTCCGCCGACAGTAGCAGGTACGCGAAAACCTAACATCACATCATCCAAACACAAAATTCTTCAAATTTAGGGAGAGAGAGAGGAGAGAGAAGGTGATAATTTCCCAAATTTGAAGAAAGAAATAGCTGCAATATATATATGTATGTCTATATAGAGTGAGAAAGAGAGAGAACCTGATCATGGCCGAAATCGAACCAGACCTGTAAGATCTCTGGAAAGACAGTGACCCCTCTGGAAATCTCCCAAACAGAAGCTCCCATTTCGAATAAGGAGTATAGAGCAACTATAGCATTCGCAGCAAAAACGAACCTGTTAAACCATTCTCTTCAGTTTAATTGCAAAAACCTACCTCTGCTATCTGTTTGGGTGCAGAGAAAACGGAGGAAAAGAAACAGTTCTTTCTTACTCACATTTCTAGTAATCTTTTGTTTTTTTTCGAAACTAATGAAAAACTGACTGTACCTAGCCAGATAGGCAAAAATGTGCATTTGGCTTAGGTAGCTTAAATTTGAAACATTTCTTTTCCTTGCTACATTTTCTCAGCAACCAAACCCAATTAACAAGGAGACTATACACATCAGAGAAAAGGAAGCATTTAATTTATACCTGAAGGCATCAAAGTCGTACCAATGAGGTGAATTGGAACCTCTGGAGTTAGTGATCATGAAAATTGAAGCAGTGAAAGAGAAGCAAAACGCGGCGACCCGGAACACGAGAATCAGCGTGTTGAATCGCCGGAGCTTCTGCACGGAGACGGTGGATTGGAAGTGAGGAGGCGTTTGGATTCGGGGGTGATGCGAGGGAGCGTCGCCGCCGCCGTTGCGGAGCGACCGTGGGGACCGCATATCTTCGCCGCCGGCGTTATAGAGAGAGAAAACAACGATTGGGAGGAGGAGAGAGAAAGTGAGAAGTCATGAGAGAGCGAAGTAACCTGGAAAGTTCGGATTTTTATTCTGGAAAAATTGATTCTATGATGGCGATGAGTTTGGATTGGGACTTTCGAGTCACGAGACATGGCAAGACTTCCATGAGACAGAGAAAGATAGATATATAATTTTGTATGTGTATAGAGAGAAAGAGAGGAAATGATCTGGAAGGTGAAAAAACAAAAATTAACGAGAAAGGAAAGGGGGTTTAGGAGAGAGAAAGGAAAGAGATTTTAGAGAGAGAGAGAGAGGTCACGGTGGACAGCAGCCAGACAGCAAGCAGGAAGACTGTGGTGAGGCAAGGGAAAGGCAAGACTCGAGAGGCAGCTTACTTTGTTTGCTTTTGTGTCTTCTTTTTAACATCTTTTCATTTCGAAATACTTCTCGCTTTAGGGTCTGGTACCTTCACGCCCTCTACTGGCGCGTGAAGTTCAATGTCCCCACGATTATTATTCGGGTCAAACAAAAACCGAGAGTAGAATCGATAAAATATGGGTTGATCCGATTTTATGATGTAACAATTCCTTTATGATTTTAAAAATTAAAAACACTATCCAGTGTTTGTTTTTTTAATTAACCTGGGGCAGATTTATATAGAGGTTTTTTTTTTATTTTTTTTTTTTATTTTTTATAATTTCAGTTGAGACTATTTCAAGATTTTATGGGTATAAATGCAAAAAAATATAAATTTAAGGGTAAAAAATGTAATAATAAATTTTTTTCGCTCCCACTGAGCCCTTCACAGATCCGTGTCCAGAATGGTTAGGGATCTGACTAATCATCTCTGAATGACGCCTCCCCACCCAAGCCGGGTAAGTCACTGTAGGAGCAGCGGAAGTTGGCCACAAAGAACATCCCACTACTTGGGCTTGCTAAGCTCCATAGTCCAGCAAATAAACCATTGAATCATATCTGAAGTAAATACACTATTCAACTGTCGATCGCTAGCTAATATAACTTTCCCAACAAAAAAATAATAATATTAATAATAATATGACTTACCATATATAATGTATATGATCATTACATGTTATATTTTTTTAGGATTGGAAAAAATAAATTATATAAAAATTTATTTGGTTGGTATTTAAAAAAAAGATTACGATGCATTAGAATTAGGGGTGCAATTTAGGTTGAGTAACCCGAACCTAACTCGAGTCCATCCCGATTTTTTATAGGTTTGGACAATTATTTTTACAATTAAGATTGGGCTTGGGTTAAAAAATCTCAACTCAAGTTTAATTAGGGTTGGGTTTGGGTTGAAGCGCTAGCAACCCGAGTTAATCCGAACCCGAATTCTAATATTATTTTCATATATATATATTTACTTTTAAATACATTATATATAAAATTTAAACTACGATTACTTTTTTTCTTTTCAACTTTTTTTATTAAATCTTAACTTATTGTATGTTAGCATTTAGGAGAATTAATTTTCTGAAAATTTGTTTGTAATTTATTAAAAATTTATAAAAAGCCTTTAAACTTCTTCTTTTGTAAGAGTAATTTAATATAAAACTAATTCAAGATCATATTAAATTTTCGGTATAAAGATTAGCCATATGAGTAACTCGAATTAACCCGAAGTTTTAACCCGGAATCTAAGCCCGAATTGTAAGTCCGAATTTAAAAGTAAAAAGATGGGTTAAGCTCGGGTTAAGTAGTTAAGGTTGAGGATAGGGTTAGTGTTAGATTTGAGTTTAACATTTCATATGGTGAGTTGAGTTCAAGTTATACCTCAAACTCGTTCAACCCGCCCGAATTGCGGCCCTAATTAGAATTGTTAGAAATTGACTACACGAGCTTAGAGCGTGGGTGGGATTGACATTTTCAAATTTGAAGTGGTTGGTTGCGTATGTGTTGGTTCTGGTCTTCCGTCAATGTTGTTTTGTAGTTTGATTTACTTTTTTATTCCCTGTTTTCTGCTCTTAGTGAAAGATGATAGGTGGGCTTGCAGTTTCTTTCCACACTGATTTGAATGATCTTGACCCTTAAATTTGTTCAAATCTCTTTCCTTGTCCCAAAATCCTACAAGAATTTTCTTCCAGGAAAAAGTTGCGGGTTTTTGTTTCAATCAAACCGTTTAAAAGCGAGAAATTAGGTTTTGATGTATTTGGTAATCATTAAAAATATTTTTATTTTAAAAAATTATGTTTAGATGTGTTTGATAATTATTAAAATTATTTTTAATAGTTATTTAACTTATATTTTTATTTTAAAAAATTATGTTTAGATGTGTTTGATAATTATTAAAATTGTTTTTAATAGTTATCTAACTTGGTAGGGCATTTGAATAAAGATATAATTTGGAACTTTTAAAACTATGTTTTTGATGGAGGTTGAATATTTTAGGTAACTCTTTTTCATTAGACAATTTTATTAAAAACAATTACCCTCACTTCCATCCAGGCATCCACATTTGCTACAGATATAAATCTGTCATGGATAATTTTGAGATGAGATCCTTCTTATTAAGTACAAAATGAGTAATAACTCTGGTAATGACAGGTACGATTCAATTCCATATTTTGTTTGTTCAGGTTTAAAGTGCTTAAACAAATATTGTTACCCAATAAATTTAAAAATAATTTAATTATAAAAAATACTATTATAAATCTATAATGTGTATTTTAATAATTGTAATTTTTTAACCTACTGATAAAAATATATATTTTTTTATTTCAACAGCAACCTCAAACCCCAAAAGGACCGTAAGTAAGTTTGTGAATGTCTTCTCTCTATGTATAAGAAAATTAAAACCCCAAATGCTACTAATCTTTTAGTAAGTTAACATACCTAAGAGGTGAGGTGATGTACAATAGTTTTTAACTTTTATGATTTTATATTGGGTTTATTACATATAAATGGTGCTAATGAATCATATTTATCATTTGATGGAGTCAAAGTTTTATAGTTTAGAAAAAATAAAAATATGAAAAAACACCGTTTACTTTCATAGAGGTATCATATTTAGACACATATGTATCACTTTTTATCATCAGGTACCACTTTTTGTGTTGCACAAAAAAATGATACATGATGCACAAAAAGTGGTACCTGTGTGAATAAAAGTGGTTTCTCTTTACCTAAAACAAAAGTGATACCTAATACACAAAAAACGGTATCTGCGTGCATAAAAAGTGATATTTATATGTCTAGAAGTAATACCTCTGTAAAAGTGAATAGTATTTTTTCATGTCACCAACTTTATTTTCTTAAAACTATAAAACTTTAACTCCATCGATTGATAAATATGTGCCATTAGTACTATTTATATAGAATAACACCTTTTATATTCTTGGAGACACAAATCTTTCAACATGAATCTTCTATTTAGACATGTATATTAAGGTCGTACAATTAAGAATTGTGATACGGGATCCAATGCTAAATACATCTGATTACATTTATAGAAGTAAAAGATATAATTATTATAATGCTATTAACATGATGGCAAAATAATTGATGTATAATAGCTTCATTTCAATTAAGACAATTTCAGGTTCAACTTGGGTATTCTATTTATTTTGTTTCTTGTTTAGGACTAGGAGGTTCAACTTTGGGGTGTGTGTGTGTGTATATGATATATATATATATATATATATATATATATATATATAATATTAGAGGGTGTCACCTAGGTCCTGCTGGTGATTATGTACTAAGGTAAATCCCAAAATCAAATTTCTATATCAGAGGGTGTCACCTCAGTCCACCTTTCACTTTGTACAACTTTAATTTGAAATTTCTATATCAGAGGTGGGCATCGGAAAACAATGACAACAGAATCCTGAACATTGTGGTGTACTAATTACCCTTGCAATGCAACATAACCTTTTTAAATAACGTGTTTAGAATGCCCAAACACATGTTAAAAATGATTAGTTGATAGTTGTAAAAAGTGATGGTGTTAAATTTGAATTCGTATTATTACAAGTGCTAAAAAAAGACGCTTCTACAAATCAAAGATGCTGAAAATGACGTATTAGGTAGATATAGACTAGTTGACATATATACATCGTGACGATTTTAAATTTAAAGTTATATTCTCACGTACACATGCTTAAAATGACGGTCTGTGAATCAAAGATGCTGAAAAGGACAGACCGGATACATATTGGTTGGTTAATATTTGTATGAAGGGACGATTTTCTCAGATTTGAACTCATTTTCTCTAAGCTTTATCCGATTTTTGACCATGAAATCAAACAACGATCTATATAAGAGGCACAAATCAAACCTATATGATCCATTGGCTGGTATAAATATTGAAATTTTATGTCTGGACTCTGTAGCAGCTTTTCTTTCTTTTTCAGATATTTTCAAACGTTGGATCGATCCCTCTTTTCCGGGATGGAAGATAACACAAGATTCTGCAGGATATATTCCTCTAATATAAGATGTAAATGGACCATGATAGTGAAGCAACTTTCTTCCTTTCACACACAAAGCCAGTACATTTACACATAGAACATTGTGGATTCCCAAATCTCCATCAGGATGGGCATATTTATCTAGATATAGTTCCTTTTCCATGACTACAAGGTGATTGAAAAAGCTTGCTTGCCTATAAATAACTCACTCCAATTCAGGAGATTCTGGTTTTCTTTTCAAGAAAAACACTGATATTGATATCGATCATGACCTTGGTAGAACTACTATCCATGATGAATACATTTACTATGGGTATGATTTTATAATGATACTAGATACAGACCGATTTTATATCATCCTTCAATTCAAATTATCATATGATAACGACAGCCATTCTTGTTCAACGAGGGGATGATTTCATCATGATAATCAGACTTTTCAACCCCAAATCGTTATTCTGACTCGAAACTCAATAGAATTTGATCATAAAAATTGACTATTGGACCCCAAAAAAAAAAAATTTGACTTTCGGACTCGATTTTTTATTTTTTTTTTTGGACTTTTCGACTCCAAATCATTATCTTAGGGTAGAGAACCAACGTTTGCATTTTATATTTTATATAATATTTACCATACACACAATAACACGAGGCAACTACAAATTTAGTCAATTTACTCTCTCAATGCAAGTTTTCTAGTGTCCAGGAAAAAATGAGACGATAGACAAGACTAGGCAGTGTTATTCAAACAGTTTAAGTATGAAGATCCACAAAAACAAGCACCATGCGAGTTCAAGAACAGTTGAGACGTAAAGTTGATCACATTTCAACATTAATTATCTTAATTTATAAAGTTATCAATGATGTTAAAAACAAAATATAGGTTATATATAGATTGAGAAACAAAACTTAAAATGAAAATTCTACACAAAGCAATAAGTAGTCCGATGGATAGCTAGTCCCCCCGCACACCGTGAAATATGACGGTTTCTTGTGGTGTCACAGTCAGCACTGTGGCGGCGGCAATGATAGATACTTTACAACATTTCTTGAGACCGTCTCACGCAGCGTCCGACTTTCTTCTTGAATTCATCCCTTCTCTCTCTCCATTCTTTCTGCAAGATGAGTTCGATGCGAAGTGAACAAAAGAACATCAAACATAGAGCAACCAATTGATGAGCACACGACATTTTGAATTAGGTGGTTTAAACTCGTCAAATAAATTCAAATGGCACATAAACATGTCTAAGCAATTGAAAAATGGGCAATAGAGGAAAACTGTCAGCTCCCATGGGGATATCCGGGACAATTAGAGATCTCTCTAATTTAAAGAATCGGGTTGAAGCCTCGTGTCAATTTCCTATATACCCGAGAAAGGAAAAGAATAACACGTTTAACTATCATCCTTGTATAGAAACCAAATTAGCTCCCTCCTTGGTGACGAAAATTTACTCATCGCATGTCACTAGTTCACTATTTGGATTTACACATAAAGGATGACCCAAAACTTATCGAGCTCATCCAAGACTTCTGAATCTGGATCTAAAGAATTTTTTAAGTGTCAATAATCTACAAACATGGAATTTGAAAAAAAGGATTTCTATTTTTCTAGATTTAATAATTATCATGATCATATTGTAATCAAAATCTGAATAGAGAACAGAAAAACGCTGACACTTACTGCGGCCTCAACATTTGCAGGAGACTCGTCATTAGGACCTGAAAGCATTGATATAATGCTCAAAACTATACTTTCTACCTGCAAATTAGAAGTCTTGATCAGTGTTGTATTCTATATAGATGTATACATCAGAAAGATAGCAGGTGCAATGGCAGTTGGTGATATAATCTAAATAAATAGGCAAAAAGAACTGGTATAGGTTGATCTAGTAAAACGCTTTTTAATATGGCGGGGGATTAGATGATTTATCTTAGATACCTCAAAATAAAAAGCAAGACAACAAATGACTATTTATGTGAAGTCAAAGTGATGCATGAAAGGAGGAGGGAGAATAAAACTTGCAGTATGTGCATGTATGTGTTTAAATAAGAATTTCATTAATGCTGCACATTTTTCAGTGAACAAACAAAGTTCTCTCTTCCAAACAATAGAAGCAACTCTCTGAACACCCTTGATCCTTCGCATTAGCATTAGAAGGTCTAAAGCCTGAACAAATGTCAAGTAAGACAACAAGATATTTCAAAACCGACCTCCATCAACTGAGACCTCTCAGAAATATTTCCTCATATGATAAGTGAGTTCCTCACCCCTAAGAACTCTGAAAAAAATACAGTAGAGAGAGCATAGTTGTTAAAGACGTGCCTAGGCTACAGAAAATTCCCAGGCGAGGTGAGACTCAGCCAAGCCCTTTCAATCAGGGTCACATAAATTTTGCTCCCTTTAGCAGGCTCCAGGCACACACACAAAAAAAGTGCTCTTGTTTTTTAATTATCAATTCATATAGTTTATCTTTTTAATGACCGTTAATTTGCTTACTCTACATCACATCATGGTCATATTCGATTGATCATATTGTTTAATCTCTACGTATATTAAAAGTAACTCACAAGCTTATGGCTGCCTACATACATTAATTAAGTCTTATGATAATATATTATATGTTTAAAATCTACATGATTGCTGCATATCTCTAACGGTATTTGATTTTAGTAAATGCACATGCACATAAATAAAATTATGTGCATTGCTTTACCTGATTCTCTTAGTTGATATGTCAACATTTTGAGTTTTAAAAACTTCTAATTACTTGCATTGCATTTATCCTGATTTGATCTAACTGTACATTGATGTAATCGAATTCATATGCAAACTGAAAATATACCTGCATATTACTATAGCTATCCATAAATTGACATGTTAAAAACTTCCTCAATTTTTATATTCACTAGTTTTTGTTGCATATCCTAATTTTTTTTCTATACTTATATTTAATATTCATTTTTATCACACACGCAACCTATTTTAATCAGGCTAGCGCCTTACCCTGCGCCTTTGCTCTTAGGCTCTAGGAGACGCTGGCACCGCAGTGCGTCTTCGGCCTTTAATAACTATGTACTAGAGAGACATCCCTTTCTTTCCATTGTCTTATCATTAACAATTTGCAAGCCTTTGTGTGGTGAATCTTCCCCCATTGGCCTTTCATTCAGCTAATGTGTTTATAACATCTATCAGCTCTAAGTGACTGAAAAACCATCTCCAACTCTTCCACCTAATGCCAAGCCAAAACTAAAAAGCATGACAAGCAAGATCAAGGCTTAGCATCTGCAAAAATAAGTTGTCAACAAAACCTCATTAATCCAACCCTAATAATTCTCATATGATGGCATAAAACTCATAGTTGATATTTTATAACATCACTCTCACTTTAAAACTTTAATTCCTTTCCTTCGCTCATGAAGTTTTCTAATTTTTATTTCGAACATTTCCAATAGGGGCCATAACTTAGTGCACAGGTAAAATGTTTGGGCCAAGCATGAAAACGCACTTCCAAAATTTGAAAATAGGCAGTTTGTATAGCTCGCCAAAGGTTAGGTCGTATTCAGTACACCCTTCCCAGCACCCTTGATTTACGGGGACCATTGAGGGTAATGACCTATCTTGGTTACCCTTACTTCCAATCAAATCTCTGCATATTCTTTTGAGAAGGTTGCTAATGGCATTATTGCAGAGGTCAATGAGGAATCGTGGAATTCCTAGAACTCCAAAATTTGCATGGTAGTAGGTGGAAAAGACATGCATCTCCCACCCCCCACTCATACTCTTCTAACTTTCTCCGTACAGCAAGGGTTTTGATTTTCCTTCAATCTTTCCCTCAAAATGCCATCTTCAGATAGTTTCTCTATGTAGTAGAAGCAAGGGAATGTGTATCAAGAATTGAAAAGCAAATTATATTCTTAAAAAAATAAAAAAAATCTGGGCAAAATTTTGAACTCAATTATCATCTTGTTTAGTCTATTAACCTCCTCTGGTTTTCATACTCAGGAATCCCCATTTTATTTGTTATCTTTTCCGATGCACCAATAGGATGAAGAGTAGCACCATACAAAATAAATCCACCCAACCTAACTCAAGCACGCGCACGCTGAACTGAACTGGAGTTGTGTAGGGATAGAAACAAGCACCTCAATCTTGCACGGTCTAGATTCTCAATATTCTATCCTCGCAGTTGGCCTTCAAACTGGCCTATCCCAAGTAGCACTACCAATCAGAGAAGTCATCAGATGGACAAGTCATACAGTGGAAATCATGCATGACAGAAGTTACCAGATGACCGTATTTCTTTCCGTCTTGTGTTAATTTCTTTCCCCTCCATGAACCATGTGTAGTTTAGTATTGGAAGTGCCATCAGTCCAAACAAGTGCAGACTCCCAAATCAGTTGTTTAAGTTCTAAAAGTAGGAAGGGAAGAACATGCATACATGAATGACGCAAGTTCATCCAAATGCCTATATATAACGGGTTTGTATGATAGAGAACAGAACTAACAACTTATATTAGTTACTGTGTGAAGGTATCAGTCACATCAGGGATCTTGCTACTAAAGAAACTACTCAATCAAAGAACATTATCAGTATCAATATTGTGTATAAGCATAAACAAGTTGATGATGAAGAGATAGAATGGAATGATGTGTGATAACTCCAAAAAACTGGACAGGAAACATAACAATGACACAAGGAAATGGCATCGAATCATACTGTATGAACTGGCGTCCAACGCTCACTGGCAAGCTCATAGCCATTAGGATCGTCACCAGGGGGATGAAGAATTGAAATGCACACCTTCCCGTCAGGGTAAACTGTAGCCCATCATCCTTTGTTAGCAAACATGACAGAAAGGCAAATAAGCATACAGCAAAATTAAATACAGAAGAGAACTACTAACCATTGGGATGCCACATCTCGGAGGTAAACCTCACCGATGGAGGGCTGTTTGGGTAATTGGACGGGAATGTCATGATGGCATTAAAGAAACCCCCATCACTGCAAAATTTTAATGATTTAGAGGAGAGAAAAAATAAATAAATAAATAAATTAGACCACAATGATCCTACACAACAATGTGCCTAATTAAGCAATGAAACCAATGTCAGCCTAAACTAACTTCCTAACCGAGTATAGAGTGCAAAAAACAACAATTTAATAATCGCATCTTGACTGACAACTCTTCAAGAGAGTGAGTTAGAAGCTAGGCGTGAAGGAACTAGTAAAAGCACAGAACTGAGTTTAAAAGGCCTCAGAACACGTCAAAGACATCAATTTTACAGGAACATAACAGACTATAAAACAAAAGGTGAAACTTCCTCCCAATAAAAAACGGATGATATTCAGTCCAATGTTATGAGTACTCGTAAAAGGCCAAAAAATCCCAACTTCTTATCATACTTGTAACACTAGCCACCCAGAAAATTCACTCCAATACTTCTTTTTTTTTTTTTTTTTTTGATAAGTGAAAATTCACACCAATACTATGCTCAATAAACCACTTTTCCCTCACGAACAAATTTACAATCAAGCAGAAAGAAGATCCAAAATCACCTAACTAAAAAGATTGCTTTTTAAATTACACAAACCTAAAACCCCCCAAAGAAAACAAGACGAAAACCCAAGCAAAGTTGACCATCCGCTTATTGAAACCAAAAATTACAAACCAAATAATCAGAACAACCCAATTCACAAATCAGTACCCCAAAACCCATAAAGATACTTGCCTCGTTAACTCCCATTCATTCAAACAGAAATTTACCAATGCGAAACACCAAACAAAATCAAATCCAAAAATATGACAGTAAAAAGTTGAAACCAGAACATAAAAATTAAATCTTTACACAATTAACGAATAGACCACTCACTATAAGGTATCAGGAGGACCAATAATGGTGACGCTCCATTCAAACAAGTTGCTCTCATCGACCAAACCGGCTGAAAATCCATCGACTGGGTTTTTACAGAGATCTATACAGAGGGACACCGATCAACCAATTGAAACCCAAAAAATCAGAACCAAATTTGAAACCCTATAATCAAATCGACTGGAAAAGAGATTTGGAGGATTCAAAAGATATATACTGATTACTACCTTTGAGTTGTTTTTGGAGTAGGAGGCTTGCTTGGGACGGAGACGCCATGGAAGAGACAGAGAAGATCCGGAGATCGTCGGAAAAAGTTAACCAGAGAGATAAACAGAGTTTCAGCAAATTAATGGACTTGTAAAACGACACAGTTCCTCTCTCTCTCTATATATGTATATAGGCGGTGAGATAATTTAGAAGGCACGTCACTGTTCTTGTCCAATTGGGATTTGGGAGTGTGGAATTAGAAAGTTTTTGATTTCAAGTTTACTTCTCCTAAACAAAATTTTGAGAGAAAAAACTTTACAGTCAACTAATTTTTTAAAAAAATTTCAATAAAAATCTTATAGAAAATTTTATAAACTTACAATAATGCCTTTTATTTCATTAGTATAAGTTTCATATTATTTAAATTATAAAATAATTACAATTCATAATTTTCTTAAAAAAATATGGAGTATTAATCAAACTCGCAATGGAGTTTTTATATTTATACTTTCCACTATTAATTTCATGCTAATGTAATTTTATTTTATTTTCTCTTTCTTCAGTCGGATTTGTCCAATTTTGAAAGTATCTCATGTACAGGAGACTCGTATCATTCCTCCTATTTCCTCTCTCTCTTTCTTTCTTTTGGACAAAAAGATTAAAAAATCCTTCATAATTTTCCTCTCTCATCCTTGCAACCAAACAAAGTATTTAGTCGTGATACTATTATACCACCTATTTGTTTTGGAAGAATTTATCAAAAGAAAAAAAAAAAAAAAAAATTGATCAAAAGAAAAGATGGAATCACCTCTAGACAATAGATTGCATAACGGATTATCTCATGTATTTTTTCTCTAGTACTACACTTTAAACCAATAATACAATATATAATATCAGGATGCAACATATTACGTTACAGATATAATATCTATACAATAGTTATACAATACATTTACGTAATACAACATGTTACGTCGATTTATAATATTGCAATAACATTATATTGACAATGCAGCATACTTGTTTTTTCCATCATATTTGCAATTTAATTTATATGGTAAAAAAAAAAAAAAAAATTATCTCGAGTGCAAAAGTCAAACAAGCAAGACGAAGCACATTTATTTCCCAAGCAAGAATTTGGGCCCAAATTTCAACCCATGAAATACATAACTTTACCTATAGTTACTTTGGGCTGGACTATAATCTAAATGGGCCTAGGCCCTCCTAGAATGCAACCACTCGTATGGGCCTCCAGTACTTATAATTTTATAATAAGCTCCAAGCCTGCACAAATGAGACAAATATTTCATCTTGAAATTACCGTTACAGCTACATAGTTTAAAATGAACTCTTCTAGGCATTTCAACCCTCCTGATATCTCTTCATGGCAAACCATGGAATCTCTTTCCTATTCCAATTTCGACATCTCCTTGTTCCACTTGGAGTTATAGCTTTTGCTGCCTTTATATACTACTATGCAATCGCTTGTTGCTGCTGTCTGCGCGGTCGTGGTGGCCCACAACACCGGCCCATAATCGTGTCCGAACTCGGAGAAATACAGATCGCGGTGGAGAATCCGGTGGCAGAGCCCATCCCAGCCCATAAGCATCAGAAGGGTACGGGCCTTGTGGGAGAAGATAGCACGTGTGCGATTTGCTTGTGTGATTTTGAGGAGGGTGAGGAGTTACGGACCTTGCCCGTGTGTATGCACTCGTACCACGTGGCATGCATCGATATGTGGCTATATTCCCATTCAAGTTGTCCCACGTGTCGCTCTCCCGCCATGCCTTCCTCTTGTATTTTAAGAAACGAATCCAAATACGGCCATGCTTCCAACCGCTAATCACTTTGAACTCTTGAATGTTGTTGATTACGAGAAATGTTGCACGTATTGACCCATTGGGCACTATTTACTTCTAATACATAGAGGTTTATTGGTTGGTGTATGAGACCAAGAAATGTATGTTCAACAAATTATTTTGTAAAAATAATGTCAAGAATTAAGTTTGTACATAACTATCTCTGATGACTGAAATTCCTCTTGAAAACCTCAACCCATTTTGGGTTTGTCCAAAACTGATGTGGGTTGGGTAGGGTCCTTTCTTTTTCTTGTTGGTTTTGGAAGCAAAAACTGTTTTGGGCTTAGCCTTGAATTGTTATGAATCTTTCGGCCCACTTTGCTAGGAGGGAGACAAAAACTGAACTTTCTTAGCAAGGTCCACTATAAGATAATTAATACATTACATGATGCTTGTAGGGATAGTAATGTAAAAAAAATATTGCTATTTATATTTGAGGCATTTCATAATAATATCAAAAAATATATATATATATATATATATATATACACACACACACACACACGAGCATATCACTTTAAGTGTGTTGACAAAAAAAACGAATGGGTTTGGGACATTCATCCAAAAATAAACAATAATAATAATCACACATTTGAATGACACATCGCTTTCTTTTCTTTGTGATCCCATGTGACCATCCCTCGAGGGTTGTGACCCATATAAACTAATAGTAAAAGATTTGCCGACTTTCTGCCCTTTCTCTAGTGTTTTTTCGTGCACAAAACCAAAGATAAGTAGTGCTTTTAAGGTTGAAAAATCTAAACTTTTTAGAGACCCAATTTAGATTTTTGTGGTTCTTGTTTCTGATTTTGACACTGTAAGATGAGATTACATTTGGATGGCTTATTATTTGTGATTTAAAGTGAAAAAAAAAGTAAGATTACAAAAGCTTTATAATCATTCATCATGATTAAAGAATATGATTTTTATAAAAAGGGGTGTCATTTTTTTTTTTTTGTTTTTGCTTGGTAGTTGTTTTAGGTTTTGTGACCATGACATGGTGTTACATGTGTAATGATACCTATATCCAATTTTTTTTTTTCCAATCCTAATACAGTCTAACAACATACTCTTTCATTTTTTATTGTTTGTGCTATTCATGAATTCATTAAGGACTCGTCCGTAAAACATTACCTAATTAATAGAACGTCTAATTCTCTGAACGGGTATATCCGTGTTCAAGTATCATGTCTTCTTCTGTTACTAGTAAAAAAAAAAAAAAAGCTTATGTATAGGATAAAAATAGATTCTTTTTCATCTTTTAAGTGTTTGTAAGACCTTAATAAATAGAGTTAAAAAATAACTCATTGTGTATTCAAGACAAGAATAAATTCCCTCATCTTAAGTGTTTACCTCAATAACTGTGATATTAACCTTTACAAAAACTGATGAAAAAATATATAATGATAAAAATTTATTTATTTCTTTTGTAATAAGATATAATTAATTGATAACACGAAGAGATAATTCCCTCCACGCGAAGCAGATTTACTCGGGTTTTGTGAGATTGCATGTAGACTTTTGGTATATATTGTGCTTATGTTAAAGAGGGAAGCTGAGAGAGAGTGGTATTTCTGAGCTCTAGTCAAAAGTTTCACTTCTTGGGTTTTCTCTTCTGTTCTGTTCACAAATGAATGAGACCACTCAATAGAAGTGTCCAGTAAAATGTTTCTTCACTGGGGTTTTTTTTTCTCTGAGAGTCCCAAAAGGTCTGAAGTATTGTATTGTATTGTATACTAACTGATTTTGGGGTCACACACATTGGTGGTGTTCTTTTTCTGTGATGATATACATATGCAAAAAAAAAAGATGAGATCTCTGAGTGGTGTAGGGCTAGGTTTGAGTCTTGTTTTTGGGTGTCTTTTATTAGCCCTAATTGGTGAGCTCTACTACTTGCTATGGTGGAAGAAGAGACTCACCACCACCAACAGAGACATTGAAAGAGAGTTCTTGTACACATTTTGCTGCAAAAAGCCATCTTCTTTAACCTCCACAGCTCTAGACCCTCAACAGCTCTCTTCTGCAGCAACAACAACAATCACAGACACCCATGTCCATGACGAATCACAATCTCATGACTTTTGGTTCAAACCCTTTGGAGAGGACACTGAGCTCATGAGGCTCCAAAGCCTCTCTGGCCCACCAAGATTTCTCTTCACCATCAAAGAAGAAACAAAGGAAGATTTGGAATCCGAGGATGACAACAACAAGAGTAGGAGCTTGAGTGATCTGCTCCTCACAGTGGAGACTCCTCCATTCTTGACGCCTCTTGCTTCACCATCTTGTTTCACTCCACCTCTCACACCCATGGATTGTTCACACAGTCACCATAAATGCAAACATCCCAAATTTGAGTCATCAAGTGATGCAGAGTTCAATAGGATTAGGTCATCACCACCACCAAAGTTCAAGTTCTTGAGGGATGCTGAGGACAAACTTCATAGAAGAAAGATGATGGATGAAGCTCCTTCAAATTCAATGGGGTCCTCTGTCACACTAATTGTTGCTAATTAGAACAAAGAAAGATCAATCAAGTTCTTCACTGTACCACCTAACAGGAATCCCAAATGAATTTTTTTTTTTTCCTTAGAAATTTTCTATTTTTGAGATTTGGGTTTTTTTTTATTTTTAATTTTTTTTTTATTCATAATTTAGTTAGGGGTGTTTGGGATGAATGTGATCGTTGATTTGCAAAACCCTAATGTTGTAATGGAACTTGAATTTTAAATGGGGAGACAGAATTCTGTGCAAATTGGGCAATATGATGGTGAGAGATGGTCTGACACTGGTGATAGTGCGGGGACCTGTGAGGTGGTTTGTTTTATTCAATCTCCATGTCGCTGAGTTGTCTGATACCTGTAATCATTCATGTGAGTGATATTAGTACAGATGCGTCTGTCTATAGCACTGTAATATTTTAGGACCACAAGGTTTTTTGTTTTTGTTTACCCAATTGTTTTGTACAGAGTACAATATATGTACACAATGTTTTGCATACGTATACATATGTAATACCACAAGGAGGATAATGTGATGGTGTGATCGGAATTTTGATTCAGGTTGTGTTTAAGTTTTGACCGGAAAAATGAGCTTTTTGCGTGCTAAACTCTTGTAGCCCAAAATACAAGGCATTTAGGGTTTGGGATGTGCTGTGAGGCAACATTGATGGTCAATGTTGGAGAGTGTTAGAGAGATAGAGACTGAGAGTTTGGGAACTGAAACTTATAACATCTTATTTTTTGACATGGTAAAATTGTTTGTTTTATCTTCATGTAAGCTTACGCCGAATCACGTAAATATTTGTATTCTTTGGGTGTGGTGTGTTTATTTTTAGATTGATTTCTTATTTTTCTGTTGATTTCTTGATAGTGTTCCTGGTTATTACGTTTGAATGCTCTAGAAAGAGTTCAAGATTCTAACCTAATGCTCCAGAATGAGTTCAATATTCTAACCTAACATTTCTTGCTAATTCATGGTACTGTAATCCTGTCTTGAATGTACATGGTTCAATCCTATAATATGCACTTAGGGGTGGCAAACGGTCGGGTTAGGTCGGGTTTGGGCAGGGTTGAATATGAGCAGGTCAAATATGAGTTATGACCTATATTCAAACCGTTTGTAACGAGTTAAATATGAGTTGGGTCAAAATAGACTAGATCAATCCGTCATGACCCGCTAATAGATTATTATTTTAGATAATTTCATTATTATAGTTCTTGATTTTATATGGATAAAAGCTTGTAAAAAAAATATGGATTATTGTGAATCTTCCAATTTATTTAACAAATTCTTTTAATTTATATTATATTATTTTATGATTAGACATGCATGAAGGTAAATATTATTTTATTTTAGATTTATTTATTTATTTTATTATAGTTTTTTTTGGTGCAGTAGATAAACTAAGAATATTGATGCAGCTCTAACACACCTTTCCATGGAATCCCTTAAGTAGGAAAGCAGAGCACTTATAATACACGATACAATGTGTTGTGGATGTAACAAAATAATACTATAATACTGCAAAGAATATTAGAAAGAGAAAGAGGATGATGCAAGAGAATCTTAGAGAGAGAATGGGAGAGTGAGAGAATTTGAAATCATGTGAGAGAATTTTAAAAAGGAAGAAGATGTGAATTTGAGTCAAATAGAGGATGCGAAATCAAGTTTCTTATATAATGGGTGAAACATGATTTAAAATGAGTGACCTATATTCAACCTGTTTAATCATCTACAAAAATGAGTTGAATATGAATCACCCATTTTGAGTCATATCTTAAAATGATTCACTCATATTCATTTAAAGCGGATAAAGATAAACGGATTGGTAGGTCATGACCTATTTTACCACCACTATATGCACCCATGGGAAGATCCCCAAACGGATTGTGACCATTGATTATTAACCTACAAACAAGATTGATTAAAAAAAAATTTAATATAGTGCACGAAACTCCTCTTAGTTTAAAGTTTGGAGAAACTTTAATGTGCCGTATACTCGCGATGGAGCAATACCTCCTCTGTTCGAACCTATACTTTCAGGTCAGGATGAAGCAAATTGACGCAAATGTACAAACATCGTGATTAACCCTACTGAAAGGAAAAAAGAATCTGTATTGTCCCGTACAAATTTTAATACGAGAGGAGGTACTATTTTTACAAACGACAAAAGGAGAAAAAGAATGGGTGATGGTTTTGTGGGCAGGTTGATGCTTTTGGAAGTTTTCCTACACTACAATTAAAGCAATTAATTGCTTGCCCGTGACCATATCTCATGCGTGCATTGGCCGAAAGAAAGAATCACTTTTTTTTCCTCACCTATTTTTCATATTTTAATACCGGTGAATCTACTGTTCAACATCACTATGCTTGAAAAGCCAACAAGCAAAACAAAGACACTCATTTTGATATCTCATCATCACACAACACATTTCAAGATCATATATGATTTTGTGAGTTGAACTTATAGGTCAACTTCAACTCAAGAGTTTGGTGTCTCAAGCCCATCCCCGCTTGGGTTGAAACGAGGCTTGTTGATGAAAGCATTAATCTTCCAAATATCATAGCCTGATTTTGTTTTGATCTCCACTGTATTACATATGAAATTAACAATTTGAAAATTTGAACTCGACTTGTTAAAGGACTTATATTCATTCATTCACTGAACGATTGAGTTCATGAGCTCAACAATGAACTCAGTTTGTAAAACTAGTCAAGTTTAAACATGAAAAATGTGTAATTCAAAATGTTTCCCACCCCCTTACTCATAAATAAACACAACATAGACATGGCAGACCAAGTCGAGTAACAAACACGCGAACAGTCCCTATTCAATTTTGAACTTGTCTCAAGACGAAGTAGAGCCCGAGCCTAGCTAAAAAAATAAACAGACCGAGCATTTTAGATTACATTCTTTCTCAACTGAGAACATACAATGAATGAAAAAGGCAAAATAATTTATATCTCTGATGATATTTTCTCTGAAACACACTGCAATCTAATTGGCATGCTAGTGAGGCCGGATCAGATGACAGTAAAAGAGCGAGCATGAAGAACACTTGAATCAAGGTCCAGGGGCAGCAACGTATGTCATTCCCAATTCAACACGGATTGGGTTCAGGCCAGGTTCTTCTAAAAGACTAAATGCAGAAAATCCATAGTAGGAGTGGTAAATATCCGGTAGCTGCCCTGGGAATTTACTGAAACCACCATACTGGCATGGGAACAAATAGGAGGAATGAGAATCAGAAGCTCAAAAGTTACATCAAGGAAGATATAAAATATTGTTTGGAGAAAATGTTGGTAAAACGTTATCAACAATATCTTAAAAACATGAGACAGATTTACATGAAGTAGAGGGTTTCAACGTTTATATCGGAACTTCTTTTCATACATTTTTTGGATTCTTGTAATCATTCAATATATAAAAAGAAAAGCTAGTTCACCATCGATTCATTTAATAGGAAAATTTATATATTTTTAAGGTTAGTCTTCTAGACAACCATATAAAGCATGCAAGTGATCCAATAAACAGATGACAACTATAATTATCCGTATTAGAGTTGGGCACAATGGACTATCCGAAGAGTCCACAATATGAAATTTTTTGATTAGCACACGTTTGTGTTTGTGTGAGAGAGAGAGGACTTTGGATGGAAGTAACCCCAATACCACTAGGAATTTCACACGGTATAAAATCCACTATATCGCAGTCCATATGATGGAAAACTTGACCATCATAATTAGTTTAACTGTATAAATGGGATGAACAGGTACCCACTAAAAGAGAAAGGAGAGGTAGCAGTACCTGGGACTGGCAGGTTAACAAGAATCTGCGTAAAGCTTTCTCGTTTACCAATTTGTGGCCGCCTAAGATCTTCAAAACTCCTCCGATCCTATAAAAGCACATTGCTTAGTCAAGCCACAAGAAATGTAGGCCCATAGAACTCCTGAAGGTGCTCTTGAACTTACCAAAAGGCATAACAGGTGTCACTACACTTATTGGATCTACCCTGAAATCCACCATCAGCTGCCTGCCTCTAAAACACGGAAAAAAAACATGGAGTGAAGTTACTCTCAGAGCAAATAAAACACCTAGACTACCAGAATTATATCAATCATTTTTCATGAGCATTTACTCATTTGTTGTTGTTGGGCTCTGAATGGCCTTTCTGTCTATTTGCTATTTAAAAGAAGAGTCATCGAGGCATCAGGGTAAAGTCATTATCTTCTGCTGATTGAATGAGAAAATAACCTGCAAGGTCCACTCCAGAAGCAGTGGCACATTTATGATGCCAGAGGATGCACTTTTAGATAATAGATCGTCCTCAATGAATCCCATCAATCGGAGAGATGCAACAGCACAGTAAGTTGCACCACCTGTGCCACTAAAACAAATACCTTCCATGAGTATTATGAGATAATCCAACTTTGAAACAGATAAAAATATAAGAAGGAGGTGATTCATGTAGATTCTTTTTCCTTTTTAGTAACGAAAAATGAAAACACTTGTTCAAACAAATACACCAACAGTTCTTGCTGAAGAACTTCTTGGGAAGAAAACAAAAGAAGGTAATAAATGATTTGGCAAATTTACGTCAGATGTCTGTCAAATACCTCACACGTCATATGGGAATTGAAACCCCACTCACTACCCAACTAGCCTCTCTAAATGAATTACAGTACTACTTGAGTTTGGGGATAGCCAAGAGGAACAGAAGAGGCCACTTTTAGGGTCAGATTAGAGTGTCTACATGTTTATTATCTTCTGACAAAAATACAACTGTAGAAGGAACAAGAAACACACGGTTAATGAGATAATATGGGATTGGCAAAATGGTCCACTTTAAGTGAAGTTGTCTTCTGTTTGTGCTAATAAATTTCTTTGTGATGATAATGATAGGACAAGAGGAAAGTACGAGAAAATTATTGAGGATGAGTAAACAGAAACCCTGGTTGTTAAAATAATGTAATGTGTGTAATAAATGCCATATGAGAAAATTGTTGCCCTTAATCCCTATAATAACTGTTCCCAAGCTACAGACAAGCAAATAAATCAAATGTTCCTAGGTAAAGTTACAATCCGAAATAATGCGCCGACTATAACATTGATAGACAAATTTACTTAACCATCAGCTTCTTCCATTCAACTTCATTTAAGTTAATTTATTAAGAAAAGATAAAAACAAAGTTTAATCATTATGGCTTCCGACAGCCAAATATTTTTCTATGCATGCATCTACCAACCAAACAAATTGTGAATATTACTATGAAGCTATAATATTAAATAAAAAGAATAATAAAGGCAAACACTGTTGCAAATGACTGGTTGGATACCCTAAATGTGAATAACAGAGAATAAACTGATTGAAAAAAAGGTATAGAATTTGTAACCACTCACCATGAGATTCTGAACTAGGAATCAACCCAAAGCCACCATCATATGACTGCAAAAACACTGCTACTTTTAAGTATGTATGACAACCACTATAGCCAGAAGTATACTTATGAAGGATAGAAAGATGTATCATTAGAGAGGAAAGACGGTACAGGGAAAACAGATAAAGGGCAGAGCTAATGCTTTAAAACCTGGCAATTTAATATGTATTCCTTTGCTTTCTCCGTGTCCATGCCACTCCAATTGTCCAACATAAAACATATTGCAGCTGATGACATAAATAGCTATAGTGATTTTTCATCAAACAAAAATTCAAACTTAAAACAACCTAATGGTAACATATTTCTTCTTACATGCACAATACACGAAACGGAGATCTGTCTCTGCCCCAGTATGGGTGGGCATAAAACTGTGACAAACAGAAAAATGTTAAGCTAAGAGAATCAGTTTGACCTCATGAAAGGGTGGTCAACAAATGAAGTGGTCTATTTTGAAAACTGAAGAAGCAGATTGAGGAAAAGTACCTCCGTAAGGTCTTTATTAACTACTAAAAAGAAACCGAAACTTACACAGTAATTATATAAAAACTATGTCAGATTTACGGTGAGATGGAAAGGAATGTCAAATAAGATGTTGATGTAATTGAGGACACGTATAGTGAAACAGTAACCAAGTGGAGATAAATCAGAGAGGAAGTTGCTTTTTAATCTCATTATACTTGAAGCAAGGTACGCAGCACTGAACTCCATCGCTATGTGTCTCATCAATAATGAAATGACAGAAGTCACAGAGAAGGAGAGCTTGTGATACGTTTGCAAGAATGAATAGGTCATGGGTATTAATTGTTAATTTGCAAACCAACTAGAATCCTAATTTGTATAATAAGCAAGACACTGATTATGTTGAATGTAATTTTGGTGTGAGAACAAGGTAAAAGTTGAAAGTGATAGCTCATATATAGACAAAAATGTGTTGTCTATACATCGATCTTCAATAGGAAGGGAGGAATTGAGGAGTTGACACCGTAAGAGCACAAGGGATAGATGGAATAGACATACTTATGCTTCATGGTATAAGGTGCTATACAGCTTGCTATGTTTCACGGTATGAAATGATAGGCTAGAGTGTTCTGCAAAATTAGATCCTCCCTTTTAGGAGTGAGATGGTGATCCTGCAATTAGTTTCGAAGTTGGCAATTCAAACCAGTAATAGGAAATGACTGCCATTGGAGAACCGTACCGCATTGCAGTTTCTGGTGCTTATGTTGGAGAAGAATATGAAACTGAGAATAAGGAACTTTGCATTGTTAAGTTGATAAAAAAAAAATTCTCTTTCTTTTTCTTTTAACTTATTAATCTGAGGGAGATTGTTTGGAGTTGCCAGGATTCATTGTTCTTACAAATTTTATTAGTCCTTTCAAGTCTTTCAGTTTTATACCTTGGTTGCAGTAAGTTTTTTACCCTCTTTGTTAGTATGTGTATCATATGCTGTAGGAGATGCAAAAATAGTAGCACATCTTGTTTTATAGTTTATTTAGATATGGCTAGGTTATTATTAGGAGAAAATAAATCATCACTCTTGTAAGGAATTTCCAAAAAATTAAATTCATGAAGAGCCAGTGATCCAAGAACAAGAATTGTCAAGCAGAAAGCAAACTTACCTCCCATCAGGCTGCTGAAGGTTTTTCATTGATTTCAAAATTGATTCCGAGTCTATTAGTGACAGGTCATAGCCAATAGTCTTTAATATGGCTAGTGCACAGTATGTGCTTGCCAGGTGACTTCCATTTGGAATCCAAACCTAAAAGCAGGAACAAATATATTAGGACATGAAACAATCAGGAAAATACATGAAGTTATAAGCTTTCCAGTCTAAGTCAATTGATCCAAACAACCATTACTTTAAATACGAAACTCGGGTCATAGCATCTTGTCATACCGCATTATCACTGGATTGAAATTGAGAACTTCTTGAACCATGGAACCCATAGAATTGTCCTGCAGAAATCAAATAGCCCATATAACGAATTAGTATCATCCCAAGCATAATACTTGAAATCAAGACTAAGATCTCACATTTTTTTAGCAAGAATCCCGTACCATTGTTCAGTTCAGCCTCATTCCTTGGATGAGCTTGAAATGATAAAACCCAACTAATGATCCCTTCCTTGTCAACCTAACAAATGAGTAGAATCAGACACATTGTTGAGAAAAGGAAACACTCATGGAGATATCACCACCAGCCATGACTATAAGTAATTGAACCTTGGTTAATGTCAGGTCCAATCTAAGAGGCTGTTCAAACAATACAAGGTTTTCTTCTTCTTATTATTATTTTTTCTTTGTCAAAAACCGTTTACTATTTTGCCAAGTGCACAAAACAGATAGCACACTTATTGAAGTTCCACTATTGGCATGACAAAGTTACACCAAAAATCTATGAGGCACAGGAGTTCACGTCATGATGAGTTGTTAATTTAAACTTAAATCGAATTCCCCCTTTAACACGTATTTTTAGTCAAAAAAAAAAAAAAAAAAATCGCATCTGCATAAGATAACATACTTACTGAAGCTTTGCTCTTGGTTTAAGATGACAATGTAACAAATCTACACAAGGTATGAAAAATAAAAAATAAAAACCATGACTCATTAACAAAAGAATCGCCGTAATGACATTGGAGCTTGGCATGGCAATGTAACAAATCTATACAAGGTATGAAAAAAATAAAAAAAAATAAAAACCATGACACATTAACAAAAGAATTGCCATAACGACGAGTGTGTTTCATGTCTCATTGCTATATATATATATATATAACAATATAGAAAGAAAAAATGAATATAGTTAACGGCTCAAACATTTTTTATTTTTTATCATCACAATTGCAATAACAGATCTCTTTAGAAGCCAATAAATTTGACTCAAAACTGGGGATTTAGGGTAGTTATGGCTATAATTGAATCTAACAAAACAAACCTATATATATATATATAACTGCTCAAGCACTCTCTTTTTCGTTTTTTTTTTTTCATCATAATCGCAATTCCAGATCTTCGTAGTAGCCAATAAACTTTACAAATTTGACTCAAAATTGGGGATTTAGGGTTATAGCTATAATTGAATCTGAGAAAACAAACTGAAAGATATATATATATATATATACGTACGCGATCAAGGGCACCGAGAACGTCGAGGCCAGAGATGGCGAAGTAGGCGAGAGTGAGGCGATTGATCTCTTGGCCCTGATAATCGGACGGCAAGAGATTGTACATCATCTCTAGGAAGTGTATGTGGCGATCTCTGTCGAAGAATGTCGACGAATCTGTTGACCTAAACTCCATGGAAGATAACTGCACCTGTAACTGCACCTTCTTCGATCTGTGGAATTGTAAACGCCTTTTGATCAGATTTGAGTTCGAAGAGGCCACAAAACGATACAGAAATGTATTTAATATCGACGGCTGCAGTTAGTCATCGCCGGTCAGTGAACTCTAGTCACTGTTTAGATAAATCATCAAAATTATCCCCCAATAACGTCAGTGAACTCTAGTCACTGTTTAGATAAATCATCAAAATTATCCCCCAATAACAGTAGAAATTGCTTAAACATTTAAGTATGGTGTGTTTGGAGGTAAAATATTTTTCAGAAAATATATATATTTTTTAATGTTTTTGTGTTTAGTTATGGTAAAATATTTATCAAAAAGAAATATTAAAATTTAATAAAAATAACTTATTAATTCATTTTCGACAAATTATTTTACATATTCCGCCTAATAGACTCGATGTAAATCTTTACCAAATACAACAAAGTAAAAATAAAAAATATATTTTACTTAAAAAAAATTTAAAAAGAATATTTTATATCGGAACGAATAGAGTCTTAACGTTATTCAAATTACAACTCTTTGACATATTTAAGGTGTTTTATCCAAAATATATAATTTTTTATTTTTTAAAATTAAGAAAAGGGCAAAAAAAAAAAAAAGGTAAAAATTGCAAAGATAATCGGATAACATATTTTTTTGACTTAGTTAAAGTTAATTTGTTTTTATTTTTAAATAAACAATACGTTCACATAGCGCTCCATGAGATGCTCGGTATATTTTTCCCTTCGAAAATTTTATATGTGAATTTCGTATGGTTTGTTGTGACAATTATTGAAATAAACATTTAAGAGAAGAAGCAGTCTCGCGGCTCTATTCATCAATTTTTGTATCATTACTCTTTTTACTCACACATAATTTTAACGAGTAAATCACAATTTATAATTGTATTAACCTTCTATTTTGTTTAAAATATTAAACTCTATGTTTTGTTTGGAAGTGCCATAAATTTGAAATTGAAGGAAGTTTAATTCAATTTGGAATTGATGTCGCCAAATATAGAAATCACTTTCTAATATTGCGTTAGTAATTTAAAATTTTAATTTTGTTTTTTTAATGATGTCTTTGTATAATTGTTGGAAAAATATATGCTTAATGTGACTTTTAAGATATAACAACCCTTATACTAATATGTCATGAGATAATTAACAATATGCTAAGAAATCATTAATTAAATATACAACTCTATATTTAATTAAATATGCAAAATAAAGCAATAAAATAATAATAATATACAAGGAATGAACTTGGACCGAGGCTAGTATTGGATACTATGTCCTTAAGACAGATTCGCCTCGCTATGGTACTAACGGACTCAGTGGCTTCTATCTCCCAGGATACAAAGATTTACATCCACCAGTAGCAGCATTACAAACTCGTGGATACGGCGAACCTCCTCCGTGTAATACTCTCTTTGACTCAAAAATGCATCTATATACTATATAAATGCTAAATTTGGTGTAATCCGAACCAAATGGTTCGGACCAATCTTAATATGGCTTGATGAAATTGGATTAGGGTCTAAGTGGCTCGAACCATTAACCTATGGTTTGAACCCACTTGGGTTGGGTTCAAGTCTAGAGAGGGAGATAGAAGAAAATGAAAATGAATGAATTGCAAATGATCCAAAGGGGAGTATTTATAGAAACAGAAATGTCTTTTCGGATTGGGTGTATCTCTTCATTATTGGACACATTGCAATGGTTCACATAGTGTCTGTTCACCACTAGACACATCTATTCCAATAGGTTGCAATGGTTCACATGGTGTCTGTTCACCAATAACCACATTCATTCCAATAGATTGCAATGTGCCTTTTTGAGTGAGTGCAACCATGGGTCATGATGGTTCGGAAAAAGGTGCAACCCTTTGAAAAAACTAAAAAGTGGTTTTTTAATTTAAAAAGTGTAATCCTTTCGAAAAACTAAAATATGGTTTTTTAATTTAAAAGGTGTAACCTTTTAGAAAAACTAAAAAGTAGTTTTTTTTAATTCAAAAAACCAACCACCCAAAAAACCCACCCATTTGTGAAACCCATTTAAATAAGCCCAGCCCAAAATTAGGCCTAATCCAAAATTCCAAAAAAGAATAATTTGGACTTTACAACTAGGCCCAAGCCCAAGCCCAAATCCTAAACTCAGCTTATTTAAATTTCAATTTTTTTCAACATTTTTTCCATGTGGGACAAATACTTCCCACATTTTGCATACCCATTTAGGCTTATCAAAACACCATATTTTGGAGCTAATTTCTCATTCACCCGGAAACGAATTTAAGAAAGTAAATATACCACGTTCATCTCCTTGCGGAGAGAAACGCGCTTATCTAGAGATCCACAAAAAATTATTAGCGGAATTTATTCCAAACCTCATCCAAAGTTTATGTTTTTAATGTCCCCGTTTCCAACAATAATTGCGTACTGGACAAAAATATCTAAGTATGAGAGGGGGTGTAATTTTTCTTCAAATAAGAGAGAAGAATATAGGTGTAATTTTAACGAAGGTGATTGTAATTTATTATATTTTAATTTGTTAAGCAATAGTGTTATATGGTAAAAACTCATGCATGAAGCAGGAGGAGCTGGGATTTCATTTTAGGGGGCAATTACTTGATAAAATAAAACATAAAATAATATTTTATTAACAAAAATAATTGTTCAAATTAAAAAGACAAATAACATTTTGAAAACAAATTATTAATTCGAAATAAATAACGAAAACTAAGGTATTATTTGATAAAACTGAAAATTAAGTACCGAAAATTTTAAGAGTTGAAGTTTTTAAGTGGTAATTAAAAAATAAATATTTTTTGAAATCTTTTTTAATTTCCTGTGTTCAACATTCAGTGATAAGTGATGTTTTTGTCACTTAAAATTTTATCCTGTTTTAAGTGACGCTTACCATTTTCAGTGATATACAAAGTGCATTATTAAATGCACTTAATTGGATCAGTGCTTAATATATTTAGAATTAAGTGCTGAATTGAATAATCAAACAACACCTAAGTATTGAAAATTTTAAGAATTAAGTGGTAATTAAAGGATAAATATTATTAAAAAAAATCATCATTCAGCATTAAGTGATAACTTTGTCAATTAAAATTTTATCTCATTTTAAGTGGTGTTTATCATTTTCAGTGATATTTAAATTGCATTATCAAATTCACTTAATTGGACAAATGATTAAATTTGTGAGTCACGGTTCTCAATACATGACACTTTTATTATGGGACGGAGAGAGTATATATTTATAACTATGAGGGGTACTAAACACAGTCGCGGGCGCGACGGTGGAATTTCAGTCTCAACTTTAGCTATTGACAGCTCTCATTATGTATAATTACTATAGCAGCCTCTCACCCTTAGAAAGAAACTGAGAAATCATTCAAGGTTTCATCTGAATTTTCATAGATTTTTTTTTCATTTTCTTTTTCTTTTGGATCTGAAAAACCAGAGCTATACATCGAATACAGAGACTATGAATCTGAAAAAATCAGATCTGAAGAGAATCGAAGCTGAAAGCTAGTTTTTTTTAGAGAGAAAAAAGGACAGATGCAAGAAAACCAGATTATACTTTTTTTCATCTGATTTTTTTTTTATCTGAAAAATAACCGAATACTTTAAAACAGAGAATACGGATCTGAAAAAATTAGATTTGAATTTCAAACATTTAACTTCAAAAAAAGAAATTTTAGAGAGAGAACTAGATTATAGTACTTTTTTACTTGATTTTTTTTTTTTATATATTTTTTAATTTGAAAAATCAGAGAAATACTTTGAATACAAAGAATACTGAATAAATAGATATGGACTTATGTAAAAAGGAAAATTTTAGAGTTAGAACTTCAAACATTTAGATATGGAATTTTGTAAAAAAGAAAATTTTAGAGTGAGATAGAACCATGGAGGTTTCTGAAGAGAGAATTTCCCCAAATGATTTCTCAATTTCTTTCTAAGGATAAGAGGCTAGTATAGTAATTATACATAACGAGAGCCCCAAAAGGAAGTTGGCAGATAAATAGTATAATTAATTATTGGGAAAAAAAAATACACGTGTCAACAACTAAAGTTGCGATTGAGATTCCACAATAGCGCCCGCGACTGTGTTTAACACCCCTCTTATAACTATACTTACATTACAGGAGTGTGACAGCTAAATTGGTAGTGTGTTTTGGATTTATACTTGTTCAAGTCATGGGTGAATCATAAATTGATTTATTTTTTACACACAAATTATTCTGAGGCGACCTTGGACTAGTTATGTAGGGGCAGCTCGGGCTTAGCTTGGGCTAAAGAATTTCTATATGGGTCTAACCCGAGATGAATGCCAAGTCCATTCAACTTGCCCAAGTTGTAGACCTAATTTAAATAGTGAAGAGCTGGTTGAAGTCAAGAAAAACTACTAAGAAAGTCTTAATTTAGGATAACGTGACAACAACTAATGATGACACCTAATTCTCACGTTAGAATGGCACAATTAATTCATAATCCACATGAAAGACTAATTAATAAATGAAGATAATCTAATTCCTAGTCCAACCATCATTAACGGCATGTCGAACGCAGATGCCTAAGCGGCACATTGGTGACATGCGAATTTCAGATGAATTGATTATATAAGTTAAAATCATACAGTAAAATTTTCATTTTGTTTCCAGAATGGTCATATAAATTTTTATTTTGTTTTCAAAATGGTCATATAACTCTTCAATTATTAAACAACTCCGAACTAGCAAAAATTATGACATTGCCTTATTTTTGTGACGGAATCATTAAATTATTTCGAAATGATAATAATGTCTTTGATAATATATTAATATTTTATTACACTCAAATATAGTGTGAGAAAGATAATTTTGTCATTACAAATTATAAGGATATTTTGGTCAATGATGCAATTCTTGCATGTGATTTTCACGTGACACGATCCTGTTATTTTTAGAGGGTATTAAACTGGAGAAGGACTGATATGATAATTTCTTTAGTTAAGAAAATTAATGAATAGTTTTTAATAATTTGAGAAAAGTTTTTATAATTTTAGCCCTATATATAAACACGCGCACGCACAATAAACAAAATTCAAAAAAATATGTGGTTTAGTTGGTGACAGATTGTTTAACCCCATGTTTGAATTACAATTCAATAAGCTGATTCAAGTGATTTTTATTTTTGGATAATTTCGTTTGTATGCTTTATATTTTGAATTAATTTTTTTTATTTTAATTTCAATTTTAAGACAATGATTTTTTTTTTTTTTGGGTCAAAGTGAATATATATATATATATATGGCACTTCTTATCACACCATAACTAAAATACTTTGAGGAGGAAAGATAAAGACTGGTCTTCCCAATTTGTAATGAGGATGTGATAAGGATGGAATAAAAGAGAGACTGATCAACATTGATCAGTGGCAACAAGTCAATTTCTCTAAATCTTCTAATTTTTTTCTCACCTAATACCACAGGTTTTGATCGCCATTTTATTTGTCGATCTCTAGGTTTGCACAATCAGGGGCTGCAGGGTCGGTATCTTGGTGTTCCAGCTATTTTGGGTAGATCCAAAAGGGACGTGTTTCAGTTTTTACTGACTAAAATTCAGGATTGGTTATCTTGTTGGAAAACCAAGTCTTTGTCTACGGGTGGGAAAGAAGTGTTGATTAAGGCGGTTTTGAGTGCTTTACCTACTTATGTTATGTCTTCTTTTAAGTTTCCCACTACTCTGTGTCAAGATTGATGAAACATATTCGCTCCTTTTGGTGGTGTAATAAGGATAAAAATCGGGCAATTCATTAGGTTAATTGGGATCTTCTTTGCTGGAGTAAGAACTTGGGTGGTCTTGGATTTCGCGATCTCGAGGCTTTTAATTTAGCGCTTTCGGCGAAGCATGTTTGGCATTTTCAGGTTTAGAAGCAAAGTTTGTTGTATCAGCTTCTGAAGGCTAAGTATTTTCCAAATTCGTCTTTCTTGGATGCTTCTTTAGGGGCTGGCGTAGTGTTTGGTCTTCCTAGTCTTTATTGCGGCAGGGCTTACGATCATTGATTGGGAATGGCACTTCTACGTATATTTGGGATGATCATTGGTCCTTATGATGGATCAGAAACTTTCACCACTTCAGGATCTTGTTCCATTCTCTTACGTGGCGGGGTTGATTGACCCTGCTATATCTTCTTGGAAAGTGGATGTTTTGCTCAGTTATTTCCTCCTCTTACGGTGCAGGAAATTCTTAAAATTCATATAAGTCGTTGGGATAAACCCGATGTTATTATTTGGGCTCCGGAGAGGTCGGGGTAAATTTTTCGTGCGGTCTGCTTATAGGTTGGTTGTGTCAATGTCTCCTTTTTCAGGACCTCCAGTTCATTCTATTGATTGGTCCTCTATTTGACGGTGTCGTTCGCTATCTAAGGTGCAACATTTTCTTTGGATATGTTATTTTTATGCTTTGCCAGTTCGTGTGGCTTTATTGTCTCGCGGGTGTACTGGCTCGTCTATTTGTCCTCGTTGCAATTTGTAGGACGAAACTGTTGTGCATCTTATTTTTTCTTGCCCTCATTCTAACAGGTGTGGAAACTTTCTCCACTGTGTATTGATTTTTCAGGTATTTCTTTTTCTTCCTTTAGGGTTGGTTGGAGTTTTCTTATGCATTAGGCTATGATTTCTTCGGACTTTGCGGATATTCTTAGTTTGATTTCTTTTTGTGCTTGGGGTATTTGGAAGGCAAGGAATCGGTTAGTTTTTGATGGGATTTTATGGGAGCCGGAGTTTGTAGTTCAAAAAGCAGTTGTTAGTTTTTGGGAATTCAAAGATGCTCGGTCTCTTAGCTCATCTTTACTTCTAGGACAGCAAGTCCTTCAGTCGCGTCTTGGTGTGCTCCCCCACCTGGAACTGTCAAATGTAATTTTGATGCTTCCTTTTGTCGGCAGTCGTTATTGGGGGGCGGCGGAGTTGTTTTTCGTGATTTTAGAGGGGCAGTAATTCAAGCAGTTGTTTTTTGTCCGTTTTCCGCTTCTTCTTCGTTGCAGGCGGAAGCTGTGGTTTGTCAGCGTGCTGTCCTTTGTGCTTTTGCTTTAGGATTTTCTTGTTTATGGTTTGAATCGGATGCTAAAGTTGTTGTAGATGGGGTGTTGAATGGCAAATCTTGTTTAGCGAAAATTGCGTCTATTTGTTTTGATATTGCCCGAGATCTTCAAAGATTTTCTTCTGCTACCTTGTCTCATGTTTGGTGCCAAGGTAATCGGGTGGCTCATGCTTTAGCTGTTCTTTCACGTCCTGGGCTTGGATTGGATCACTTTCTGCCTACTCTTCCCTCTTCCATTGTGCCTTTTGTTATGGAGGGTGTGGAGTGTTGTGTTGTGAAGTTTAGGTTTCTTGTCTTGTTGTCTTTGCCCAAAAAAAAAAAAAAAAAAAAAAAAAAATTCATCATTGTTTCCTTCAACTTGCATGACATTAAGAGTATAACTGTGTGAGACTGTGTCAAGGAAGAAGAAGCCATGTTGAAGCTTCGAGTCTATCTACTTGGAAGTCGTAATTTTGTCAACTTTCACCAACCGTAGATACAACTGGGGACCATATTGAAAATGAAATCAAATAAAAAAACAAAAATTTTCCACTTGTCTCCTTGAAGTTTCTAAGAAGATGACACCATTTATTAACATATATTATTTGTTCATTTGTTTGAGTTACCATTCCTCCCTAATCATGTTAAATATAGTAGTAATTAATATACTTACATAAATTTTTTACATGGTTGTTTGATGTCTCTCCCCTTATTTGTAAAACTTTCTTAGTTAATTTACATTGAGAGATTGGTCAATTTTATTTATTTTTTAATTTTTTTATAAAGTTGGAATGGTATAGAATTAGTCAATTACGTTATGTCTCAATCTGAAAATAAAAAAATAAAAAAATGAGGTTATGTCTCAATCTCTTATAATAATAATAATAATATAAGAGTTGGGATTTGATCGGTGTGATGTTATACACACTGGGCAAATTCCAACTCACACACATGTAAACTCTTATACATATAAGTATTGGAATCATAGTTTACCGTAACTCTTTTCTAAAGGTTCGATACCGTTATATACCTCCATAAATCGATCATTTACATCGATATTCGTCCAAATATGTTACATTACGACTATAAATGATACCGTAACCGATATTGCGATTGCAAACCATGAGATTCAGAATCCATCCGATGTAATACAACACCACAACCAATATCTCGATCCACTAAACCCTTCCTATATGAGAAGCACAACCCATCTCTCACACCTGAGTGGTAAAACTTATCAATTGTGAAAAACAATTCTCATCTATCAATTGTAAGTAGAGAAAATTAAGTACCAATTGCATACCTATCTTAAAATGTGTTTTTTTTTTTAATTGTTCAAAGAACATGGCCTAATATGCTATTCCTACTTATCCGTTGACGGCTCACCTAGGAAGGGTTAATGAGAAACCAATCAAACCAAACAACTCGGCAGAGAATTTTGTTTCTATGCTCCTCTATCATAGTTAGGTCAATGAATCTGGCAGATCAAGACGCAGTATTCAAAGTCAACCCCTCCCCGCAGGCCCAAAGTCTACGATACAGCTTCTGAGTAATTTGCTATATATAAAAGAATAACAATCGAAGCAAATTAATTAACTCGTCAAGTACACAGAAAAATTATATCTGGAAATTATTTAGATGGCGCCTCTACCGTACTCCACCTCCGTGTTTCCACCGTCCACCACCGTTTCATCGGTGGTTGCGCCTACGCTGAGGGTTGTCACCTTCATTTCTCTAATGATATCGCTAATCATCCTCACCACCAACACTGCCACTTTGTATATCAATTTGGAAAATATAAAGCTTCGGTTTAATGATGTTTATGCTTATCGGTAAGCGCATAATTGTCATCATCTAACTCTTCTTTAATTAAACACTTTGGGATCCACTTATATACAAATTAAGTCTTCAAGCGTGCATCTTATGAATACATTAAATTCACTTAGATTTGGCCAAAATTCCAATAAAAATATTGACATAGTAGTCTCTATTTTTATTTGTTTATTAAATCTATAAAAAAAGTTTAGCTAATCTTAATAAAAATCCTATTTTATGTTTTTGATTGATACTATATATTGTAATTAAGTTTCTAATTAACAAGTTCTGCTTAACAAAATTGGTTTATTAAAAATTATCAATAGCTTGGTTATTAGATGCAATATATGTGTATATATATATATATATAATAAGTATATGCTTCTATATGGAGTAATATTAGACGACAGAGTGTATACGTCAGTTTGAAATTAATCCATATATATAATGATGCTTGAACTTGTAAATTGCAGTTACATGCTTGCAACAATTGTGTTTGGCATTGCATATACTCTCTTGCAAACTGCGTTTACAATCTTCCAAGTGAGCATGGGGAAACGGCTTGGTGGTGACGGACTCTATCAATTTGACTTCTTTGGTGATAAGGTATATATGGCCTTCATACGCATATGTTTATGAGTGATACAAGATGCTCATGTTTCTTTCTCCACTGTATCTTTTTATTTAATTTCCCGTTAAATGTTTCCCATTATTTTCTTTCAAGCTTCCATCTTATATATTTTGTAAGATAAATGCATGTGTGTGTGAACATAGTTCGACCAAACACTATCATGTTCATTTATCTAGCATTTTTTCCCGGAAAAAGTATAGTGTATTAGGTTCTGGATGAGTAGTGATATGTTTTTGTTATGAAATAAGGATCGAATAGGAGTTTATGAGAACAAGAGAAAAATTAATGACAAGAAAATAAATAGGCACACATGCATGGGTTGAAGAATGAGAGCCCAAGGGTTAGGTTTGAGGATGACTCAAACTTAACTTAACTAAAATTCTTTATTAATTTGTTTTGTGTTGGAGATGATGATGTCGTTATTTTTATTACTCATATTGTGTTGAAGAAAGACTCTTTATGATGTTGTCTTATCATTTCTGCTAAGGCAGAGAAATTTTGCCAAGGATGGAGTTTTGTGGCTCATTCGAAATTTTTTCCAAGGTGGAGAATTTTAGTTAAGGTGGAGATTTGTTAGAAATATGTCTAAAATTCATTTATGACATGGCAAAAATCTTTTGCCTAAAGAAGTGTGATGGTGAAGCTTCCAAATTATCTTCCAAAGGAAGCTTTGAAATTCTTGGGCAACAAGTGTCATTTGGCTTCCAAAGGAAGCTTTGAAATATACTTGGACACCAAGTATTTCTAGGCTATATATATCCTTGCACACATTTGATAAAGGCATCCGAGAGCCATCCAAGAGTAAGAAAATATTCTGATCAAGAGAGTATATTGGTTTTGTGTGTGTGAGAAAACCTTTTGTTTGTACAATCTTCAAGAGAGTTGAAGTTTGTATTTGGGTGGGTTTTTCTCTTTGTGTAAACCATATACTATTTGGGGTATTTCTTGAGTGTTGAGTGAGTCTTCTTTGTTGGTGAGTGAGTGGCGTGAGAAGAGAAATTATTATGAGGAAGAACTAAAACGTTCTTCAGTTTGTAATCTTTTTTTTTTTAGTGATACGAATCATCATCGCCCGTGGACGTAACCCTATTCTTGAAGGTGAACCACGTATAAATCCTTGTCCCTTTTTATGTGTGCTTATTTATTTTCTTGTCATTATTTTTCTCTTGTTCTCATAAACTCCTATTCAATCCTTATTTCATAACAAGCTGGTATCAGAGCTCGGTTCGTATATTATGTACATATACTCTTCGGGTACTGTTCACAAATTCGATACTATTCACCGAGAAATTTTTTGGGGAGTTTTTTGAGATGTCGACAAAATACGAGATTGAGAAATTTGATGGCAAGATTAGTTTCAGTCTTTGGCGCATTAAGATGCAGGCCCTGCTTATTCAGTAAGGTATTGGCAAAAAAAAGGTTAGAAAGATGAGTTACGATCCTAATTCTCAAAAGGGTTGTGAGGGGACTACACAATATAGTGGGAGAATACAATCCGTTTTCAGATGGCAACCGAAATTGCAGCAGTCCTTACAGGGAGGCAGACCCATGAGGACAGGTGTGATATAATCTTGGTGGCAATGAGATAGTCCATTCAAGTGCCATTAAGATGTGTGGGAGGCAAGTAGTTGGTCACAATAGAGATGCGAGGAAAAGTCAAGGACGTCCTATTCTCCACAAGGGTGAGAAGATGACTTTTCATTACCAACCGGTGGTTAGTGGGCGGTTGGAGAAGGTTGATGAAGGAGATGTCAAACTTAGAATTTCTGAGGGTATCTTTGATAAGCGTTTAAAGTTTGACAGAAATACTGAAGGTATGCTTGTGCCTGCGCAAGACATGCATGGGTTGAAAAATGAGAGCCCGAGGGTTAAGTTTGAGGATGACTCAAACTTAACTAAAATTCTTTATTAATTTGTTTTGTGTTGGAGATGATGATGGCGTTATTTTTATTACTCACATTGTGTTGAAGAAAGACTCTTTATGATGTTGTCTTATCATTTCTGCTAAGGCGGAGAAATTTTGCCAAGGATGGAGTTTTGTGGCTCATTCGAAATTTTTGCCAAGGTGGAGAATTTTAGTCAATGTGGAGATTTGTTAGAAATATGTCTAAAATTCATTTATGACATAGCAAAATTTTTTTTTGGCTAAAGAAGTGTGATGGTGAAGCTTCGAAATTAGCTTCCAAAGGAAGCTTTGAAATTCTTGGGCAACAAGAATAATTCTTGGGCAACAAGTGTCATTTGGCTACCAAAAGAAGCTTTGAAATATACTTGGACACCAAGTATTTTTGGGCTATATATAGCCTTGCACACATTTGATGAAGGCATCCGAGAGGCATCTAAGAGTAAGATAATATTCGGATCAAGAGAGTATATTGGTTTTGTATGTGTGAGAAAATCCTTTTGTGTGTACAATCTTCAAGAGAGAGTTGAAGTTTGTATTTGGGTGGGTTTTTCTTTTTGTGTAAATCATATACTATTTGGGGTATTTTTTGAGTGTTGAGTGAGTCTTCTTTGTTGGTGAGTGAGTGGTGTGAGAAGAGAGATTATTGTGAGGAAGAATCAAAACGTTCTTCAGTTTGTAATCTTCTTCTTTATAGTGATACGAATCATTATCGCCCATGGACATAACCCTATTTGTGAGGGTAAACTACATATAAATCCTTATCTCGTTTGTGTGTGCCTATTTATTTTCTTGTCATTAAATTTCCCAATCTCGTATTTTTTCGAATATTGTCTTACTCTTGGATGCCTCTCGGATGCCTTCATCAAATGTGTGCAAGGCTATATATAGCCCAAAAATACTTAGTGTCCAAGTATATTTCAAAGCTTCCTTTGGAAGCCATATGACACTTGTTGCCCAAGAATTATTCTTGTTGCCCAAGAATTTCAAAGCTTCCTTTGGAAGCTTTACCATCACACTTCTTTAGCCAAAAGATTTTTGCCATGTCATAAATGAATTTTAGACATATTTCTAACAGTTTTTTTGAAATGGAAGGCATGAGTTCCACTTGAAAACATCCGGCTAGCTATTAAGGATTTAGGTGATATATATATATATATATATATATATATATATATATATATATATATATATATATAGGTCCTTCGAAATGGAGGACGTGGGTCCCACTCTAAGGCATCCAACCACTCCATGCAAGTTCGGATTTTGTTTATACATGAGGAGTTTAACAAGCTTTACAGTCTATACATTAATTCATATTATCTAGTTAATAGGCCATGTATATGTGTGTGTCTAACAAGCTTTATATATAGTATATACATTAAGTTCAGAATTTGACATATATAGATATATGTGTTTGAGCAGGTTATGTCCTACATACTAGCCACAGGTGCTGCTGCAGGCTTTGGTGTGACCATAGATCTGAAGCCCTTCTTTTTAGGATCCAGCATCAACCATTTCTTCAACAAAGCAAGTGTTGCTGCTAGTCTTCTCCTCATTGTATTTCTATTCACTGCAGTCTCATCAGTTTTCTTATCTATAGCACTTCCTAAGAAAGGTTGATTGTTTCCTGGACCACATGTCCCCCCCCCCCCCCGGGCGCGGTTTTTGGTCCAATTGTATAAGTTACACAATGAAATTATCCAAATATTGGTGTTTCTGTTGTAATTTCTTAAGAGTTTCTATCGTGTATCTATGCAACTCTGTCTTAAATAGTATCATTTGATTAAATATGATTATGACTAATTGAAGATTTATTGTCATTGGATCGTTGAATTAGCTGAGAAAAATCCTACAGTATTGATGTTGTTTCTTATTATCGAAGATTTATTATTACGGGATGAATCAATAGAGAAAAATCCTCCAGTATTGATTGATGTTGTTTCCTATTTTCTATCTTTTTCCATTTTCATAATTTGTTCTCCTATATAGAAAAGAGCCTCTGTTGGGATTATGAGCTCTAAGATCCAATTATTTGTTTTTTAATATTTGACATTTAGTTAATAAATATGATTTATTAAATTAAATATTCATGCATTGGATTTTTTCTTATATTTGCATGAGATGCATTTTAGGCCTCAAGTTGCATTATAGGTGACGTAAGTGTGTGAATGAGATTTACATGCATGAGATTTGAGCTCACCGGTTTCTTACACCTTGGCATCGTTCGCAATCGGTGATAAAAGTTGGGCATTGAGATAGGATGGTTTGTCTAGACCATTGGAGTAGTTGACTCTAAGTTAGTGTGTTAGTATGCTTAAAGTACACAAAACTGGATCACCAAAATATCACACCATACAAAGTACTGTCTTTATTTTGGTGTGCTGCTTATCTACTAAATCCGTAGCCTTTAAATCCTGAGGAATTTAATGAACTCAAGTTTTAGTACTAGTCATTTTGAATTACCAATGTGTGAGATATTTTAAGGTCAATACCACGGTATCTTGGGTGGCTAATGTTGAAGTACTTGTGGGACTACAAATGCACAACATGCAATCTACACTTTTTATAAGAGTTAGAATATCCCCTTGATGAAATTTAATAAGTTTGATCACTGAAACCTAGCCAGGGCATTTTAGTAAAATGTTTACTAAATTATTTTTCAAAATATTTATTTTGAAAAATCTTTTGGAATATAAGAACTAAGTATACTTTAGGTGAGACGGTGTGTAGTTTCCTTGGGGCTACTTATGGATATTCGGTAGTGAAGAGGCTTATATGTAATTGTTTAGTAGGATTGGGCCTTGTTGTAATTTCTAAATCTTAGAGTGCATGCAATTATAATAATATTATGGTGTTTATTATAATTAATTAGATGGAATATAGTTATGAGATAACTCTATCCCTATCTAATTGGAGCTAGGATAAGAATCCATTTTGATCCTCATCTTTAGCTTCATCTATATACGATCTCTCAAGTTGTTGAGGCTGTAGATACATGCACATAACGACAACATACAAAATAACGAGAGTGAGAGATATAGGGTTTCCATAAACTTGTGTATTCCGGAGATATAGAGGTGAAGGTAGACTGGTGTTCAATGCTAAAGGAGGAGTAAGTCTAATTCGCTGTTTGTTCTTGGAGTATTAACGATTAATCAATCATCCAAATGTATGAAATCACTTTTTAGTACTTCTTGATTTAATTCAAAATCACATGCATAAGATTTGAAAATTTATTAAATGCTTCTGTTTGCCATTAGCCTCCACCATTCTACATATTGTACATGAAAAGAGAGATTATTATAATAAAATATATGTAGCCCTTTGAGGTTTCTGTACCTTGAATGTAAATTTTAGTGCCTGAATCACGTATATCATTTCAACAGCCAAATGTCTCGAATTCAAATCTCACTGTCACCCTAATTAAAAAATTGAAATAATACATGTTCGACAAAAAAAATGCCACACGTGAGGGGGCGTGTTAAAAGATTTAAATATTAAAGTTATATCCTCTCAACAGCTTAAACTTTTAGAGTAGATGTTAGTTAATATGGTATTAGAGCAAACAAAGTTATGTATTCATTTCTCTCTTCTCATCATAGCCATTTTTTGGTTATCGTCTTCTAATCCAATTTTATTGAGGTCGTTTTCTTACACATCTTCAACAATTGAGGCTGTTACTATTCGTCTCAGATATTTGGACCCATTTTTATTGAGGTCATCTTCTCACACATCTTCATCAATTGAGGCTGTTGCTATTTGTCTCGGATCTCTAGATTCATTTTTATTGAGGGCATCTTCTTACACCTCCTTATCAATCGAGGGCAGTGGCGTAGCTAGGAATATCCTTATGAATCTTTAATTAAATATACTAAAAAAAAATTATATACACTGAATCAAGAATAAGATACGAAAAAGAAACATTCTTAATAAAAATTCTTAATAACTACATTGTCAATTTACTCATAATAAAAATTCATTCATATTAAAAATCAAAAAAATAAAATAGAAAGTAAGATATGAAGATAACTAACCTCATAAGTTATAACCAGATAATCCAATCAATTAAAAAATTTGATAGAGTAAGTGAATATGTGATTTCATTAATTTGGGCTGCAAATAAAAAAAAAAAAAATTAAGCCTTATTTATAGAATAATAATTAGTAACATAATTACACAAACTAAATTTTGAACGAACAATAAGCCCTAAAATAATTTTGATAGTAATAACTAATAATTTTTCTAATTAAAATTATAATATCAAAGAATATTAATCGTAAATTTAGATGATAAAACAAATATATCAGATTACCTGTCTGCCGCATTGCAGTACAACTGAATTGAGTCTATAGCTACTAGTAAATGTTTGCTCCGCTTACTTTGTTTGGATTATGAATTTTTCGAATGTTGAAAACTCCTGGAAAGGAAAATGTTAAAGACTGAAAATGTGATGAAAACAATCCATTTGTTTGTGGCAAAGTCAAAAGTGTGAAAAAAAATCATGATGAAATGTTTTTTTTTATAAATAATTTGGGAAAGGGAAAAATTAAAAAAAAAAATTAAAAGTTCAGTGGGGACCCACTTGTCCCTGTGTGGCTACGCCATTAATGGAGGGTACGGTTACTCATCTCAGATTTCTGGATCCATTTTTATTGAGGTCATCTTGTTATACCTCTTTATCATTCGCACTTGTTGTTACTTGTCATCTCAGTGGCAAGTTGGACATTCATGTCATTCATGCTTCAACTTGAGAAGGAGTATTAAATGTTTATCCTCATTGGAGGAATCAAGAAAATCCTCCAATATTAATGTTGTTTCCTATTATCGAAAATTTATTGTTATGAGAGGAATCAGTTGAGAAAAATCTTCAAGAAAATTCTCCAATATTAATGTTGGTTCCTATTATTGAAAATTTATTGTTACAGGGGAATCAGTTGAGAAAAATCCTCTAATATTGATGTTGTTTCCTATTTTCTATCTCTTTCACTTCTCAATGTTGTTTCTTATTTTCTATCTCTTTCACTTTTCTTAATTTCTTTTCCTATATAGAGGAGCCTCTACCATTGTATTATGTATAAAAAGAGATATTATAAAATATATGTAGCCCTTTGAGATGTGTGCGATATGAATGTAAGGCCTAATAGCCCACTATATATATTCTTGCTTTCTGTTTTCATATGTTATTTTTTTTCCATTCAATTTTAACATGAATAATATTTGGTTTGCTTTTTAAATGAATTGTATTTTATTAAACCTATCAGATTCCCATTGTCTTTTCTTCTTAATCGTGTTGGCATAAGTAATTTATTTTCATTATCACAATAACCACATTTGTATGGAGGAAACTAAATGTTGTGTTTGGAAGCATAAATTGGTGCTTTGAAATTAGAATTCAAAGAAATTTAATTAAAATTTAATTTTCAATTCTAAATTCAAATGGATGATTTTGTACTCGAAAACACATAGCAAAAACGCATTTCAATCAACTTTGCCAACTTTTGTGAAGGGTAAATTGCTTCCAATTTTTTTTTTTTTTTTTTTTTTTTTTTTTTTCAAAAAAGATGCATTGATAATAGAATGCAGTACAAAAAAGGGCACCATGAACAAAGGCTATATTACAAATGCAAAATCCCAAAGGTACAACACAACAGGTTACATGGGAGGCCTGGCTAAAATTCTGTGTTGGAGAATTCTAGAAGGTTGAAGTAATAAGTAGAATAGAGAATATGTTTTAAAAAAGAAGAATATGTTAGTAGTAGAGAATTATCTAGAGTTGTTGATATTTTAGAAGTTTCTGGAAAATAAATATATTAGCCGTCCATTGAGAACGAGGATGTCTATAAAATAAGGAAAAAGGTTTCAATTGCAGCAAAATTTCTCCTTTATTTAATAGAGGCAGGAGATAAATTTAGAAGCGCTACAAGCGCAGAAAGTGTGAGAATTAGCCTTACTCAAAGGGCTGAGTGGCTGTGGAAATATCCTTTCAAAAGCGAACCAAATATGTTGTATCTAAAAACAAAAATAGGATTTTAGATAGATTCTAAATAGTAATATTTAGTACAGGAGTTAAAAAATAAAAAATTGAAATATTTATAATAATCATGTATTCCTTCCCTTCCAAAATAAGTGTGATGCTTTTCTTTTTTGTCTGTCCTAAAATAATAGTCCACTCTTCTTTTTCAAACAATATATTTCACATCTTTCTATATAGGTCTTTAAGTTAAAAAATTTAAACTTCAATATTGAAAACTTAAAAGGGTAAGTTAGTAATTTTTCAGACATACAATGTATGTCCATATGTCTCCTTAAAAATTACCATTCATCCTAAGCGACACTTAAATTACAACAGGAGTAATAGATACATCATTTTGAACACTAATTGGTAGCTCAAAAACATAAAATTCAAATCAAACAAGATATACCATTTTGAACATGAATTAGTAGTTTGCTTATTGGATTTTTTTTCTTTTCTTATTGTTATATTTGGATACTTTAATACATTAACCTTGGACCTGTCTTCTCTGTACATTTTTATACTTCAATACGTTTACTTACAAGAAAAAAAATAATAATTAGAAAAACTAATAAATATGTACAAGATAGATAGATTTTTTTTTGGGAATTTGCAAGATAGATAGATTGTTATAGGGAAAGGGTGGAGTTCGCCCAAAGCTAGTCAAAAGCGCTGGAGAGAACATCAAGCCCACAAAGCACGATTTATAATGCAGACAAAAGGCCCATGATTAACTGGACCAACTCATTCAAACCAAATGACCGTTAGACTCAACGGCTCTTGCTCGTCAGAGTTGCTGCTGATTATCGAATCGGTTACCACAATTGGTGCCCAACTTGCTCCTATGTTGGGGCAGGTAAGCGAGAGAGGTCAGTAGGTCGAGAAGGTAGGGCAAACGAAGGAGGATGGAAGGTCCAGTTGAGTCGGATTCTCCTAGCCGGAGCTCCGTGGGCATTATTTTTTAAAACATTTAGAGAGACCTTTAAGACTTATTCAGATTGTAATTTTTTATTGAAAGCCCTAATTGCAATCCTATCCAACTTAAAACATAAATGTGCAAGGTATCATTGTTGCATCAAACCGAAGTATCATTACACATGTAATTCTGTTTCGACATTGAGATTAGAAATAAAATAAAAATTATAACTCGATTGGGTTTCTTTTTACACCAAAATTAGCTAATACAAAAACATGCATCTCACATTTGTCTCTCTAAATGTTTTATAAAATAATGTAACCGTGAATTGCAATCGGTTGAAATCCAACCGGTCACACTTTGTGCGAAAAGGAAACTTCAGTTTTTGTCAAATTCAACTGCCCTCTTTTTTATCAGATTTTTCAAATGCATCAATTTAATTTATTTTCATTTCCCCCTTTTAAGGAAATGATTTCTCTTCATCATTACTCAAAATGCATCATTAAATCAATATGATGCTGAAGTCGATCAAAATGACAAACAGGCGGATTGACCCAATTATTTTTTAAACTTATGATTGTCCGGATATGTATAGTTTATGTCGTGTGGATCAATTGCAACTTATCTAAATTTGATATTCTCATCATCGAAAGAATTCACATAGGCTGAAGGCCTACGTGGATAGACATGATCATAACCCGTATTCGGTTGGTTGCGAGACACATTATCAGCTAGCGCGAACTGAACCACGAACCTAGTTGCCAGCAATCCCAAAACCAGTTACCACGAACCATTCTTGAGTATGTATGGCTGCCCAAGGGCCCTTCACTCTACGATCAACGTCGGTAAAGTGTGTGGTACCAAAACGAGCAATCGTCAACTGACGTAGCGGAAATGATCAAACGTTCACAAGGAACGAGTGTTACCTTGAATTCACAAGGTAGGGTACCTTGAATATCAACAAGGAAAAAGAAATTCGTAAAGGAATCCAATATTTTATTGATAAATGAATTAATGATTTGTTGTGCAATACATGTACGTACAAATAAGAAACCTTAACAACATAGAAAAAAACCTAAAAATATAAGGAAACTTGTAGCGCAAGGAAATTGCTCAAAAACAAACTTGCTCCGATAATTCTGTAAAAATAATGAAAGAAACAAATTATAAAAGTTGTTAAATACCAACGCAATTACAGAATCCCGAAATATTCAAAATTATAAAAACACAATTACAGAATCCTAAACGATTGAATTCGGCGGAAAGACGTCCTACCTCAGCAGCAAAGCTCTTGCTTTTTGTGAGTTAGACCGTTTCCGATCAAACTAGAGTTTTTTCGGATCAAAACGGATTTGTCAAAATCATCTGGAAAAAACTGGATCAGCCCGCCTGTTTAACCTTTTGACGTTCTAAATGGGCTCCAAAAACTTCAGCAACCTAGTCTGCATTAAGTCACAATAATTCTTTTGTGTGTTGGGGGCGTGATTGGAATTTCATTATCAGTGAATTATTTAGTCGGATTGTGAGTAGAGGTGAATTTTGGTGCCAAACCAAATAATTAAAGTTGTTGTCTCTTGTTTGTTATATAATTGGGCCTTTCTTTTTCGCTTTTACCTAATTTGAATTGTTTATATGCACTTATATATCAATTTTTTTGGGTAATTTGAATACTGAATTGTCCCGCTGTTCCTTATAACCCCAACTTGAGGTTACTCTTAAGTCCAAACTAATAAACATCAATGCATAAACTATAAAGTATATAAAAGTCATTAATTAAACCCAAAGAGTCCATAAAATTTGCAAATATAAGCTTCATGTAGTCATCATGTTAAAGTACTCGTTCTTTACCCAGCTATTGCATGATCATATGGTTAATTAATATATCAACTAACAAAAGATAATGGTATCAATTTAATTAATATATCAACTAACAAAAGATCATATGGTTAGTCAAGCAAGTTAACGAGTGATGTCCAGTGGACACAGAATAACCGACAAGCAGTCACAACACGGCATTATAAATTGATAATGGTGTGATATATATATATATATATATATATATATATATATATATATACATACCAGTATGAAGAGAGAATATATCTACAGGCCGGATAAGTATACGTATCTGTGTCGCATTGTATGTTGTTGGCTACAACACTCTTCGTGTAGTCGTCGTTGATTCTTCTAAACATATATTTAATATTGAAATATAAAATTTGAACTATAAAATCATGGTGTTATTGTTATAAAAAAATATAAAAAAAGTGCTAACATTTCTTCAATAACGAAGTATTGAGATATAATGAGTAGTATTTTTTTTTTTTTTTTTTTGAAATTTTATTCAGAATTTACCTATGCAATATAACTTTCAACTTTGAAGTTTGTCATGTGAGTAACACTATATAACATATGACAAATAATTTATATTATTTCAAATTTTGTGTTTTAATTTATAAAAATATTAACAGTAATATAATAATGTATATATATTATCCTGTTCATGTCCTATACTCCTATCCTTATATAAAAAATTATCGTATCATTGCATCCCTGCATAAAAATTTATCATATCATCCTATCGTGTTTACTAGGGAAGTTAATATTAGTCATCTAATTTTTTTCCGAAAAAAAAAAAAAAGAATTTGGGTTTAAGGGATTCTAAAAAAATTTAAATAGGGTGAGAAAAAAAATTATATTCGGGTTTAACCATTAAGAAGTTGGATAATAATCATTATTAAAAAAATTAAAAATTTAAACAGGTGTCTTAATTGTATTAATTGGACCACTTCAGTTGGGAGAATAAAGTTCATCAAGTAATATACTTTATATTATATTTGCTTAAAAAACCTTACATCTAAAGAAATTAAGAAGGATATAGATATATGGAATAAAAGTTCTATAAATTTTAAGGTCAGTCAAACTTAATTAAGAAAAAATATCCAACGAAGGTATGCAAAGTCATATATTCATGGAACAAAGGCAACCTTGCAAAGATTGAGAAGCTAGGGATTTGGATTTCACATTTATTAATTAGCATTTTATATTTGGTTGGTTGTCTTCGTAAGTAAGAACAACAATCGATCAATACCTACACTTGTTAACAAAGTCTCATTTTTTTTTAGGTATGAAAATGATTTAGTCTTCTCCATTTATAATAACTATAGCAGTTACAAAAGTCCATCACATTCTTAAAATTAACTTATATGACTAACAATTTAACAATAGACAAATAAACATAAATAACATCCGAACGTAACATCAACACTTACAATAGTAATAAGAAAATAAAATTTTCAAACTTCTAAAGCTATTATCTGAGAGCATCGAATGACTCATCGAATGACTTGATTTTAAAATTAAAAATTATATAATTTTAATTTCAAGATTGATTCGATAACTTCAAACACAAGCACTCACAAAGGCAAACAAAAGTGAAAGAAAATTAAACTCCAAGTTTATGGAAACAAAAGTCCAACGAAACTAAATTATTGTAGCAGCTCACATCACGATGCAACTATTCACATTATCATCACTGAATGGGCTGTGGTATGGGTACCCAACTGGGGCAGGAGGTGCACTTGGATCATAATTTGGTACATACTGTGGCCCTGACGGAGCGGTCCAGCTTGGCCATGGAGGCGGTGGTGGCCAGTACCCGCCACCGCATTGGTTGTGCATGGCACAAACGTTCCTAGGTAGTCCATGATGACTACCACTACCACAAGCCCCATCAAGGCAGCCACGGGGCACCACATGATGGCCACCACCACAACACGGGGCAGCTCCACCACCAGAACCACCACCACCACCACCACCGTCATCCACAACGATCTTGTCATCCACAACTATCTTGGCACCGTGGGTGTCAGCTTCGCCCTTGAAAGTCAACCGAACAGTCTTGGAATGGGTGAACTCCACATGTTTCAACCCTTGAATTTGTGAGGACAATTGCTTGAGTTGTGCCACCATATTTGAATCATTGTCATTCGACATCCCTTGGCCTCGGAGTACTATTGGTGTTGATGGTACAATTTCCATATTTTCGTGGTTGTTGTCATGGGATTGATCCAAGTACACAAACTCGGTTTTTTTGCCGGCCATTTCAAGTAGGGTTTTGAGTGTGTGTGGGTCTACGGTGCCTGAGATGGTCACCTTACCATTTTCTTTGTCTACGAAAACTGAATCGACTTCACGAAGGTTTTGCAGGAGTTTCTTCACCTTTTTCTCACATCTCGAGCAGCAGATGTTCAGCTTCAGAACACAAGAACTCTTAGGAGCCACCATAGAGTAGTCCATTGAACGTGACATCTGCATGTGATAAATAAAAAAGAAAATTACTATAATATGTTAAAAAAAATCTACTATAATATCCCACAATCATCACGATGATATACGTATAGAAAGTGCTTCGGTTCGAGAAATGATATATAGTAAATATATATACAGCAATATTAATTATGGCATATAGATCTAGAGTACGTTGTGGTGGAAATGAACTTACATTATTAATGAGGGTAGCTCTAGATTTCTTCTTGCTCAAACAGAACCAACCAAGAAGTAGGTACATTTATTTGTTCTTTGGGTTGGTGTCTATTTATAGATCAAATGTGGCGTGAAAAATTTGCATTTGGAAGACTAATTCCTAAGGTCAATTACTAAGAAATCTTCCAAATATATTTATAATTGAGAACAATTTGGTAGTTATTTCCTTTGCCCACATCATCTGTTGTATCTATACAACTTCCAAGAAAGTTGTTTGGATTTTTTAAACATATATGAACACGGTTTCAAACATCATCTAGATTCATTTTCTCAAAGTCTCTCTCCATATATCTCTCTCTTTTTTATGACAATCGCTGCCAAACTATGGTATTAAGTAAAGCTTATTATGGGCATTGAGTAAGTTCGCAGAAAGTACACTCTAAGTTATGTTTGGAAGTATCAAATTCGTGCCTTGAATTTTAATTTGGTACTCCCAAATACAACATCAAGGAATTAAACTTCATCAGACATTCCATGGAATTAATTATCTCTGGTTTGTTGTGGAGTTCTTGTTTTGTCAAATTTATATTCATGAATATTTCTTTGGCGATCTTGTGTGAGTGTGTGCAGGTGGCACCACTAGGCTATCACACTAGGCAAGCTATATGTGCACAATATTACATTGCTTGGTGTGAATGGGGTAAGTGCTATATATAGATTCGACATCTTTCTATGACACAACGCGTCATAATGGTCGTGAACCTACCAAAACTCCGAGCACGTAATACCAAGATGAGTGACCCCTGTGAAGTTTTTGGTTCGAAAAGTTAAAAGCGGACAATATTATGTTTGGATAGAATAAAGGTCGTTATAAATTCGGTCTCTTTGGCATAGAAAAATAAGATCAGTACCTTCTATATATAAATATAATTCTTTACACTTAATTTTTTTGTTTAACTATAAAGATGGCGGTGGATGAAGTGTGTTAAGTTAAAGTCATCTTTGAAATAAACATCAATCCATGTAACAGAAAATAAAGTCTTCTTTGAAATAAACATCAATCCATGTAACAGAAAATAAAGATAAAAAATGAATCTGTCTGCTTTTTATATTTGATTTTATATATTTCCAGTACTGGACTGATGCTTTGAAAAAAAAAAAATAGATGATAAAATGCTTAAATTAATTTTTTAAGGACCATTGGATTATAAGTTGAAGCCATTGATTAATTTGAGGTTGTTATCATAATCATTTGGAGTGCATCTTTGCATTTATTGATTTGACTGTAAAATAATGGAGGGATATAACTTAGGAAGGTTCTACTCATAAAAAAAAAAAATAAAAAAAAAAAAAATAACTTGGGGAGGTGATATTTGGAGTTAATGTACTTTCTTGGTAGTTTCTCCCTAGTTCCAACTTTAGTAAATGAAATAACTAAAATACCCTTTGATATTTCAGCCACGGAAGTCTCTTCTTTCTTGTGTTCTCCATTCTCCCTTCCCTTCTTTCTTCTTTCCTGATAAACATGAGGAATATTTCAAGAAAACTGAAAGAATACTTTTCTGTACAAATAACAAGTCAAAACAAATCTTCAAATATTATTCTTTTAATTTGAAAATCATGACCTTCTAAATCTACAAACCCTCAAATTATATAAATTGAATTGATTGGGATTAAAGCAATAAAGAAGTTGCTGATTAATTTGTAGCATAAATTCAAGGTTCGGGTCCCAATTGCTCGGTTTTGTTGCTAATTTTATACCCGTTATATTTTGGGGTGTTTTGATCTGATTCATACTCTCTATTGTAACCGGATATATTTAAGGTTGATGTGTTTAAGTTGATATCTGAAAATTCCAAACTATAGAGAGACAAAAAGGTATATTATATAAAGGTTATGGTTTGAGAGATTCATATATCTATATTTCGTTTTCACACAGTAAAAAATAACGTTAAATTTACGTTGGATATGGTGTGTGCTTGGTTTAATTATTATATTATTATTATTATTATTATTTTTTGAAAGGTAAAGTTAATATTTTAGATGAATAGGTAGGAAAGCCCAAGCTAACCAAATGAAAGCAGCCCACAAGAAACAGGCCCAAGCCTTTACGGTCCAATCAAAAGAAACCAAATGTGACCATTACACATCAAAGCAGTAAGCACTGATCATGGAGATGGACTCCACTTTGCACGTCAATTCTGGTCAGGCGGTTTTGCTGGCGGACGGATAACTGAAGAAGGAAGGTCCCAGTGTTGAATGATACGCCTGGCATTTGGAGAATCCTTGATAGTTGCAAACATGAGCTTCAATCTAATGGAGTCCAGAATTTGGTGGAGAAGTGAATTTTGAGACAGAGACTTCCTCTTGAAAATTCTCCTATTTCTTTCCATCCAGATGTTGTAAACCATTGAAAATTCTCCTATTTCTTTCCATCCAGATGTTGTAAACCAGTGCAGACAGTGAAAGCTTTGCGATTGTGTTGCTATAGAAGCTTTGCAAATGATAGGGAAAAATAAACCTATCTTGACCTAAAGATAGAGGCAATTAATTATTGACCAGCCGCTAGATCTCTTCTACTTTCGAACGATAATATTTAGTTATCAAAGATAAAGATTTCCATTGGATAAGAATAATAACATTTCTTATCCAAGATAATGACAGGATATTGAAAGAAGACGTGATTCAACAGGGTAAGGATAACCTTGATACAATTTGAAAAAGTTAAAGGAGTAAATTATATCCCCGACAAATCTGACAACAAACGATCTCCTCTGATCTCGTAAATGAACTAAGGGAAAGCGGCTATAAGAATGAGATTTTATCAGTCAATAAAGGTACGACAAAAAATGATTATTAAACCCCTACCTTTTTTTTAGACCTCTGGTGACTGACTTGATCGTCGGAAAGCTATTGGCAGGCACCACACCGGTGCAGCCAAGTTTCATCGATCTTCTACTCTTTTCTTTGCAGGAAAACGGTGTCGTATCAGACCGCGTGGATTTCTCTCCCAACAGTTGGCGCCGTCTGTGGGAACGACGATTCCCTTAAATCAATAAATTACTCAGTTGGGTATATGCACTTGCGGTCCGATATAGTAACTGGAAAAGAAACATCTCTGCAAGGATCCAGTTAAAGAGAAGGGTTGGGTGAACACCCAGGCGTCCAGAATGACCAAGAACGGCTTGTAGCGTTATAACTACAAGTCCAAACCCTGAATCAGGATATGGACCAGTTGATCCAACAAAATGCAGAGATCCTGCAACATCTTATCCCAGCGGGACCACCATTTCAACAAGAATTGTCCGACCCATATCCTCCTAATCTGAATGATAGGGGAGAAAACGAGGAGGACCAAGAAAACGATCATTCTCACGAGTTTGAGGCAAAACAAAGCCAAGTCAGAAACCGACACAGAGAACCTTCTTTTCCGCCTCCACGGAATCCCCAGCCTCAGACAGGCACAACCTTCTATGTTAGAGAAAAGACGGAGAAAGTTACCTATTTCGAACTGCAGATCAAGGATCTCAAGGAGAGAATGGACGATGTAATGCAGGCTATGAAAGGGTAAGGTCCTGCCACCATAGATGACCTGGTGCAGAAGACCAATTTGCCATTCAGCTACACTATTATGAAATTCCCCCTGCCTAGCAAGTTCAGGATGCCCTCGCTCAAAAATTTCGATGGGATCAAAGATTCCCTTGATCACTTGGAGACCTTTCAAGCTCTTATGTATTTACACACTGTGCCAGATGAAATCATATGCCGAGCTTTTCCCACTACACTTAAGGGATCGGCAAGAGTTTGGTTCAACAAGCTGAAGCTAGGAACCATCAACACCTTCGAAGAACTGAGTAAGCAATTTGTGAGCCACTTCTTTATAGGTCAGAGGCATGGGAGGCCGACCACCTACCTGTTTACCGTGAAGCAACAGAAGGGAGAGTCGATCCAGGAATACATCACCCGATTCAACACAGAGATGTTACAGGTAGAAGAGGTGGACGACAACGTGGCTTTAACCGCTTTCATAGGAGGACTCCAAACCTCCAGATTCTTGTTCGCCTTGTCTAAAGAACCTCTCACCAGCATGACAGAGTTGTTGATCAGAGCGCAAAAACACATGAACGCTGAAAACGCCATGAATGCACAGAAAGGAAAGGAAGAAGAGGATAAGAAGAGGTCAGCCCCTTTCACCAAGGATGAAAATGTTACCAGCTATAAGAAATCATTCTTCAACCAAAACGATGAGGAGGACTCAGATAAGTATACCGACTAATAATTGTCTCACAGCTGGAATTACCCTTATCAAGTTATTCAAAATAAAGACTGGGGTATCTCAGTTAATCATTTTAAATGGAGGGTGACTCCCTTACGTGTTATTTTGTTTTCAATAAGCCTTGAGGCAATAGATGGTCTTTAATAAAATTCCTTTCAGTTGTATTAGTTCTTGGTCAGTTATCTTTATACTTGCAATATCCTCGTATTACAAGGGATGATAATGAGTGTCCAGTATTATAAGGACCCGGGCTGAATGAATCACGTAATCAATAACACTGCACTATAAGGGATAGAAAATAAATGTCATGTACTAAAAGGACCCAGGCTGAATGAATCCCGTAATCAATATCCCCGTACTATAAGGGATAGTAAATAAATATTCTGTACTAAAAGAACCCGGGCTGAATGAATCCCATAATCAATGTCCCTGTACTATAAAGAATAGTAAATAAAAGTCATGTGCTAAAAGGACCCGGGCTAAATGAATCTTGTAATCAATATCACCATACTATAAGGGATAGTAAGATAAATGTCCTGTACTAAAAGGACCCAGGCTAATTGACCATGGGTTTAAATCTATACTCTTCCAAAACAGAACCTTGCTTTGGTATCTGTATTAATTCCACCATTGGGAATAGTACTCGCGGGAACAGTTCCCAGGGCAAGGAAAAAAAAAAAAATACGATTCATGTGAACAGTACTCGCGGGAACAGTTCCCAGGGTAAGGGAAACTGTTCATGTGAACAGTACCCGCGGGAACTGTTCCCAGAGTAAGGAAAAAAAAAGAAGTTA